TAAGTCAATTCAATCACAACAGCTCAAATCAATTGAAACTACTCGGAATCGCTTTCCTCAGACGTCTCGCAAACTACTTGACAAGTTCTTGCATTGTGGCCGGGCTTCTTGCAGTTACTGCAAAGCCGAACGCGTGGCTCAGCCACGGTTATACAACCACCACTCCCAGACATTTCCTCGCAATCCCGACCACCAAGTCCCCGGTCGCCCATCAAAACAGTCGCCTCTTGCAGACTAAGTGATCCTCCGTCCTGCAAACGTGTTTTTTTGGTCCTACGTCGCTTGCTTAACCGCTCATTTGCCATACGAAGCTCCTTGGTCTCGGCTCGGAGCAACACCATCTCATGCGCCAATTTCGAGATGCTCTTCGCTTGCAAGTCGATAATGTCGAAAACATGGGTGGGGGAGCTACTTTGATGGTGTTGAATTTTCCGCTTGAGTGTGCTGGAACTCAGTGTCGCTTCCTGCGCATTGGAGGGTGTCTTGGGGACCCAAGATGTGGCTGTTCCGGGACGCGAGCTAGGAGGAGATGGGGTGATTGGCTTAAGGTCGAGGCGAGAAACCACAGATTCGGGGTCGAAAGGGACGAGGCCAGCTGCTTTAAAACCCGCCCGTATGTTGTTCGCCGTAACAGAGGCGTGGAATGCCTCGACAAACGCGTCGAAGAAGTCTTCCTTCGTAATGTGGGTGATCTGCATCCGCATCATCTGCTCGATTTGCTTGCCATACGAGGCCTTGAGCGGGCTGAAACATCCAACATCGAGAGGCTGAAGGAAGTGAGATGAATGGGGAGGCATGCAAAGTGTGATAATGTTGTTAGCTTTGCAGAAATCCTCAAAGGCGACCGAGTGGTGGCTTTCATGGCCGTCGAGGACGAGCAGCCGGTATATCCCTTTTGTCCGACGCCGGGTGGAATGATCAAAATGGTTTAACCAATTCAGACCAATCTCGTTTGTAGTCCAGCCATTATCGCTCGTGTGGACTCTCCATTCGGGCTGGAATCTGCTGTCCTGATACCAGGGGAGGAGGTGGTTTTCTCCCTTGACAACGAAGTAGGGCGGTACAACCCAGCCATCTGCACACACGGCTTGGATCACCGTCACCCATTCCCGATTGCCAGGCTGCTTCGTACGTGGCCTACCGCGGCGTTCGGAGCTTGTCACGACTTTTGCAGCCGAAAGTATCCCCATCTGGAACCCGGTTTCGTCGAAATTGTAGATATCCCCCTCCTGGATCGCGTACTTGTCAATCACATTTCGTACAAGTCGAAACCACGGGTTTACCACGTCAGGATCTTCGCATTGGGTTCTCTGGTAGTCGATCCGGCGTCGAAAACGTGTTGTAAGCTCGGGGTGTCGGCTCACGAAGTTGTTTGCCCATCGGGGTCCGACGCGTGACGCGTCGCGTGCTACGCGAAGACGATCGGCCATATCTTGGACGTCAGAGAGCCGGGGCGAAAATCCTCGAGCGTCAAGGTCGAGTACCCTCTCAAGAATGGCCTTCTCTTCCAAGTCAGTCAATTTTCGAAGGTTGGCTGGTATTTCACGTCGTGGTTGCTTTCCAGCGCGTCGATTCTGGAGCGAGCTTCGTGGGATCTCGTAGATCGTAGCAGCTTTTCGAACGGAAAGTTTGGGGTTTTTTTTTTTAAGAGCTTCGAGTGCAAGGAAAATGCGACTCTCTTTTGGAAGAGGTTCCATTGTGTTTTGTGGAAGAAATTCGCGATCAAATTCGAGAGGTTGCAAAGTGAAGAAAAGTGGCCCTCTCGTTATGCTGGCCCACTCGTTATGCAAGTACGTTACTGAAATGATTATATGGCATACTGTACTGTACCCCAGTGTACGTACCTTACACGTGCTGTACAGTACGTTTCACCTGTATTACCCGGCATGTTCCGTGCATCCCCTGATGTCATCTTTCTCCACCCATCCAACGCACGCTGCGCCAGACAAACCACTCAGCTGGAAACAAAGACCTCTTGCCGGACTCCACCCACAACCGACGTCATGCATCTTCTCTCCCAAGCTTTTGGAAACCGCAAGACACAGCACAGCAGCAAACATGGCGCAGATGGATCGATCGGCTCTAGCCATTGGCAGTTTTGCCGTGCAAGGCATTTTGTCTAGGAGCGTCTTGTCCAAGCACACCTACGTAAACGACGTAAGCTAAGCGGTTAGCTTCATGCTTTTACACTAAAAGCTAAGGCAGCTCCAGAAGGTCCCAGGTATGATGATATAACTGGGCTGCCATAGATATATGCTTAATGGAAAGGTTACCTCTTGCGGCTCACCCGAGATTTTCTTACCTTTCCCTCTGTGAGGTCTGCTCTTTTGCTGTAGACAGCCATCATACCCGTCCCCCAAGATCGATACCTACCTTACCTACCTTAAGGCTTACTTACCTGAGGCCTCTTGGGTGGTAACCTACTCCTCGTGCCTCATGAACCCCTGAAATCTCCTAAATCCACTCCACAATGAACATCGACGAAAAAGTCCACCCCTCAGGGGCCCAGCACTACTCTGGTGCCAACCGTGTCCCTAACATCCAGCAATTTGTTGAGAGCCTCGACCGCGACAAGAAGCACCGCGATGCTCAGATCGACGCCGAAAGCAGGCAGCAGCCGCACCAGCAGCAGCCACAAGATGGTGAAGCCAAGGACCACGTGCCCGCCCAAAAGACGGGCAAGAACCGGCGCACCGTCCGGGATCCAGTCACGCACAAGGATGTCGAGATCGAGGACATCTCGGACGAGCACATGAAGGCCGTCGCCTCGCCCGTCATGACGGTGCCCAACGCCAACCTGGGCAAGCACACCACTAAACAGACGTCGCCGTCGCAGTCGGGTGAGGAGTACCGCGTCGCCCAGGACGAGACGGCGCCGCCTGACCCGGTCGCCGAGGGAGCCACTTCCGACGTGCCCATCCACGGCGAAAAGACCAACGTCCTCTTCCACCCGACCCCGTCCGTCTCGTACGAGCCCATGTTTGCGACCGTCGAGGCCCGCGCTAATGTACTCTGCACGGCCGTATTCTTGTCTGTCGTGATTCTCGGCAAGGTGCTAGGCGGCGGTAGTCTCTGGACGCTAATCCCTCTCGCAGCCTGCGTTGCGTCGGGCGTGTTTCTGTGGGCCAAGGATCTGATCAGCCAGGGCCGCGCAATGGAGTGGTCGAGTGAGCAGAAGAGGGGCGAAACGGCGGTGGTGAACCTCATACCGGAGTCGGTCGAGTGGCTGAACACGGCGTTGGGTTTGATATGGGGGCTCATTAATCCGGACATGTTCGCTGCTGTCGCAGATACCCTTGAGGATGTCATGCAGGCAAGTCTGCCCCGTGTGATCGAGCATGTCAAGGTGAACGACATCTCGCAGGGGAGCAACCCGCTCCGAGTGCTAAGTCTGCGGGCACTGCCGGACGGCCATGTGGAGGATCTGAAAAATGAGATTCGCAAGAGGGATGAGAAGGTCAAGGATCCTCAGGAGCTGGCGGCCGAGCAGGAAGGAGGCGATTTCTACAACCTCGAGGCCACCATCGCGTATCATTCATTACCGTCCTCGGGCGACGTCTCCTCCAAGGCCAAGAATATGGGCATGCACTTGATCTTCTATCTCGGAGTCAAGGGCCTGTTCGGCGTTCCCTTCCCCATCTGGGTCGAGTTAAACAGGCTTGTTGCCACGGCTAGGTTCCGCATCGCCTTGGCGCCGAACCCACCCTTCATCAAGACCATCAGTTTCACCCTGATGGGCCTACCAAAGGTGGAGGCGAGCTGCATCCCGCTGATCGAAAAGGGAGCCAACATACTCAACCTCCCACTCATCTCCAACTTCGTCAATTGGGCCATCGCAACCACGGCAAACATGTACGTCGCTCCCAAGTCGATGACGCTCGACGTCGGCAAAATGCTGCAGGGGGACGACATCCAGAAGGACACCAACGCGCTTGGCGTGCTGTACATCCGCATTCACAAAGCGACGGGCCTCAGCAAGCAGGATCGCCGGGGCAGCGAGGGTGGTGGCTCCGACCCCTACATCTGTGTCTCCTTCTCCAAATTTGGCAAGCCTCAGTACTGCACGCGCGTCATCCAGGACGACCTCAACCCCATCTTTGAGGAGGCTTGCGCGCTGCCCATCACCGCCGAGGTCATCAAGGCCGACGAGCAGCTGTCGCTCGAACTGTGGGACAGTGACCGGTCGTCGGCCGATGACATGGTTGGCAAGGTTGAGCTGAGCATTCAGAAGCTGATCCAACACCCTGGCAAGATGTTCCCCCAGGTATCCCAGCTGAAGGGCGTCAAAGCCGAGAGCACCATGCCTGGCGAGCTGCATTGGGAGGTTGGCTTCTTCGGCAAAACGCAGTTCCGGCGTGCGCTGCGCACTGACGGGCAGAACCCGAACTTGCCCAAAGAACTCCGGGACAAGAAGGAGCTGCAAGACGACAAGGGTAGCATTGACACAGCCGAGGAGGACGCTGTTGTGCACACACCACCCGACCCGCTCTGGCCGAGCGGCATTCTTAGCGTCGTGGTGCACCAGATCGTCAACCTCGAGCTTGAGAACGTCAAGGGCTCGCGCGGAGGCAAGCGCAAGAACGGCAGAGAGTACGAACCGGCGCGGCCCGAGGCCGGTGAGATCACCGAGGAGGAAGGAAAGAAGCTGCCGAGCGCCTACTGCACCATCTTGATCAACGATGAGCTCGCGTACAAGACGCGCACAAAGGTGGTTTCGTCGAAGCCGATCTTCGAGGCTGGCACCGAGCGCTTCGTGCGCGACTGGCGGTCGTGCATTGTAACAGTTACCGTCCGCGACTCGCGCAACCGGCAGCACGACCCCATCATCGGCGTCGTCCCTCTGCGCCTCTCCGACATCCTCCAGACCAGCAGCCAGGTTACGCGTTGGTACCCGCTCGATGGCGGCGTTGGATTTGGCCGCATTCGCATCAGCCTGCTCTTCCGGTCGGTCGAGCTGCGCCTGCCACCCACCCAGCTCGGCTTCGGCGAGATCGGCACCTTCGAGTTCCTGTCCGACACCATCACCACGACCGGCTACTGCCCGAGCGAGCACACCAAATTGCGGTTCCGCACAGGCGGTAGCTCGGCCAAGATACGAGGCAACGTCTGCCACAAGACCGAAGACGGCACCGGTCTCTCCTGGGACTTGACCGCCCTCTCCCGCCACAAGAAGCCCCGGTCCCAGACTGACTCAAATTCCCACCACCAGGAATCCAACAACTCCAACACCGTGACCCCTCATTTCCGCCTGCCAGTCCGCTACCGCTACCGTTCCCCAATCTTCATAGAGTTCCATCCGCCCAAAAGCAGGGCCAACCCCCGACATAACAAGACGGACATCTTCGCGTCGCTCTGGCTGCAGGACATCCCGGACAGCGTCGAGCAAGAGATCGATCTGCCCATTTGGCGGTGCTCGAATGGCATGCGGCTGGCGCAGAACTACATCACAGAGGCTAACGTGTCTTCGGTGCCGGACCTGCAAGTGACGGAGGTCGGGCGGCTGCGTTTCCACGCCCGTTTTAAGCCCGGTACGGACCGGGATCACCTACGGTTTGTGTCCGACAATGACTCCCGGGAAACGATCGAGACGTGGGAGGCCTGCTTTGCCGAAGGCGTCCGCGGCGAGTCCGTCCATGGCGAGGTCCCCCCAACCGTGGAGAAGCTCCATGAGGCGAGCTTGCTTCAGGGGAGGGATGTGCTGGCCATGGCTGGGGAGGAGGAGAAGAAAAGATGGTTGAAGGATGTGGACGGAGAACAGACGAAGAAGCGAAATGAAGAGCGGCATGAGAGGCGGCATGAAATGCAGGACGGGGTGGAGAACGGCCAAGTGGACGGGGAAGAGGAGAGTACCAGTGAGGAGAGCGATGAAGATGAAGATGAGGGGGAGGAAGAGGAGGTCGACTTGGGCATTGACGATGCCATCCACCACCGGGACAGGATCCAAACCAACGAGGATGAGGGCCAGGATGACGGCCATGATGGAAGGCCGAAAGAGGGCGGGCATGAAGGCGACGGCTCGCGCAAGTCGGTCGACAGCGGGGCCACGGGGGCCAGTGCGAGCAAGTCGAGCAGCAGCAAGAACCCCATCAAGCAATACAACGAGTATCGCAGTCGGAGCAGGGATTTGCATCGCAAGCAGCGAGGCCTGATGCAGTGGTAGGTAGTATTGGTTCTTGGTTCTGGTTCTTGGGAGCTGACTGATACTCTGGCAGGAAACCGATGCGCAATATCCAGTTCGCCAAGGACGAGGCGCTTTATGCCGTAAGGAAGGTGAGAAAGATGGGGAGTTTGAACGGTCGAACGCCTGATGTTGAGACAGAGGTTTGAGCGTGTGGGAAGGTAATCAGAAAGGATTCAAAATTGGATAACCGTTACTGGGGATGTGGGTTACCTACCTACCTTACCTAACCTGGAGGGTTCAATGAGTTCTTACAAGTATGTATCCGCAGTTATACTTTATAGTGTTGATTGGTCTAGTGACAGGGTGATGGGATGTTCGTTGTAATGTGGCGCCAGTGAACCGTGGAGATGTGTGACTGTTGGCCGTGTTCAACCTCTGGACTCACCGATCTCATTGATCTCTTGCATGGTGAAGAGTCCTTGGTCAATGCGTCCTCTTCAGTGGCAGCAAAACATCGATTCACTACCACCTCCACAATAGCTCATTCTAGCATTCTGCTCCATCAAGACACTCCAAGTAACTGAGCCCGTCAATTCATCACCACCCCTGTCCATAAGTAGTCCAAGCCGACTTCATCGTACACTCCTCCAACAAATACCCACCGAGAGTGCCTCACAGTTTCTTACCCACCCGCAAGAAAATCACCACCCATCGCACAGCACAGCCCACACAGAACCAACCAGACGAACAACCAACCATTCCCAGGCCTAAAGGGGAACCATCCAAACAAAACAAAACAAACAAACCCAAACTCATTACTATGGCTTACGTTCCCTGGGGCTATGCGCCCCGCCGACGGCGCTCTCCCAGGCTGGTCATCATCTGGGTGACCGTGTTCATCCTGGTCGCGTGGATGACATGGTACGTTTCGACGCGCCACCGTGAGCGGGCCGCGCCGTATGTCAAGGAGTTCTTGCGTCCGGGGACAGGGTTTCAGCAACAGCAACAGCAACAGCAACAGCAATAGCGCGGGGAGGAAGCGGGTGGCCAGGGTCGGGGCCGGGATCAGGGTTTGGGACAGGAGGGGAGGGAGGGGTTGTATTAACTTTAGGACTCAGGTTGAGGGATGTGTGGGACTGTGGTCCGTGGATCTATGTTTCCGATGGAGGGGGCAGTGGGCATGAGGAAGGGGGCGAGGGTATCTCTGCCCTTCCTCGGCCGCGAGTCTAATTCCGAAGATGGGGTGCTTGATTGTCGCGGCGGCAGGGAGGGTCATTACGATACCTGTTGATGCTCAGAGGTTTGCTCAAGGTGGCTGTTAAGAGAGACTGGTGCAACGGCTTACAGCCTATCGAGGCGGGAGCGCAAGCTCTTACGACGAGAAACGTCGAGGGATATATGGGTCTGATGGTAATCTAGAAATAGCCTGTACATCAATATTGTCATGGTGGGTTTCAAAGTACATAGCCCAATAATACTCTTTCACCTCATCAGTCAGAATCTTGGAACCTGGTAAGGCAAGCTACGGTTAGGAATCATCAGTCACAACACCAGATCAGCGGAACATCACGGTCAGGGCAACATCACTCCTCTACAGCTCACCTTGGCAACTACAGCATGCCGAGTCAGCAGACACAAAGCTCATGTATAATAATAAGAGAGAGGGTCGTTGCACCTTAATGACACCATTCCTCACAAATCAAACCCCAGACCCCGGGCGCTCTATGCCAACCGTACCCCCGCCTCCCGCCTCTTCTTACCCTGATGCGACGCGGCGGTGCTCATGCCCACATTCTGACTAGCATCCAACATACTCTGCGCCATGCGCCTCTTCTCCTCGGCCAGTTTCTTGAGCTTCTTATCCGTCTTGCCCTTTCCGCTCCCCTTGCCGTGAAACTGGTGCGAGAGCTCCTTGAACGCCTCCTTTGCGTCGAGATGCCTTCCATCTCCGTCAACGTACTTGAGCTCCACATTCGGCTTGTAGCCCTCCTTGAACAGCTGGTCCATGACCTTGGACTGGTGCTGGTCGCGGATCGCGTTCTGCTGACGCTGCCACTCCTCGCGCTCGCGAGCCGACATCCTTTCGAGCCGTCCGCTGGCACGGTCCTTCTCGCGCTGTTGGCGCGTCTCCTGGTCAAAGAGGGCCATGCGCCGATGCAGCTCGTTGAGAAAGCGCTGCCGCTGGCGGTACTTCTCGTTGAGCTCGGCGCCGTTGCTCTCCTCGATGAGGTGCCGGTCCCGGAGCAGTGCCAGAGTGGCGCCCATGCCTTGGTCAACAGTCTTTTCTTCCTCAACGCCGGTTGCCGGTACGTCGGCGAGAGGGGTAGTCCCGCGATCGACACCGTCGGCGTCGTGCATTTCTTCGTCCTCGGAGGATTCTTCCTCTTGCATGCTTGTGACTGCTGCTGCTGTTTCGGTTTTGGTTTTCCGTGCTGGCCGCTCTTCCTTGGGCTCCGCCTGTAGTGCATCGACAAACCTGCTGGTTTCATCCATGAAGAAGCCCTTGTCCTCTCCGTCGATTTCGCCCTCAGGGGTGTTGGCTGCTTCTTCCCGAAGTTGTTTCGCGATATCCTCTGGCCGGGTCCTTTTCCGCTTCTTTAGCGCCTCCTTTCGTTGGAGAGACAGGGATGATTGTAAATCTTCGTCATCGACAAAACTGTCATCAATTACTTTTCGTTTCTTTGGGAGGACTGCAGGGGTGGAGTCGACGTCCATTTCCTGGGCAGCACCATCACCGACCCCTGTATCCTCCGGTAACAGCGCATCGTCGTCATCTGCCCGGCGTTGCCTCGTAGACTTTGACTTCTTCTTCTTGGGTTTCTTGATCTTCACCTCCGATGGGTCAAGGTAGTCTGAAGTAGGCGCAGGCGCGTCCTCTGTTTCGCTACCGGTAAGCATGGGCTCAGGCATGCCCGAATGAGGGAAATATAACTGACCAAGACTATCCAGATCTACCACCTGTTGTTTCCTTTCCACGGGGGCGTTAAGAACATCACCTAGCTCTGTTGTTGTCGTCGCCGCATCTAGCGTAAAGGTCTTCTTCTTTTTCCCGTGTATTTCCTCGTCGTACTTTGATAATATACCGGCCTCTCCGGTCTCGTCAATGTCGTTAGGATCGTAAACCGGCCTCTTCCTCTTCAGCTCGATCTTCTCTTGCAGCTTTTCCTGTTCTCGTAGCGCCAGGTTTTCGAGCTCGTCGCCCTCCTCTTCATTCTCCAACACACCCGTGTCCTTCAACGTGAGAATCTGGTCATCTCCATCGAGAAAGCTAGCCATGTCATGGGCAACTTTGACCCCAGCGAGATCAGCCGCTGTATGCTCGGCCGCAGCTCTGGCGGCTTCCGCGGCCTCCTTCTCCTCCTGAGCCTTCCGAGCAGCCTCAATCTTCTTTTGCCGCTTCTTCTGATTCTTTAACCACGTCTTGGCGTCAAGGTCGTCGTCGTCATCGTCGGCCAACCCCTTGCCTGCGATCACGGCAGATCGCTGCGCCAGTTCGCGTGCCTTCTTGATTGCGGCGACTTTCTCTTCGCGCCTCCTCCTGGCCTCCTCGGCTTCTTGGACCTTTTTGAAATTGTCGTAGGCTGCAGCCTCGCGCGTCTCCAGAGTGCTTGCTGCCTCCCCGTTTTCATCGTGTGTGTCTTTTCGACTCGACTCCTCGGGTGGTGGCGCTGCGCCCGGGACGGGCAGGGGCTTCATGCCCATTGCCCGCCGGATCTTGTTTATCTCTTCGATTGATGCGGCGTCCATTTCGATGCACTGCGGGGGTCAAGGTCGAGGGTCGAGGTTCAGCGAAGTCAAGAAGGTTTTGGCTGAACAAGGCAGAACGATGAGGCTGACGAGGTTGCAACTTGCATGAGTGGCTGACACCGATAAGATAAGCTTTCTCAGCCATGCAAGGCTGGCCCCACTTCTCCCAAAATTTCTGCGGATATTTAGAGCCAAAATTTCTAGGCGAGTTCTCTTCCTTTCCCTTTTACTCTTCACGGATCTGTGCCCAGCGATCCTCTGCCGCTCCGGTGGTCAGGGTCGATTGCTGAGGCAGTTCGGTGAACCAAGGAGCCATCTAATTCTACATGATGTCAATTTCCACCCGACAGATCCAAGATCGACCGAACTCTGGGGAGCCACGTTCGCTGTAATAGGCTTGAGCATGGTGAACCAGATGATTTAGGAGACGCCATATTCCAAGCCGTTCGCCGAGACCGTCGGTCTATGGGGCTGGGGGAAACCATGGCTTGCCTACATTCCTTTGACGCTATCGCGTTCTGCTGATTATTCCTCGCAATGGCGTGTTCGACGTGGCCCGAAGGGACTTGCCCATGAGGTCCTTTACCATGGCACGCCAGCACCTCTTGCAACCGTGCCTGCAATCCGGGACGTCTGTTCAGTAGACAATGACCCTCCATGGCGGAGAAGGGCCGATGACGAACTTGAATTTGTCGCTATAGGATGGAGCTGGGTGGTAGTGGAGGGATGTCATCGGCGGCTCTCGAACGAACGACGCTCTTCAGGCTCAATTCAATGCAGACGAGCTTGTGAAGACCAAACGGTGCCGAGGGGTGACGGCTGCCCCAGCGGGCCCCGCCATTCCCCGTCGTTCCAAGCTCGTCCGCTTCAGTGAAAATGCGGAGGCGGCGCTGCTCACGCGTTGAACGGACCGATTTCATACACTGCAGGGCCGGGGCCGATGATGGTTACACCAGACTCCCTATAATGTTACTACGAATACTCGCTGAGTCGCCGTGATCTCCAAGTTGGCCGGGATTCCAAACGCGTGCAAGTAAGGCCTTTTACCTTAGATGTGAGTTGTCCGAACACAAAATGCTGAGGTCCAATACGACGCTTCGTGGATGATGATACAGTACTCCGTAGTCCTTACCTTAGTTAAGTGGTTCAGCAAATCGTTCAGCCCGTTGATGACTTCATTCGCCAAGCTGATCCATCCGTTTCTTCATTTCGCAAACCGGCAACAGTGCCTACAACACAAATGTTTGCCCAACAAAGGTGCAATTTACATTACCTTGCCACTCCAGCTCCTGGAGGCCGGACACGGCGTCTGATACAAAAAAGCATCAACACCATCGCTCCTCCCCGGCGTAGCCATCCAAGACGTTACACTAGAGCACGCTCTATACGCAGAATCACCGACGGAACAAGCGCCGAAGTTGGGGCCCCGCTGAGTTTGTTGTCGGCCCTTTCCCCGCATGCACAATTGTTCGGGCCGCCCTGGTGCAACGCCGTAGGGCCATCCCCGGACAGATTTCCTAAAGCGGAAAGTATGAGAAGGGGTGGATTAAAAGAGTGACGGTAATGAGGCGTATGAGGCGTCGGCGTTCAGTATAAGAAGATCAGCTCCAGTACTCGAGATGGCCAACCTTGTAGGGCAAGCTTGGGATTGTCTCCCAGCAGCCAACGCATCAGCCATCGTGGTCCCCGCCATGCACGCCTTCTCTTCGCTCTTCCTCTTGGGCGCCTGTGCCGTCCAGGCGGTCCTTGGCCGTCCGGACATTGCTGCCCGCGTCAAGCGGGAAGGCGACATCATCAAGCGGTCCGTTGACTCGTTCATTGATACCGAGACGCCCATTGCCTGGAGGAAGCTCCTGTGCAACATTGGGGCCAGCGGATGCGCTGCCCAGGGAGCTGCTGCTGGCGTGGTTGTTGCGAGCCCGTCCAAGGCGAACCCGGACTGTAAGTCATCATCAGAACCTGGATCCCGGGGACCCAACTAGGGGTTGTGCTGGACATTCTCAGACTGACTCCAAATAGACTGGTACACCTGGACCCGAGACGCTGCTCTGGTCTTCAAAGGCGTCGTTGATGCTTTCGCTCAGAATTACACAGCGGAGCTGCAGACCAACATCCAAAACTATGTTGCAGCCCAGGCCAAGCTCCAGGGAGTTTCGAATCCCTCGGGCAGCCTCTCCAACGGACTTGGGCTAGGCGAGCCCAAGTTCATGGTCGATCTTAGCCAGTTCACAGGCGCCTGGGGTCGGCCCCAGAGAGACGGCCCGCCTCTCCGGGCCATTGCTCTCATCCGCTATGCCAAATGGCTCATCAACAACGGATACCAGTCCACCGCGTCCAGCCTTGTTTGGCCCGTCATCAAAAACGATCTTGCCTATGCTGCTCAGTACTGGTGGGTCTTCAGATTGTCTTCCAAGGAGCACCTCTAACATCGGCTCCTAGGAATGAGACTGGCTTCGATCTCTGGGAGGAGGTCCAGGGCAGCTCGTTCTTTACCATTGCTAGCACCCACCGCGGTTAGTCTTCTTGCCAATACTCCCCAGTTCATGACTAAAACTCTAACATGATGTATCCAGCGTTGGTTGAAGGGGCTGCTCTTGCCGCCCAATTGGGCACTTCCTGCAGAGCCTGTACCACCGTCGCCCCTCATGTTCTCTGTTTCCAGCAGAGCTTCTGGCGGTCTGAAGGCTACATTGTCTCCAACAGTAAGCCTACCGCATCGCCCGTTAGCGAACATGCAGTCTGACAGTCTATCAGTCAACGGCGGTGAATACCGCAATGGAAGGGACGCCAACTCAGTGCTAACCTCGATCCACAACTTCGACCCCGCCGTTGGCTGCGACGCCAACACCTTCCAGCCATGCAGCGACAGGGCCTTGTCCAACCACAAAGCCTACGTCGACTCGTTCCGCTCCATCTACCGAATAAACTCGGGCATCCCCCAAGGACAGGCTGTCGCCGTAGGCCGCTACTCCGAAGACGTCTACTTCAACGGCAACCCCTGGTACCTCACCGTCTTCGCCGCCGCCGAGCAGCTCTACGATGCGATTTACGTCTGGAAGAAGGCCGACTCCATAACCGTCACCCAGCTCTCTCTCCCCTTCTTCAGGGACCTCCTCCCCTCCATCACGGCCGGTACCTACCCCTCCACTTCGGACACCTACACGTCCATCATCAACGCCGTATCCACCTACGCAGATGGCTTCATGTCTGTCGCCGCCGCGCGCGTGGCCTCGGACGGCTCCATGCCGGAGCAATTCGACCGGAACACGGGCCAGCCGCTGGGCGCGTCGGACCTCACCTGGAACTACGCGGCGTTTCTGACCGCCGCGGCGCGGCGCGCGGGCGTGGTGCCGGCGGGGTGGAGCGCCGAGTCCGGGCGGACGTTGCCCAGCAGCTGCTCGCGGATCGAGGTAGCCGGGTCGTACGCCTCGGCGACGGCGCCATCGTTCCCGCCGGGCGGGGCGCAGACGCCGAACCCGTCGGCGGGGCCCGCGCCGTCGCCGTTCCCCACGGCGTGCGCCGACGCTGGTGAGGTTTACGTCACCTTTAACGCGCACACCACCACCCAGTGGGGGCAGACCATCAAGCTGGTTGGCAACGTGCCTGAGTTGGGCGGATGGAATACAAACAATGCTGTGGGCCTTTCTGCGTCTGGGTACGCGGCTAATGATCCCCTTTGGAGCATCACGGTGCCGCTGCGGGCAGGCACGGCGGTGCAGTATAAGTATGTCAATGTGCAGAGTGACGGGTCGGTCAGGTGGGAGTCGGATCCGAATAGGAGCTTTACGGTGCCCAGTGCCGGCGCGGTGGGTGCGTGCGCGACGGCGGTAAGGGATGATTCGTGGCGGTGAGGTGGTTTATGTTAACGAGGGTTTGAGGAAGGGAGGGAGCTGGAATAGCACTGCTTTGGATCATCAGCGCTGCATCTAGGGTTGCGAATTCTGGTTCCTGTTTCTAGCATATATACATGGCGCCCAGCCTTAGTAGCTCTTCTATAATATCAAGCTCGACTTGGGCTCTGAGCGCGAGGATATTTGTAACGAGGTGCGGGGTGTACAGCCCCTTCGCTACTAGGACAGCTTGCCTTGCTCCTTGAACTGGAGCTCGATAGAGCGAAGCTTTCTGGCGATATGTTGGGAACTTGTAGCTTTCCCTTCAGGTACTGGAGCGCTATGATCCGTTTGTGCGTCGGAATCCATGGGATCTCTAAGGATGCGACGGCGCATACCGGTATTCGGACGAGACCCGCACAGAGCTCAGCAAGGACAGCGTTTCGCCTTGTAAAGGCGTTCGAACACGCCGTGCAGACGCACGAATCGCAGGATGATCTGGATCAATGGCAACAAGCTGCGCGCCGATGAGGTCCACGTCTACCAAAAGATGTGCGGAAGGCGCAGTAGCGTGCGTCCCAGTGGCTTCGCCTTGAGGCCATGTAATTCGTTCCCGGTGTTATGACGAGTATCTCGGGCCGGAATGTCTACGAACGACGAGTCCCCAGTGAACACTGGCATTCGCTTCCGCCGGGGGATGACGCTCAAGGGTTCCGGCGGTGATACACAGAAAAACCCTAAGCTCAGGAAACGCAGGGACAAAGGCATTTTCGCTATAGAGGGGGATTGCACCCATCGACAACCGGCTGTCGGCTGGTGCTTCGACGTCGACAAGCGGGATCACATCACCTGGAAAATGAGGCGGGAGCAGGTGGAGGTCGCCAAACTGATTGCCCAGAGAAATGGGTTCTTGTGACGACCGTTTCCGGCGCCGATAGGTATCGGTCGATGAGCCGACCGCCCGGGGTGTCGGGGAGTGGATGATCGCGTACTGCTTCATACTTAGGTATCGGTCGATGAGCCGACCGTCCCGAGGCGCCCAGTCTTGTGAAGACCGCTTCCGGCGCCGATGGTGAGCGGGTCATGGGGACCTGGCGGCTTTCTGGCTAGAGAGCGATTTGAACTGGGAGCCTCTAGGTTTACGAGCTACATCTTTACCACTCTACTATACTACCCAGTGGGGGGTGAAATTAGGAAGGTCGACTTTACTTATCAACACATTCAGCTACTCCGTACTGTCTAGTATGAACTAGGTCGACATCTACTCTATTCTGTGCCAGGAGACAACCAGAAAATTTCCCAACCCGGCACCGCCCCCTTTCTAATCAACCACGCATCCACGTTACCCCTCGCCTTTCATTACAGCCCATACACACCCACCTCCGTACCCCCGTCCTCTCTCCCCAGCACAATCCTCTCCAACGCCCTTATAAGCGCCTCCACCGCCCACTCCAGCACCCTCCCAAACTCCACATCCTCCCCATGCTCGCTCCCATCCAGCACCTCTATCCCCTCGCGCCTCAACACGCCAGCATCCATCCTACCCCCCTCGACCTGACCACCCTCAAAAAGCCAGCTGTGAGCCTCCACGTGATCCGGCCAGACAATCTTCTCCACGTAGCCCGGGGGGTCCTTCCAGAACCCTTCCAGGGTAACGTACCCGTCCCGTAGTTCCCTGCGGCGCACGGCCCGGGTCTTGCTCACGCGCAGAAAGAGCTTGACGTCGAGCAGCGACATGACCCGGCTGAAGGCTGGAGGGGAGTAGAGCAGGAAGCCATCTAGGATGCAGATGCGCGGCGGGTTGGGGTTAGACGTAGGAGGCACCGAAGACGAGTGAGAGGAGGAGGGAAAGATAAGGGAGCCCGGGCAGCCGGGCGAGAGCCACTCTCTCACTCGGGCGGCGCAGGCGGCAATCTGTTCGGCTGTGGCGGGACATGGGCCGACGGAGTTCTGGTCTTCTTTCGAATCTACGGTGGGCTGTTGTTGTTGGTCGGGGTTTGCGGTTGTGGTGAGTGAACTTGTCGTTGGCGGTTTTGGTCTCGTTGAGGGTAATGATGGTAACGGGGAAAGGGGTAAAGGGGGCGGGGAAAGGGTCGGGGATAAGGGGAAAGATAGAGAGAGGGAAGGGATGGAGACGCAGCCATGATTGCTGCGGTGGGAGAGGCGACGGGTGGGCATGCTGGTACTGACTGGGAATGTGCCCGTTGCGCGGATGTGCTCGAGGGCGGCTTCTAGGTCGGGAATGGAGATGGCCTCGGGACAGTCCCAGTCGACGAGGCCATCCTTGATTGGGAGTCTTTTATGGTACAATACAGTCAGCAAATGGGCATGGATTCGCAGAGAGAAGTAGGCTCCATACTCAGACTCGGGCTTGTAAAAATCGTCTTCGTGCAAGACAAAGGTCTCGGGAAAGATATCGCGCAGCAGTCTGGCCAGTGTCGTCTTGCCGCTCGAGGAGCAGCCACTGATGCCGATTATGATGGCGCGCCGTTGGTCCATGGTTCGGGCGCCAGTCTCTTCTGTCGAACTCGGCGATGGCCTTCAACTAACTACCTTGACCTAAGGACCTCACTCACGACGGAAGTTTATCACGGAGATTCCGGGCTGAGCTAAGCCATGAAATACCGCGTAGCGCAGGAGCCTATCAAGCACTGTTACCAGCGTGTTGTTATTCAAAGGTTCACTCAATGGAAAGTGTGTTTTTGCTAGTACATATGAGACTATGCCATATCCACCTAAGTGGTACACATGTGCTGCCTGCGTTGCCTCCAGGTAGAGAGAATTTGATGGAAATACTGCGAGCGAAGAGTTATACATATGTAAGTACAGTACGTACATACCTTACTGTAAAGCCATAAGGTGCTGTAACTTACCGCACTTCAGTACACTTTTCTTGCGATACCAAATGTAATTCATGAATCATGATCCTTTAATTCGTACGAAATACGGTAACATTACATAATGCCTTCGCACTATTGCAGACACAAGCCAAACGTTAACATCGAATGATCGAACCGACATCCCTCGTCCACATCCGTCAACCTCCAATAGCACCCCCTCCCTTGCCGTTGCACCCCCACCATGACGACCTCCGACATAACCTCCGCCGTAGTAGTATCCACCAGCATAGTCAGCTTCATCTCGGGCTTCGCGCTAGGTGTCTACTCGATCCGCGGCTGGCTTTTGTCTCCTGACCTGAAGGTCGAGCGGAATGCCAACCTGAACGATCCCGTCGAGAGCGAGGAGTCGGATGTTGACGAGGAGGAGACCCTCCTCGACCACGCGCCCAACTGGGCCAATGGCGAGGAAGCAGACCGCCGGCAGGGCCTGCGAGGGACCTCATCCTCCAAACAGCAGCAGCCTGCCCCCGCCGCTGCTCGACAACGGCTCCCCAACCCCGGTGCCAACGAAGAGTGCAAGCTCGTTTTGGTAGTGCGCACCGACCTGGGCATGACCAAGGGTAATAAAGCTCAACTCCTCCTCTCACCTTCCATCCCCTACCAGCTAACCAACCCTTTCGGCACAGGCAAAATCGCCGCGCAATGCGGGCACGCGACCCTGGCATGCTACAAGACGCTGCAGCAGGCGGCGCAGCGGGATCCGCAGGGCGCCGAGGCCCGGGTGCTCCGGCAGTGGGAGCAGCTCGGGCAGGCCAAGATAGCGGTGCAGGTCAAGAGCGAGGTTGAGATGCTGGAGCTGATGGGCCGCGCGCGGAGCCTCGGGGTCACGGCCGAGGTGATACGCGACGCCGGCCGCACCCAGATTGAGTCTGGGAGTAAGACGGTGCTTGGGGTCGGCCCTGCGCCCAAGAGCCTGGTGGACTCCATCACGGGGCATCTGAAGCTCTTGTGAATTCAAACGACAAACGGAACTGTGTTAAGAATGTTCTGCGTTTAATTTGCGTTGGTTTGCATGGTGAGGTAAAACGGGGTTAAAGGTACGTTTCGGTTGGCATATGCCCGCAGTCATTTGCAGCTGACACCTGAATAGATACCATACTATACACATAGAGCATAATGCACAAGGCATGGGGCAGCCTTTCATGATACAGCCGTGAATGACGGGGAATCGATGTGGTGACCTGGGTATCACTACCACTACTCTTTCCTGGCAAACCGAGCCAGGGCCGGCCCCAGCTCCGCCTGCCGCTCCTTGTGCTTCTCGTCCCTCTTCTCTTGCATTTCCTTGTACATCTCCTCCACCTTCAACCTCTTCTCATCAATAATGTTCTTCTTCCTCTGCTTCCGCAGGTACTTCTTCAGCGCACCGTTCTTACCCCTGGCCTTGTTTCTAATCTCCTCAGCAATATCCACAGCCGGGGCGTCCAGGTCCTTCTCCGCCCGCCGCTGCTTCTCCGACCGCAGGTCGAGATTGCCGATGAAATTGGGATCCAGGGCTATCATCTCGGGCTGTAGTTTGTTCAGGAGACCCTTGACCTCGCCCTCCTGCCGCTGCTTCTTGGTCTCCAGCGGGTTGACCTCGAGAGCGTCAAAGTTGGCCTCGCCGGCGCCGGGGATGACGATGGAGGAAAACCCCTGCGTGTGGCCTATCCCAAGCACATCCTCGAACGGGCACCACCGTACCCGCTCAATCGATTGGCCGTCGCCTCCCCATGTCATGTAGGGGCTTTGGACCTTTTCCTGTACGGGCTTTTCTTTTGAAAACAGGCCCTTCCAGACGGTTGTCCTAGTCCCCCACCCGACAGCGGTTAGGCCTGTGTCTGATATCGCGAGCGATGATGCCGGTGATCTGGTGAAGTAGCTGGATACCGCTTCCTTGAAATTCCGAATGTCCCAGATGGCCATCCGGTTGTCCTGCCCTGCTGACACCATGTACCGCCCCTCCCGATCGACTGCTAGCGAGCGCACCGGGCCCCTGTGAGCGAGCAGCTTGACTAGGGGATCTGTCGAGTTCGGCGACCATAGTGTGACGGTGCCGTTCTGCTGACCAACGTGCAGAATGGCATTGTATGGATTTTGCGCCAAGGACACTGGAGTTCCAAGCTTTGTGGGTATCTCTGCAACGATTTGGCCAGTCGAGGTATCTTGGTATTTGAGCTGGCCACTAATGCTCTAGTGGCTGGTCAGTAGGGCCAGCGAGCGATTACAACCGAAGACACTTACCAAGGTCGCCAAGAGGAAGTGATAAGGCAGGAATTCCATGTGTGAGACTTCGACATGTTTCTTGAGGCAATGGAGCTCCACGCCATTGGCATCGTATATGTATACGTATTTCTTTTGCGCAACGGCAAAGAACTGGTTGTTGTGGAGAAATCGAGCATCCCGAATCGTCTCGCCAAGCTGCAACTCGCAGCCCAGCTTGCCTTCCCGCCAATCCATCGTCGCAACGTGACCCTTCCTACCCGCTAGGATCAGGTCTCGTCCGTTTCGACTGTATTCGCAGACATATGGGCCCAACTGATCCAGCTTCAAATCGAACTTCTTCTGCGCCACCTCGACCGCAACCTCCTTTTGGATATCATCCTGCCGGACTCTGTAAGTCCGCTCGAGCTCCGTCTCCGGCTCGAGGAAGCCAGAGGTGTTCTCGAGGAGTATCTCAGCCTCCTTGGCCTTCAGCGCTGCCGTCTTATATTTGTTCTCGAGGTTGGTGAGGTTGCGCCGCAACTTCTTGTCCTTGACAGTCTTGACATCGATTTGGCGTCCGCGGCCGTAGACCTTCTGTGCCTGCTTGTATCGGCGGATGCGGTCAAGCTCGGCTTTGGATCGGAAATCGGTTCGAAGATTGGTAACGGCTAGAGCCCCATTGGGCTGCTCCACCCTGGTTAAGGGGGCATCGGTGGTGTCTATTGCATCCATGCTGTCGATGTGCACATTTGGAATTGGAATGAGAAACGGTCATCGGCTCCGATCGTGAGGGATTGCGACCGACAGTTTTAGACCAGATCCACTAAAAAGTTCAAAATCAATCATATGATTGGCCACACATCTGCTGATAAGATACGACGCACAAGTCGAAAAACGAGTGTGCCCCGCTAGCACCCCTCAATATTTCCATAATTCATTGCTGAACAAGTCGACGTTCTGTGACGGTTGGGTAAATATCCTGCGAGATCACACACTCCAGTGGCAATTCACCGACAGGAAAAACAAAACTGGCGTCCCTTCCCTACAGATTCAAAGCCGGCGGCGACGGGAAAATGCCGGGTGCAGTGGGCGCTGGCCACTCCCACCGGCCCACGACCAAGGTGTCGCACAAGCCCTTCAAGTCACGGAAGGCAACCAAGGGTCAGATGCGGAATGCTGCCAAAGGTATGACTCACACCGGTATTGGTCAGACATGGTATACTGTTAGCTGGCGGTGAAGACGCCATAGAATACATGGGAGACTATCTTGTGCTGCTCAGGATGTAGACTGATCCGCCCACTCGATAGGCAGAACCCAGGACGAGCGAGGCCTGCGCAAGACACCACACCAACAAGTCATGTCGAAACTCGAGCGACGAAACCAGGCCAAGCAGAGGCAGTTGGAAAAGGCCCGCGAGCATCAGAAGGAGACGTCGATCTTCTCCGGAAAAGATGGCGCGCCCCGGAATGTTGCCGTAATCCCCTTATGTGCCGACAGCGATGCTTCCGCCGCCATCCAGAAGTTAAACGGCAGCATTGATATTGAGGCCGAAGTGCAAAATGGGTGTTTCCGAGTTCCGGTTGACAGGTTCAAGCAGAGGCTACAATATGTGCCCCTGAAGAGGGACCTTACTGCTTGTCTAGACGCCGCCCGGGTGGCCGATTTTATCGTTCTGGTACTCTCTGCCGAGGTGGAGGTTGACGATCTGGGCGAGCTGATTCTGCGGAGTGTTGAGAGCCAGGGCATGTCAACTCTGTTTACTGTTGTTCAGGGTCTTGACAAGATCGAACCTGCGAAGCAAAGACTCTCCGTGGTCTCATCTCTCAAGTCATATATCACACATTTTCACCCGGAACAAGACAAGATCTACAGTCTCGACAATCGGCAAGAATGCTCGAATTTGATGCGATCGTTTTGTAGCACAACACCGAAGGGGATCAGGTGGCGGGATGAGCGGAGCTGGATGCTGGTCGAGAACGTCAAGTTCGCCTCTTGCGAATCCGAAAGCACAATACTCACTGGGGTTGTCCGGGGCAAGGGCCTTAAGGCCGACCGCCTTGTCCAGGTCGGCGACTGGGGCACATTCCAGATCGAGAAAATCACAGCTGCACCACTCGCGACACGAAAAAGTAAGCGAGAGGATACCATGAACGTGGATGACGCTTCAGCCGAGGAGGTCCTGGACGCCCCCACTGATGATCAGGACGGCCTTGACGATCTCGCGCCCGAAGAGGCTGTCATGGGCGATGCCGAGGACGAGGATATGGGTGCTGCCACCACCGTGACAACGTCAAAGAAAGGGGTGTTATTAGATGATCACCACTATTTCTCAGACGATGACCAAGTTCAGGAATTAACCATGCCCAAGAAGGTGCCGAAGGGCACATCAAAATACCAATCCGCGTGGTATCTGGAGGGTGACGACGTGTCAGATTCTGGCTCGGATTTGGAAGACTATGAAATGCAAGATGCTGGGGGCGATGAGGAAGCAGCACAGCCGGAAGACGGGATGGAGGGTCTAGCTAGAGACGCTATGACAGAGGCTGGGCCGTCCGAGTACCCTCAATCCGTGGCATTTGTTGAGCCAGATGAAGAGGAGGATGCGAAGGCGCTAGAAGCTTACCGAAAACAGAAACGGAGCGAAGCCGAAGATGACCTGGAATTCCCCGACGAGATCGAACTGCATCCAAATGTTCTTGCCCGGGAACGACTGGCGAAATACAGGGGTCTCAAAAGTCTGAGGACAAGCCCCTGGCTGGAGGACGAAGACCGCGCATTTGAACCCGAGGAGTGGCGGCGGCTGCTGCGGATTTCCAACTATCAAGCGTCCCGGATCAAGGCGGCACGGGAGGCCCTAGCTGGCGGCGTAGCCCCTGGAAGTCGGGTCCACGTCCACATTAAGGGCGTGCCATCGACAGTTCAGAACTCGTACGACTTGAGCAGGCCGGTTACCCTCTTCTCTCTCCTGAGGCACGAGAACAAGCGGACTGCTGTCAATGTTCTCATAAATCTCAGCTCGGACTACCCGACTTCGATCAAGGCTAAGGAGGAGCTCATCATCCAATATGGACCCCGACGTCTAGTTATCAACCCGCTTTTCTCCCAAGGCGGCAGCACACCAAACGATGTGCACAAATACTGCCGCTATCTACACCCCGGGCAGTCCGCTGTGGCAACTTTTATGGGCCCTCTGACATGGGGTTCCGTGCCGGCCCTCTTCTTCAAGCGGACCGTTCCGGGTACCGAAGCCCAAGACGAGGAGTCCACCCTGCCGTTGACGCTCGTAGCCACTGGAACAACGCTGCCGCCATCAACGTCGCGCGTCATTGCCAAGCGGGCTATTCTCACTGGCCACCCATACCATATCCATAAGAAGGTCGTCACCGTCCGGTACATGTTCTTCAACAGGGAGGATGTGGAGTGGTTCAAGGCCTTGCCGCTGTGGACCAAGAGAGGACGCAGCGGGTACATGAAGGAAGCGCTTGGCACGCATGGCTATTTCAAGGCCAACTTTGACGGGCGCATCAACCCACAGGACTCGATTGGGGTCAGCCTGTACAAGCGGGTGTGGCCGCGCAATGCTCGGTCGCTGGATGGGTTGTTGCTCGATCCTGCGTTGGTGAAGGAAGGCGAAGTAGATGCGATGGAGGCCGATGTTGAGTAGACGAGATGGTGCTATAGACCCGCCCAGCGAGGGCTTCATGACGGCGTTATGGGGAATGATGATGCACTTTCTGTTTGGTGTCCCTCTCACCTGTTTGTCGCTTCCTTTTCTCCAGGTCGGCCAAAACTTACGCGCCATGGCTCAGTCATACAACATGGTATACACCTATATTCTCAGTCCTTTCCTCCCCTTAGCCCTCTAACTCCTCCAAACCCTCAGTTGGCTTCGGGCCTCCTACAGCTTTCCTCGCCTCTTCGGCTCCGCTCGCTCTCCACGCGCTCATGATCAGATTCACGATGTGCTCCACGCCAACACCCTTCTTGACCTGCGCGAAGACGGTCGGGCCGCCCTCGCGCATCTTGCGCGCGTCCCGTTCCATGACGCCCAGGTCCGCGCCGACCGCCTCGGCCAGGTCGGTCTTATTGACGACGAGCAGGTCGCTCTGCGTGATTCCCGGGCCGCCCTTGCGGGGCACCTTGTCGCCGCCGCTAACGTCGATGACGTAGATGATGTAGTCGGCCAGCTCGCGCGAGTAGTTGGCGGCGAGGTTGTCCCCGCCGGACTCGATCAGCAGCAGGTCGGTGGCGAACTCGGCGTGCAGGTCCTCGAGCGCGGCCAGGTTGGCCGAGATGTCCTCGCGCACCGCCGCGTGCGGGCAGCCGCCCGTCTCGATGGCCCGGATCCGCGCCGCGGGGAGAGCCTTGTGCCGCGTCAGAAACTCGGCGTCCTCCCGTGTGAAGATGTCGTTGGTCACAGCCGCCAGCGACACACGGTTCCGTAGCGCCAGGCAGAGTGCTAGCATCAACGCGGTTTTGCCTGAGCCGACAGGGCTGTGTTGAGAGTTGACGGATGTCAGTCACCTACTGGCAAGCCAATGCGATGGGAAGGGAAGGAAGGTGTTTGTTGCCTTGGGACGGGGGCAGGAACAGAGAAGTTGCTACATACCCGCCAATCCCAACGGTAAAGGCGCGGTCGGCCCAGTTCCGCCCTTCGACTATCGGCATTTCGCGGCCGAGGTAGCTACCCGGGCCGTCGAGAATTTCATGGCTGTGGCCGTGCTCGGCGGGGTTGAAAGTGTCGTGTGAGTGCGAATGTGAGTGGTTGCCATCGTGCGAGTGGGTAATTCCCGCCATTCTGCAGGAATTGGAGCACGGACAGCTTAGAAGATGTAGGACTTAGTAGGACGAGCTAAGGACCAGAGAAAAGTCGACTGCAGCGAAGATGAGTTGAATCGCGATGCTGTGTAACCTTGAGCACGTTGAAGCTTGTGATGGTGGTCATATTGCGGAGGAGGACCCCAACTAAGGAGGGGTAGAATGCTTCGAATGAGGGGCAGGCTTGGCAAGAGCTGATAAGGTGTTGAGGGGGTTATATCAACCCTAACCCTGCTGCGCTACTGTCATCTCACCCCGGATTCACAGGGGCAGAAACGGCAATGGCGGATTGTTGACGTCCGTCGAAGGATCCAAGGCGCATGCACTCGCCATCGCTTGACATGGCCTGCCACAAGAAGTATCACCAAGGCCGCTCTTGCCAAGGTGTGAATTGTGGGGGAAGAAACGGCAAGCCCAATAATCTGCTCAAAGGTGCTCTGTTGCGCCTTCTTCCCTAGCAGCATGTGACGCTGTGCTGACATGTTGCCGTCCTCAATCCCCCTTTTCATCTCCCGTTCCTGAAACAGGGCAAGTTCCTCCACACTACAGCAGACAAGGGAATGAACATTGCAGGCTTGGCGATTACGGCCATGCTGCCTCCGTTGGGTTTTTCAGCGTGGAATTTTGACTCAATGTTTCTCATCTCAGTATCGTTGTGCTGAAGTGCAGCGTGTGGTTACTGGTGCTGTGGGAATAGGCAGGTCTCGCCAGTCATGGCAAGAGTAGAAATAGGCGGTGGCCTACAACCACCTCCCTTCTGTCCTGGACCCTGACCTCCTCAGACATCTTATTCCTGGGTGTCAGCTGAACAACGTCTCTTGTCCACTCCCTATATACCAGGTAGCAAAGATGTTGCTCTCAAACCTGGCTCTCTTGGTTCTCTCTTCGTGCATCCAGCTGGCTACAGCACGGCCAGCACTCTCTTCTCGTACGCAATGCTCATTGCAGGTCATACACAACATGGAACCTAACTAACAATCCCCTAGGAAATGAGGGCACCACTACCTGCACCCCCAAGCCGGCCCCGACTCACTGGGGCATTCTCATGCCCCGTGCCTTTGCCCCGCTTGACGTCTTCGGTCCAGTTGAAGCCCTCCAAGCCCTCGCCCGCAGCACGCATCTGAAGCTCTCCCTCCTGGCGCGTACTATGGAGCCCGTGAGCTCGGCTCCAGTCAGCCCTGCCATGAACAGGTTCAACTCGTCCTTCTGGCCCTCCTTTGTCCCAACAGATACCTACGCAGACAACCCGCCGATCCAAGTGCTGCTCATCCCCGGGGGTGCCGCGGCGAGGTCGCCAGACCTGGGCCCGGAGCTTGAGTACATCAGGAAGGTCACTCCTAGCCTCCAGTATCTTATTACCATTTGCACCGGTGCAGGGATCGCGGCCCAGGCCGGTGTGTTGGATGGCCACAGGGCCACAACGAATAAACGGGCGTGGAATGAGATGATCCCGAGGGGCACCAATGTCAAATGGTGAGCGGTTTCCGGCTCCTCCACGGCTCCTTCACCACCACAGAAAGATAAACTGACAAAACAACTCGTGCCAGGGTCTCTCCAGCGCGCTGGGTAGAGGATGGCAAAGTATGGAGCTCATCAGGGGTAAGCTTCGCTCTATGTATCTGCTGTCTTCCAGCAAACTAATTGCCCATGGCTTTTCCGGGGAACAGGTTACTTCCGGCATAGACCTCACGCTCGCCTTCATCGAGGCAAAATATCCCAACGGGAGCACCCTGGCCAATGATATCAGCCACACAATGGAGCACCAGAGGATTACAGACTGGCGCCATGACCCAGAAGCTGAGTACTTCCACGTCCCGCCGACAAACTGAGTGACTTTGGGGAATCGAGGGGGATTGAGAGATAGCTGAAGGGCGGTTTTGAATGAAGTCATGGCCACGCACATAATTTTTTCGAACCGCATGGAAGATTGGCCTTTGGCGGGAAATAACATGTCAGAAGAGGAGTGAATGTCTCTGCATGCCGCAGAATGTGTGATGGCAGCTTGCCAATGATCAATTACCGTACAAACATTAATACTATCTAACCCAACACAAGTCGCGTACAAGGACCATTTTCTGTGTATCTACCCCTTTGCCCGTATATTGATGAATTCCGTGCTGACCAAACACGTCGTGTGTAGAAGGGGTAAGGGCAGGCCAGGAAATGGTCAACTAAGCAAACAAGGACACCTTTCTGTGTCCCTTCCCGGTGTGTTGATGAATACCGTTCTGACCAATGAACGTCCAGGATAAGGGCAGACAAAGCAAGATGGTCAACTGATCTAACCCAACATGAGTGGCGTACAAGGACCCCCTTCTGTGTTTCTACCCCTCTTCCCTGTGTTGATGACTATCGTTCTGACCAAGAACGTCTTGTGTAGAAGGGGTAACGGCAGAAAAGTTTGCCAAGACAAAAACGCCCCAACCCAATGTAAAGGAAACTCCGACAGATACGCGCTGGACAATAAACACTCACTTAAGAATCTCAAGAAGTTAGGAAGCCTGACCGTAGCCCCTCAAATAGAAATCAGCACTAAACAGCACTTCTGGGGGCCTTTCTATGCCCGCTCGTACCCTTTCAGAGCGGCGGCCATCACGACTCGGCTTTGGGTAAGCCGAACCCGGTACCGCCTACTTTCGTTTCGGTTTGGGCGGTGGCGGCATCGGCTTCCTGGGCAATGTCCGTTCCTGTGCGGACGACGGCGGCGGGGGAGCCAGCCCCGGGGGAGGCAGCGGCGGGGGAGGTGGCGGGGGGAAAGGCGGCGGTGGTGGAGGCCGCATCAGACCTTGCCTCAGACTTGGCCTCTAGCCAGATTCAGTTGACGCCCTCCGCCCATCAGAAGCGGAAGCAGATGTGTCCTCAGCTTTCTCAGAGTTCTTCCCGATGCGGAGCAGGTTGAAAACCGTCTCCCAAGTGTCAACGGTGACATGCGCAAAGCCACGCCCTTCGGCCTTCTGCTGATTGTACCACTCCATTGTCGGCAAAAAGGTGTACGTCATGTGCGTAGGCGCCGGCTCGCCGGGCACGACGCGGGCACGAGCAAGGCGCGCCTCCTCGTACAGTCTGTTCCTACACACGGACCGGAGTCCACCCACGGCGGCCTGGGGCCGTACCTTGCCCCGCGGGGGGTGGAAGATTATTCGGACATCATCGCCCTCATCCTCAGCTTCCGAGCTGTCAATGTCCATGGATCCATTCTCGAGGCTGGTCCCTTGATCAACAAATAAGGACGAGTCGGCATCACCTGTGGGCGAGCGAGAGCCGTGATTTTTTGGCAGGTCCAGTGCTACCCTCTTATATCCCCTCGCCTCCATTGTATGCTCTGGCGCCGGGAGAAACTCCTTAATGTCCTCCAGCAACATACGCAGAAAACGGAGTGTTACATCGACAGGACTCGGAGAGTCGCATTCTGACGGCCAATGGAAACCCCCAAGCCACACCTGGTCAAGGAATGTACCTGGGTTCTTCTGAGGCCCGTTATCCCGGACATGCTCAATAACCTGCCGCTGCATGTAAAGCAGCCCCTGCTCGGTCGGGCGGTTTCTCCCAAACCTGGTTCTCGCCGCTGGATCCCAGATGATGACTTCACACCGGCTGAAAGGCTTCCTATGCGGGTTGACCGGTCTGTAGACGGCGATCCAGGGATGCCGCTCCGGCTGACGACTGGATGGCGGATTATCGGGATCCCAGTCTTCTGCAATGGTGTAGAAAAAACCAATGTAGGTGTTGTATCCACGAAGACCAAAGGGAAAGGTGAATTTGAACCAGTCAGAAATCCTGGGAAACCTCAAAGTGAAGTCGTTGAAATGATCAGCCATCTCTAGGTCGAGCCACGAGACGGGGTACTTGAAAAGAATCCACTGGAACTTGAGTGGCCGCGAAGACAGTTCTTCAAGGCATGCAAACATGCTTGTTAGGTCCTCTGAACGATTGACGTTGCTTTGAAGAGTTCGTGGAGGCTGGGCATTCACTGGTGCCTCCTGTCCGTTCGCTTCCACTCTGTTGCCACCTTCTACCTCATCATCAGTCGCTGTAGCTGTCTCTTGAATAACTTCCAGGACTGCATCTGGGTCGTTCAGCGTGACTTTTGAGTATTTCGGGATCCGGACGAGGCATTCACCCCTCTTGTACTCAGGTGACTTGGTCGCGTCACTTGAACCGACAACGAGAAATTTGCGGAACTGATCAGCACGCAGAGTTGCCCACCAGCCAAACCAGTTGACGAGGCTCTGCTCATCGTTGGGATCAATACACTGGTCTGCATATATGACCGGGCTATTGTCCTCAACTTGCCCATATATGCCGGCCTTGGCTATGCGCAACAGGTGCAATTCACCAGCTAACTCAGCTACCCGATATCGATCATCACAATCTTCGGAGAGTAGACCGGAGAGCTTGGCAGCAATCTCAAGTTGAGCTCCGCTCATTTTTTCCAGAAGATCTTGACGAGCTCTATATTTCTCTTCAGCCAACTCACGTGTGTATTCGTGGAAGTTGTAGGGTGTGACGATTCGGTAATGAAATGTCCGGGCCCACTGAGCAAACCACTCGAGTAACTGAGCAGCGCGGCGTGGTTCGGAGACGATGAAGCTTGGTGTGAGGAGTACAGCTGACCGATACGGGAACAGCTTCGTGAGACGGACGTCTCCGGGAGGTACGGGCTGCTCCGTGGTGGATATCGACGGATAGAGCCTGACTCCGTGGACCGGCTCTGAAAGGCACCAGAATTGGTCTTTCCTCGAGATGAGACATCGATTAAGGTTTGGAAACCGGCGAAGACTCCATGCAAGCATCTCGTGAATGATCACCACCCCTTCGGAAGCAGCTTGAAGAGCTGCCCAACTTCCAGCGCGACTGCTGGTGAATATTCGGCACTCGGGGTTGCAAGAACGTAACCAATGACAGAGTGCCTGCAATGTCACCTCTCTAGAAGGGGGGATTGCTAGGAAGAAATTGTGGACACCACGCTCTTTGAGCATTGGTGGGAGAAGGTGAGAATAGTTGAACCCGAAAAATCGCTTGAGCATGAGCTCCCGATCAGAAGGCCCGTGTTCGCCAGGCCTCGGCCCCGAATCTCCGACTGCTTGCAGAGAGGTTGCGGTAGGAGTCAATGGGGCCGACATGAGCCCAAAATCCAGTAGTGAGGAGAAAATGAAATATCTGAGGAGTGCTACTCCCGACGGGCTTACTGCTTCCTGGCCCAGCGCGATCGACTTCCAATCATCGCACTTGGTTGGGAATATCAGGATGTTGTACTCAGCCTGGCTGTAGAAGAAGCCCAACAAGCCGGCTATCAGATACTCGGTAACCTGATCGAAGTACCCTTGCCCCTCTCTAGGTTCTAAAATCCCGCTGGCTAGCTGTTCGTGTACCAGCGATCCTATCTTGGTAGCCACGTTTTTGGCGAAGCAGGTGTGCCTGAACTCCAGCGTCTCCTTGGCTAGGAAGTCGGCAAGCCATGCGTGGTTTGTGGGTGATGCTAGGGGCAACCCGTTGAAGATCACTTCAACGGAAGATTGACCCAATATCAACTTCTTTCGTGAGCTCTGGGTACCCGTGGTGCCCGGTGCCAACGGTATCAAGCGGTTCTGATTCAAGATAGGCTTTTCCCGGGCAGCAATAGGGTTAGCGCTTGGAAGGGACGCCCGAGGGAAAGGGCCTTGCGGGTCCTGAGGCGGATCTCCCGTGACAGGGCTGTCAACAACCATCGATTCGGGTTCTTGAACAAAGAGAGCGTCATCTCCGGCGTCATCGTCCAAGAATCGAACCGACTTTCGCTTCTTCCTTGCGGGCTCTGCAGCCTGCTCCGGGTTCGTGACGGCCATCGCTGACGGACCGGCGCCGGGATTAGTCTCGATAGGTGTGACGGGCCCCTGGGGAGTTAGCGCGCTTGGGCTCTGAATGGAACTGCCGGAGCTTCGTCTAGCAGCCACGGGTCCCTTGCTGATATCAAAAAGCTGCAGGCTCGAAATGTCCGGCGGGAGGTCCTCCTTGTCACGACTTCGCTTCTCAGCCAGGCGACGGCGCCTATGAGTGGCGAAGAATCTCGGTTCCTTGGTCGGGTCAGATATGGCGTCCCGTAGATTCGATCGCGGTTTTCGCAGCTTGCCGCCAGTAAAGATATTTCCAGCCGGCTTCTTCGTACCCTTTTTGGCCGTGAGGGTTCTCTGAGGCTGAGGAATGGCCGCGGAATTGCCCGACGATAAGGTTGGTGTTCGGGACAGTACAGTGCTAACAACTCCTGCCTTTGATTTTCGCTCGGTGTTCAAAGGATAGGCTAGTTCCGCATTGTCTCTTCCATTGTTGGCATTACGATTGGATCTGTCGGGAACTTGTTTGGTCGGCCCTTTGGCTGTTCCTTGGTAACCCAGGCTGGGTGGATGGCCTGAATGAGTTGGTCTTGGGGGTAATGAAGCTAGGCCTGAATTATTTGTCGGCCTAGAGGGTACTGATGATAAGCCTGAGTGAGTTGGCTTAGGAGGGAGTGATGCTATGCCGGCGAGGGAAATTGCAGGTTCCGCTTCCGACCTTCTGGTGTCGGCTCTCCCCCGAGAGCCCTCAACTGCTGGCGCGGCACTTGTAGGCCGGGCGTGCTTAGGTCGTTCTTTCGCTGCGGGCTTGGGTACAAAGTCGTCTATATCGGAGTCCTCAGCAGCCTCCTCCTCGCTCGAATCCGTGAACGAATCCGTGAACGGCTCTGTTAATGGAAGGCCCAACCTTTTTCGCTTTTCATTCCGGCGACGATGCCGCATACGCCTAGCACGGACAACATCATACCATTTCTGAACATCGAAGGGCTCAAGCTCGCCAGTTGCGTGCTTGGCCTTTGTTTCCTCCCACAATGCCTTTAGTTCATCACTGAGATTCGATTCAGCCTCCCAGGTCGCCTCAACGAGCGGGAATCCAGTCCACTCTATGAGGTAGCGTGCCTGGCCTTCGTCGTCTTGTCCTTCGGCCAAGATACCCTCAACCTCATATTCTCGGTCTGGATCGGGAGTGACCCGGGGGGTAGAAGTTAATGAAATCGAATCTTCATCGGTTTCGGCGGCTTCACGAGATGTGGTCCCTGTTGAGGTTTTGACATTAACATGTTTGAACATGTCGGGTTATATTAGGAGCTCCGATGATTTGGTAGCTGCGAAGTCCGGATTTCCGACCCAAATCAATAGCAGCGCCCGATTCTACCGCGTATCGTGGATGGAGCAGGGCAACAAACGAAGAATCGAAAAGGCCAAGAGGAAACAGAGGGCCTTCGCGAATCTGCGCGTGCTAGTAGTCCGGTGGATTGATTGATTTATTGATTGATTGACCGATTGATTTCTTGGGCTTGAGTGAAATCATGTGCCTGGTAATAAAGTTAGGTTGCCTGTGATCATCGATGCAATGCGATCATATCCGACCTGACTCTCATACTAGTAACTGCGGCTTCACGGTACAACGGGTCAAGGTGCTCGTGTCCGACTGCCAATTGGTGAAGAGCTGCGAATTTCTGAGTCTCACGGTATTGGGGTTGTTGGCGAGCCCAAAATTATAGAAAACCGTGAAGTGAGTTGCGGCCAATTAGAAAACAGCGTCTTCTCTCCTGCACCTTCCACCCTAGGTAGTAGAGAGGAGGCTTTCGATAAGGTAACGCTAATCAAACAAAAGTTTGAAAAGAACACGAACCAACTTCGAATGTCCTTCTAGTAGTGCACTTCGTATCGTAGTTTGCATTCACAGACTGTAGCTTCCTACCTAAGTTATATAGGGATAGATCGTACACATAGACAGTACAAAGCTAGCTATATGGTTGCTTGTCACGGGCAAGTAAGCCTGTCATCATTTACCCATGTCGTGAATTCGATCACATGGGTTGGATTGCTATGTATCTTCCTATGCGTATCTGAACAATTGCTGAAAATCAGTACCTTATTATCGCGACTGTGGCCTTCTCCGGTTGGTTTATGTACGGATTGTGTTGGGAGTCTCTAAGGGAATACCTAACAGTAGAGGCTTGGCACGGGATTCCACTTCATTTCCAAATGTATGCGTGTGCATTTTGTAGTGGGGCTCGGAAACTGGATAGATAATGGTGGTCATCTTAAGATTTACTCCGTGCCTCCCTTAGAGAATGTCAGCCCGTGTAGCGGCTGAGGTCTTTTAAGCCTTAGTTGACCCGGTGTTGGGCAGGTCGTTTCACATCTCTCACTGTCCGGGTGTTTTGTGTCCAACGTCCAGCAACCTAAGCCTGGTACCTTAACGAGCTTAATCGCACAACCCTTCCAAACCCGAGCCCTGCAAACCTAACGCTAGCAGCGATAAGGCTGCCTGACGACCAGGCCAGCACCGCCACTCGTTGTCAGCTGCGTCCCCTGCGTTAACCAACGGCCCACCTTAGCCGCACCGATCAAGTCCTCCACTTAAACTCTCCTTTAACTCTCTGAACAATCTGCACAAGCCCCAGCACATCGTCATCTCCCGAGAGACAACGACGTCGAATTCATTGCGCGCATAACTTCGCTTCAGCCATGGCCAACGACGAGTACGATGTGAGCCTTCCTATTTTCCTGCCCTGTCTGTGGCGCTCGGCAAGGCATTGGTACTAACCAGAAGCTGTTGCGAACAGTTCCTATTCAAAGGTGCTTATCAAACCGACATCAACCCTTACCTCTCTTCTCTGCTACGGTGTTGGGCTAACTTCTCGATGCGCTTTACTAGTGGTGTTGATTGGAGACTCTGGTGTTGGAAAGTCGAACCTTCTTAGTCGATTCACGCGCAACGAGTTCAACCTAGATTCCAAGTCAACCATCGGCGTCGAGTTCGCCACGCGCTCCATCCAGATTGACAACAAGACAATCAAGGCACAGATTTGGGACACTGCGGGTCAGGAACGGTACCGCGCCATTACCTCCGCCTACTACCGGGGTGCCGTTGGTGCTTTACTCGTTTACGACATCAGCAAGAGCCTTTCGTTCGAGAACGTGACTCGATGGCTGAAGGAGCTGCGTGACCACGCCGACAGCAACATCGTTATTATGCTGGTGGGCAACAAGACCGATCAGAGACACCTGAGAGCCGTTCCCACAGAGGATGGCAAGAATTTTGCGAGTATGTTTTGCGACAGCCTCGCAGCACTGGCAAGACCAGGGGGAGGGCAATAACTGACGTGTACCAGGCGAGAATGGCCTCTCGTTTATTGAAACATCAGCACTCGAAGCCACCAACGTCGACCTCGCATTCCAAAACATTCTGACTGGTATATAATCCCATACCTCGATAACCCCACCTGAAAACACATGCTAACCCCGCTTTCCCCAGCAATCTACCAAATTGTGTCGAGCAAGAGCCTGGAAGAGGGGTCAGATGTCGCAAAGAAGTTTGAACATAGGGAAGGCGGAAATATCTCTCTCAGCGAGGAGAAGACGCAGGCGGAGTCCAAGGGCTGTTGTTGATCACTTCGGCATGATTGCATGGCGTCACGTATGTCTGGCACGAACGGGGATTCTTATGGAATGCGGCGCCGGATTTGTTAACCTTGGGACGTTTGAGGATGACTTCCTTGAGGTGTTTATTCGATCTTTCTTTTGTTCAACCGAGGTGCTTTACCATGATGGATGTTAGGATTTTACAGCGGTTTGTGACCACTACTGGTGCATGGCTTACATTACGAGGCAGTTCGTTGACTGGACGGAATAATACCTCACTTTCACTATGGCGCACAGCTGTCATGACATAGCTAAGGTAATCTTGGAGGCTGTGATTGTACTAGCGCATCTCGAGTCGAGTACCACAGTAGATGGGCCTCGATTGAAACTACCTCGGGCCGGGCCCTGCGGTCTCGCCCAGACTCTGTTCCTCACTGAATACTGGTCGCGACCCAAAACAGACCATTGGGCGGAGGTCACAGTCAAGAGCCTCGGATTAGATCTAGTGCGACGGCATCGCCAACATTCTCATGGACCAGGCACAACTGATGGAGGCGGCGCATTCAAAGGCTACATGAACTTTGTCTTTCGATGCGCCTTGTTTCATGTTTCAGCCACAGGAAAAGACCCACCCATCAGCAAGACAATGACGCTAAATTGATAAGCTTATCAGTAAGTGGGGCTCAGATGGGTGGTGAACTTTTTTCTTCAATTGTCTACGCCTTGCGACGAATCTCCAGTCCAATGCCCCGCCAAAATCACCAGCTTCATGCCGCATTATAGACGCTAGACAAAATGGCGGCAGTTTATAAATCCTTGTCAAAATCGAATGCATCCAAGGTCGATAAGGACAGCGAAGGCGGAAATGGCAGCGTGGAAAGGAAAAACAGGCAAAGGGTCCTCATTCTCTCGTCACGAGGTGTCACATACAGGTACGAATCGTGCCAGATGCTTCCTTAGGATCGCTCTCCGGCTAACAAGACGATAGACACCGGCATCTCCTGAATGACCTAGCAGCAATGCTCCCCCATGGGCGGAAAGACGTCAAATTCGATTCCAAGTCCAAGCTGTACCAGCTCAACGAACTGGCCGAACTATACAACTGCAACAATGTGCTTTTTTTCGAGGCGAGAAAGGGGAAGGATCTGTACATGTGGTTTAGCAAGGTGCCAAACGGGCCTACCGTAAAATTCCATGCGCAGAATCGTAAGTCAAGGCCATTCTAGACCGAGGGCATGGAAACATCAAGCTGACGGGTCCCGAAGTGCATACAATGGAGGAGCTTCATTTCACAGGAAACTGCCTCAAGGGGTCAAGGCCGATCCTCTCATTCGATTGCGCCTTCGAGCAAGAACCACATCTCCGCGTCATTAAGGAAATATTTCTCCACATCTTCGGCGTGCCGCAAGGGGCGCGCAAATCCAAGCCCTTCATAGACCACGTTATGGGCTTCAGTGTCGCAGACGGCAAGATCTGGATTCGAAACTACGAAATCCGGGAAATCGAGAAGGTCAAGGGCGAGGGTGGCAACGAGGAAGACGGAGAATCGAGCAAAGGGCGCAAAACGAAGGGCGGAGACAAGGACACCGACATCAGTCTGGTTGAGATTGGGCCGCGGTTCGTGCTCACGCCCATTGTGATTCAAGAGGGCGCATTCGGCGGCCCTATTATCTACGAGAACAAGCGGTTCATCTCGCCCAACCAGGTCCGGGCGGAATTACGCAAGGCAAAGGCCGGGCGCCACAACGCGCGTATGGAGCAGAAACGGGACACTTTGGCGAGGAGGCGGAATCTTGGTCTAGAGGACCGCACGAAGAAGGAAAGCAACGCTCTAGATACCCGGGAACTCTTTGCTTAGGTTTGGGAATGGAGATGTATTGCATAGCATTCTCTGTGGCTGGCGTTGTAACTGTATAATTGGGGTGATTCTAGTCCGTATTCCTAATCCTTTCGATTCTGAATCAGGTCTCGTCTTGCGCGACAGCTTCCGTGCCTCCTAACTACAGTGCACCAAAACAACTGTACTCTGCCAGGCAGAGTGCGGAATTTTCTCGACATTTTCAACACAGGTGATTCCTAATACGTATGTACCTAACCTCTTCCCCTGATTCCTGTATCGTGAGTTGTAGTGTACGGACTGACGGACTCGAGGACATTTCTATAACTCCTCCGTAAGGGGTAAGTGGGCACGTACCCATGTCACACCCTTGCTTAGCACAATCTGGGGACAGCCCCACTAATTTCCGGTTCGAGCCGATTGCCTGGGGACGCGAAATGAGGATCCATCCGGTGTGCCGCTTGATAAACAGACCACATCACTTTCCACGCTTCTGTTTTCTCAATCCTACAGCCGTCATCCATCATCGCATCAAAGGCCATCGAGAACATGGCAGTGGAAATGGAGATGGCTCCAATGAGCCATTGTTTTCATCCACTCTGTGGACTCGCAAGATTCATGGCAGACCAAGCAGGCGCTTCCTCATCATCCACTTCCCTCTCTTGTGATAGCCCCAACGCCGGGGTGGCCGTGGTTTAGGATCTTTGTTTGGAAACACACGAGACTTGACGGCTGGCGCTGGATTTGCGTCAGCGACGTCTTGTCTCGTCTAGCTTTGCTGCTTTTAATTTGTCGCAGAGTTTTGGGTATTATTTAGTGAGGTGAGGTGTGAAGCGCTTCCCGTGGATTGTGAAGATCGGTTGGGCTGGTGAGTTCCTGGATGCTTCAGAACCTTCGAGCTTAGTTATTGACTGACATGACGTCTAGCCAAGGCATTGTCCACTAACTTGCCGTCCATAACTTAAGATTGGACGGATTTGAATCAGGGGCATACATATCAGCAGACTCAGCTTCCTTCCAAGGCTTACCCAGCGCGGAAAACGAATCTCAAGATGCCACCTGCTAGCATCCGTCGGAAACGCGCTGCCGGTCAGCAGCGCGGGAGCAGGAACCGCTACCTTGCGAACTTGCCAGTTGAGATCCTCATTGAAATCATCTGCCATCTCGACTTCAACTCTTTCGATAACATGCTCCGAGTCAACAGGCGTCTCAGAAGCATCATAGAGTCGTACTGCCCGTCTATGCTTTCCGACATCATAGAACGGGAGTTCACGCCAGCTGACGGCTTCTTCTACGCCTTCAAGTCTACGAATTTGCGGGCCCAACTCTACGGGGATAAGAATGTGCAGGAAGCCAAGGATGTTCATTCCTATCTCCATGAGCTTTGCTTGTCCGGTCGGTTTCTCGATGAAGATCCCCAAAAGCCGCCTTCTGGAGGGTTTCACACGCTCCTTAGCTTTTGCCGGGTCATCAGGCGCTGGGAGATGGAATTTGGCCGCCTGCGGTTTTCCGACGCCCCGGAGTACAGTAGAAGCCTCCACTCGCACGAACTCCTCCGGCTGCGCCAGGGACTGTACGCTTGGTGGCGGTACGCCCGTTACTTTCATGGAACCATAGAATTCGAACACAGCTGCCCTCCGCGTCAGGACCTTGAGGGCTACACAGCCTGTACGTTCCGCCACTTACGGCCGCAAACCTGGCCCGAGAGCCAGCGGCGGGGCTTCATACGGCGGTTTTCCACAACGCAGCTGCACGAGATCTTCGACATGTGGGAAACTATTCGATCGGCGGTCGGAAGACAGGTTGTTCCGCCTATTCCTGCGGTGCTGGAGTGGTCTGTAAGTGAACTCTCAGCCACATTTCATCGTCGCTTTGGCAGTGTGGTTAATGGCTTCTGTGAAGGGGAACACGCTTACCAGGGCAGAGGCCGGCCGTATCGGCTGGGGCGATTTGGATGAGAATGGACAGATCCTGGCTACAGTTATGAAGCTCCGTCCGGAAGACATACTCCATCTGCTTTTGTTCCGACACCGGTATGCGACGAAAGAGAGTATTGTCGATGCTATAAGGCTAAGGCACCCGCGGTATGCCCGACCGGTCGTATCCAGCGAAGCTAACACTTCAAGAAATCCTGCTAACGTGTCTGCACAGGATCGAAGACAGCATCGAGACGTTCAGCGACGCAATCCACGATGTGCTTCGTGAGCGCGAAGTCATGGACGGCGAGGAGGGCTCGTACTTTCCGGTGCCTGGATTCCCAAGTCACCATGGTGGGATCCTCGATCATGAGGAACCAGAAGCTGAAGCCCTGCGTGCCGTACATGGCGGCGATGCTGGTTCAGACGAGCCCCCTTTCTCGTGGCTAATCCACCGCCTTAGTGTGTACAGGCCTATCATGCTTACCCCCCCTGGTAGATTACTCGCGTGTTCATAGAAAACCTGGGTTTCCGGCTTGGAGGACTTGCCTCAACGCTGTTACAAGACTTGCTATACTACATGGGTATAATTACATTTATATTGAGGGGGTCGTAGAGTTGAACGACCGCCATCTCTCCATGTGTTTAGTGGAACCGGAACCCAACGCTTGAACTTGTGAGTTGTTAAAGACCTCTGGGACCTTTGAGTGCCCCACAAATTTCCCAATTGAGACGTGAGCAACAACACAACTCGCAGCAGCGATTGAGCGGAAACAACTACTCTAGTAAGACAGACAAACCTACAGATATTCGATGTCTTTGGGATCCATTCGTTTCCCATAAGGTATCATCAATCTTAACTATGATTTGAGCATTTGTTAGAAGCAGGTTTGCAATGCCCGTTGACCTTGGCTATTCTGATAGGGAACAGTGCTTTAACGTTTAGTGGGGAGTGGCGGTGATTTATTCTCCCCTGGAGCGTTCCCTTCCTCTACTGTAACTTGCCCAGCCATGCCAAGGGCATCAACACGCAACTCATGAAGCTCAAAGGAAACTTACCTCTCTCGAAAGCAAAGCGCGCACTCACTGCATCCGAGTATAGGCTCTCATTTTGGTATGTGATCTCTTTTATTTATCGGCGTGAAGGAACCCGGCCGATTTTTGTTCGGCGCGCTTCGATGCGCAAGACCCTTCATGTTCTACTTGCAAGTGCAACCGATGCCATCTCACCAGCATTCTCCTGTCTCTTCTACCAAGCAGCCTGGTTCACCCTTGAGTATCCATCTGGCTTCCAACACTTTTCAACGTATCCATATCCATTGTTTATCTCGTGTTCGATGTCCTAACCTCTCTCAGCAGGAGATTCCTGGGCCGCTACTTCGTAGGACCCTTCTGTTCTTGAATACCGAGGTTACCTCGTCCCGACGTGACCTGAGTGTGGTCTATACGATCTTTATTGCCGTCCGCATCGCAGGATCTTGTGAACAAAATACCATCGATCTCGCAATCGTAAGCTTCAGAGAGAGAGAACAAATTCACCGCAGTCTGAGGTGAGTAGCCGATGCGAGCTCAATTAAAGTCCAAAGCGCACACACTGTTCCATGGCTTTGGATCATTGAACGTGTTCTCCCCTCACTCACCAGCCGCGACATTCTTTGCAGCGGCTGCAAGCTCTCTTATGAGGTCACGTCTATTCAATCTTTCCGAGCCATATACTGATGCTATCAGACCTGAGGCGAACGCAGTCTAACGCTGCAATATACACCATCCCGCGGGTTGGCAGCCCGGGATGGATGACAACGATAATGATGTTGCTATGGACGGTAATGACCACCGGACGGCAGACGGCGCTTCCGCAGCCTTGGGCAATGGCTTCCTTGATCCGACAACGGGAGAGAGCTCGCTCGAGCCCACTAACGGCCAGAGTCTGGACGAAGATGAAGAGGCTGATCCTACTGCCTACCCTGAACATCTACGACGGCGCGGGCTGCTTCCAACGGGCTGCTGCTACGATGACCGTATGAAGCTGCATGCCAACGCTGATTTTGGGCCAAATCCTCATCACCCCGAAGACCCGTCCCGGATCGAGTACATCATGAAGACGTTCAAGAAGGCCGGCCTTGTCTTCACTGGGTCTGATGCTGAGCTTATACGCATAATTCAGACCGAGCCAACCAAGTACATGTGGCGGATTCCGGCAAGGGAAGCAACAAGGGAAGAGATTTGCACCGTCCATCACCCTCGACATTATCTCTGGGTTGAAGAGCTGTCTCGGAAACCCACGCACGAACTCCGCCGCCTCTCCACCATCATGGACCAAGGAAGGGACTCACTGTATGTCGGAAGCATGACGTACGAGGCCTCCTTGATCTCGGCCGGTGGTGCTATTGAGACATGCAAGAGCGTCGTTGTGGGCAATGTCAAGAATGCCTTCGCCATCATTCGTCCTCCTGGACATCATGCAGAGTTTGATGCGCCCATGGGATTTTGCCTGTTCAACAACGTCCCCATCGCCGCTAAGATCTGCCAGGCCGATTACCCCGATCTGTGCCGTAAGATCCTTATCCTCGATTGGGATGTGCACCACGGTAATGGCATCCAAAACATGTTCTACGAGGACCCCAACATCCTCTACATTTCCCTGCACGTTTACAAAAACGGCGAATTTTATCCGGGCAAACCAGACAACCCAATGACGCCGGATGGAGGCCCCGAGCATTGCGGTGCTGGACCTGGCTTGGGGAAGAATATCAACATCGGGTGGCCCGATCAGGGTATGGGCGATGGCGAGTATATGGCAGCGTTTCAGAAGATTGTTATGCCCATCGCCCACGAGTTCAACCCCGATCTGGTGATCATCTCGGCTGGCTTTGACGCGGCTGCCGGAGACGAGCTTGGTGCCTGCTTCGTTTCGCCCGCGTGCTACGCCCATATGACGCATATGCTGATGTCCCTCGCTGGTGGGAAAGTGGCAGTGTGTCTCGAGGGTGGCTACGATCTCGAGGCCATTTCAAAATCGGCATTGGCCGTGGCCCAAACGCTGATGGGCGAACCACCGCCGAAGATGGAAATTCCAAAGATAAACAAGGAGGCGGCAAAGGTACTGGCCAAGGTACAGGCATACCAAGCGCCGTACTGGGAGTGCATGCGGCCTGGAATTGTGGACGTTCAAGAGATGCAGACACAGGGGTCCGCGCGCCTCCACGACGTCGTCCGCAGGGCGCAGCGGCAGGTCCTGTCTGAGAAACACGGCATGCTTCCCCTATACATACAGCGCGACATCCTCTTCAAGTCCTTCGAGAATCAGGTGCTAGTCACCAGGGCCGTCCACGCAGCGCGGAAGCTGCTCATTATCGTTCATGATCCGTAAGTGCTAGTAGTGACCAGAAGCCTCTTGAGATTACCTGTTTCACCTTGGCTTACAACCATCTACAAAGACCGGAGCTACATGGGCAACCAGACCCGCTGGACAACACGTTGGAGCCTCACAACGCATGGGTGGTAAGAGCCATCTTCTTCCTTGAATAACATCGACAGCGACTGATCAGGCAGCAGACCGACGGCGTCACTCGTTACATTGACTGGGCCATCAGCAAGGACTTTGGTGTTATTGACATCAACGTCCCCCATTATATCACGCATCCCGAGGTATGGCCCGACATTGGATCTTTATGTGGATGGATAAGGTATCTAATATTCACTCACGCTAGGACACTGAACCCTTCACACCACGAGCGAATGAGCAGACCCTCCAGGCACAAATTAAGGATTTGATGTGTTACATCTGGGACAACTACATTCAGCTCTACGACGGCGTGGAAGACATTGTTCTCATTGGAGTGGGGAACGCCTACCTTGGAGTCAAGATGCTGCTCATCAACAGACGTAAGTTCTCAACTTTTGCCCTCCCCTTTTCCAGAGATCCATTACTCATCTCCCATGACAGTGGACGCCAAGTCACGCATCTCGGGCGTAGTCAATTTTGTCAATGGCAGTCTGCGGCCTGTCAAGTCGGACGTAGATCAGGAGCTCTCGTCCTGGTACAAGGATAACTCGCAGGTCTATGTGGCGAACGATCACGCGTGCTGGTCCGACCCGGACCTCACGCGGAAGGTGATGAAGCGACGCTTCGGCAATGTCATACGCAGCCAGGTTAATGGCTTGACGCCCATGATGGCCGAGCACTTTGCTGATGTGCAGCAATTTATCTTGGACCGGGTTGCGGAGGGCGCGCATGGCGGGGATACCACTGAGGATGAGATCAGGATGAATTGAGGGAAGGGACGGGTCGTGGATATTGTTGGTGAAGAGCGAGCTGCTCCTGGCCTGGATGAGTGAGAGTTCTGGGTAATAGTGGGCGGGAGAAGCGATCAAAGGACCTCCATCCGTGTATTCCTGTTGAAGGATGTCTGAAAGGCCCACTGATTGTAAGATTAAGACTCTCAATATTGAGCAGTCATCCATGGGATCGTTTTCTGGGGATGTTGAAGGGGCGCTATCCATTTGGAGAGCGCGCCTTGGTCCCTGTAGCGATCCGACTGAGAAATGATTTTACAGTCTAACCTGCACATAACGTTTGGGCACATAACGATATCCTCGACAAGACGGTCAGAATCCTGAACCCACCGTTATTTGTATGGGAAATCGTTCGATCCTGTCTACTCCGTTAACCGTTAGGAATCTTGCTGAGTAATCTATATAAATCGTTATAGTAAGTCAGGTCTTAGTACCTGGGGCACCTTAAATGGCCTAGCTAAGCAAGTATTTCTAGCGATTTTTAGCGATCCTGGGCTAGGTGACCAGTGCTGTGCCCCACAAATATCCGTTCTGGGCAAAAGGTGGGCCACCTGAGGATAGCGATATCCGTGGTATGACGGTTAAATTCATGTGACTGCGCCAATCGTTATGTGCAGGTTAGCCTGTAGTCTCTTGACAATGGCGTGGTATGCTCGTTATCCTGGCTCTCCTGGGTCAGCAGTTGCCTTAGGACTCAGTGCTGTGGCTGTGCATCGCCTTCGATGTCCAATCCATTGGGTAATAGTGAACTGTGCAGTGTATTCTGAATTGAATATTATGAGATACTTGAGCTCTTGAGGTAAATGTACTTAGAATCAATTTGCAGTACAAAATTCCTATACAAAGTATCAAGCAAACATATGCTTTGAAGTCGGAATAAGCTATAGTATCCGTAAGCTTGTCATGTTTTAGACTGATTAGTGCTGCACGGTATGAGATGGACGCATGGCAATTATATCAGTGCAGGACAGCAATGCAAGACACTGCAGTTCATTTGCAGCGCAGCTTTCATGCTCTGCAGAGTCAATATATAAGGTAGACTACGGTCCGTCCCGTCGTCCGTAGTCGGTTATATGCATAACGTTATTCACTTGTCAGTTATGTATGGTGGTCTGAGCGTGCGCACGGCCCAACCAGGCTGAGTACCCAATATCTTCAGCCTTGAAAGTTGAATCCAATAATTTCAACCCACGAACATCATCACCACCAACGGCCAGTTTTCGACTCGGTTGAGTTTGTTGATGCGCCCGACCAGCAGAACTTCCAAAGATGGAGCGGAGTAGAAGGTTAGTGCATTTCAATAACCCTCAAGTGAGGCCTGTCTTTTTTTGTCGCCGTCAATGGTTCCCGCCGTGAAAAATCGAAGCTTTGGGCGCAGCCCGGCCGCCGCCTCCTTCTCGACCAAACCTTTGAGCGCTTCCGAGAGCGCCAACAGCCCGAAAATGCTCGGCGAACTTCGACATTCCGAAGCGGCCAACCGGACCCGCGAGGGTCACCAAGCAGTCTTGTTGCCAGCCGGTTTCTCGATTCTTGCGCCTGGAATCGGTCAACAAAAATTACTCTGTGAATCACGAAATCCATCGTTGTTTCGCGCTTGGATTTCTCATCGACCACCCATTCTCGAGCGCTTCTTCTTTCTGTCAGTCATACCGATCAGTTTCTGGCTCTCGGGGACCGAAATTTGCGGTAGCCTGCGGTTCAGAACCGGCAGCAACCTTTCGGACGCCCTCTCAAGCTGTTTCCCCGTCAGAAAATCCAAGAACCATCTTCTCTGGATAGCTAGACAATCTCCCTTCCTTCCAGTCACCGTTGGAGCGCTCGGCACGATCCGCGTGGTGTGGCCTGGGTGGGGTTAGCTTTGTGCTTTGCTCCGCCATTCAGGCCTTTTGCGACTGTCTACCGGCGGCTACATCGACAATGGATCCGAACACCTCGTTCGCGATGGGGGATGAACCATCTGCGGACGATTCTGCCTCGGGTACAACCATTCCTACTGCGTTGCCGGAAACCCCAGCCAGTTCCAACTCGCAGGAAGCTCCCACGGGTCCCAGTTCCCGGATCGGCGAGCACCTCGCTCTAGCAGTATTAGACGACCAGCAAATCTCTTTTCGACCTTTTGTCCTCGGTGAAGACGCCCAAAATTTGATCGACAGGATCGAACGTGAATTCAACGATATTCTCGTTTTTGACTCTCCCTTCGACTTGCCGCTCCCAGAGGAAGTGCAGGCGGAGTATCCCGCCGCTCATCATTTCCACTGGCATATGTTACGGGTTGCCTTCCTCTGTCGGATAGTAGAGTCACCTCCTAACGACACAGAGCCATGTCATGTGGAAGGTTGGAGACGCGTTATACAGGACAAACAGCGCAATAACCCTGCCTGGATCAAGCGATGGGTAGCTACATATGGTGTTGATGGCCTCCAAATTCTTTCAAACTCGGAATCCGAGGCGCTCCTGGGTGTTTCTCGAGACTACCTACGACGGCGTAGTGGGGGTAGAAAGCTGAGGTACCTTTGGTCACTCCAGCGCCTGGTGGAAGGAATACTTTCGCCTGGCAAATTGCCTTACACCCGCAAGGAAATCGCAGCCGCAAAACTGACCAAGCTCCGGGCACCACGTCGCCGTCCAGTACGCAACCCACTTGCTCATCCGCGCAAAGTCCCCCGAATCGGAGGTTCTCCCTTGCGGCAATGCTTCACGCCCGACAACATGGGCGAGGAGGATAGCGATGAGAGTCAGCCTCTCAGCAGCGTGGATGATACGAGTTCTGAAAGCGACGCGTCCAGCATGGATATAGACGACTTCACGAACATTATGGGAACGGTCTCCGATGACGCAAACTGGCCTGCCAATGCGACGGGTGGGAATTCCAACTTCTTGCATGAGAGCGGCATAGCCGAGTCACATGAACTAGACGAGGCTGGCAGCTACCCTCATGATACAGTCGAGTCTCCCGACAGTGGTGTGAGCGAGCATTTCGATGCAGCCTATTTCGATGCGGCCGATTTCGATGCGTCCTACTTCGATGGCGCCCATGAGAGGCGCGAGCGACGGCACAAGAGAAGACGTTCCGGTTATCTTCACCAGGCGTTTGCTCGTTACAATCTGCAACCTGCCTCTTCGAGTCGCCGAAAGACAAATGTCTTGGAAGAAACCAGTCCAGGAAAGGCAGCGACAGGCGGGGTCATGTCCGACCACGCTGTTGATGAACCGGTTGATTAGGCATCTCCGCCCATTCTTCAGCTTGAGCCAGGATCTGACGCCAGTTCTGAGCACTCGACATTTGCACTCGCGTGTCGTCAAAGCCGCCCGGATATTCTCACTGTTGAGTCAACCGCGGGGCAGCATTCAAACAACGTGCCTGGAAGCTCGACATCCTTACCTGGAACGAGTCACATGCTTCAAACCAAGGCCAATCTGTCTCGCGGTGGACGTGCTTCCAAACTGGACGTCTTGTCAATCATCACAGAGCCATATGACGATGACACCGAGTACCGGCAAACCCGAGCTGAAATGAACCGCCTCGCGGATACGTATACCCAGCTTCAGGACGCCAGACTGAAGGCGAGCATGGCACCATGTCACCCCGATGTCAGGAAGCTTGAGTTCGAAGGGAATAGTCCTCAGCAAGCTTTCTGTCTCTCTACTGCCACACCAGCGTGCTTCACTCCCCAGCGCAATTCTTCTCATATATCAGCTGCCCAATGCGATGGCGCATCCGATGAGCCGGAACCCTTTCAGAGAAGCACAGCACATCGGGGACGGGGTGGAGCACAGCGTGGAGGACATCGTGGAGCACAGCGTGGAGGATATCGTGGAGCACAGCGTGGAGGACATCGTGGAGCACAGCGTGGAGGACATCGTGGAGGGCGCGGTGCAGGACGTGGTGGAGGACGGGTCCTTTATGAGCGGGTCGCAGTACCGGTCGGAAGGCGCATGACTACGCTGTCGCCTAGCCCGCCTCAGCCTTTCCCTCATAACTCCATCCGTCTCCCGTATCATCCCCATCCAGCTCCTAGCGAGCGGATCGCAGTAACAGTTGGAAGACGCATGACTGCGATTGTCCCACCCGCCCCTCGGCTTTCCTCAGTCAACTCTATCCCCCTCCATCTCCCGCCTCGTCTAGCTCCTAGTGAGCAAATCTCACTACGGCCGGCAAGGCACATGACTGAACTTCTCCCGGACTCACCTCGGCTTTCCTCAGTTTACTCTATTTCTCTCCCATATTTCCCCCGCCTAGCTTTTGGTGGCCCAATCCATTATGCGGATGACTGGCAATTCCATCCTGGACTTTGCATGACGACTAACCAGTCCTCTATTAGGTATGAAGATGGCGAGGTTAGGCGATATGGCGCCGGCGAATCTTACAGACCTTTCAACCGTGATAGATCGCCTCGAGGCATCCGAAGCCCTCTGAGAGACAGAGGCCGAACACCGCCGGGAGCCAGCGACAGTTACGTTCCCGGCAGGTCGCCGCGGCGCCGATCTCGCAGCGCGGACCGCTTCAGACGCGACAGATCCAGGGATAGAGATGGCGGAGAGCGTTGGAGACGCAGCCGTAGCAGGGCTAGGACTCCTATTCGGCGAGTCTCACCGAGACGTAGCCCTCTCCGACGCACTCCACCTCGTTATCTGTCGCCGCGGCGGGATGATCGCAGAGACGACAGGAGAGACGACAGGAGAAATGACAGAAGGGACGACAGAAGAGATGATTGGAGCGAGCGCGCACGCTCACCGCTGCGCCGAGATTATGAGATAAGGGATTTCAGACGGCGGTCACGCTCGCCATTTGACAGAGAGAGACTGCGTCGGGAGCGATCACCCCCAAGACGATCCCCACCACCTGCCCCGCGCGGAGGCGGTTCTTATCGTCCGCGTTCCCGTAGCCCAGACCGGCGCGATCGCGATGACCGCTACTTCGGGTCATCGAACAGACGTCAGTCGCCGCCTCCACGAGATTCGGTCAACTCTTCGGCGCTCAACTCTCGGCCTGCATCTGGTAGATCCTCACCGCGACCGCCTTCCGGCCGAGGTCGTGAAGACCGGTCGAGACCCCAGTCACCGGCACGCTCTCTTCCATCATATGCACCGACCCCGGTATCCGCTCCACTCACGACTCGTGAAGCTGTAAAGCCTGCCCCGCCCCCTGCGCAATCCTTGCAGTCAACGCAGCCCACCCAGTCTGCACAGTCTACGCCCAGACCAGCCGGAGCCGATGCAACTTCGACCTCTGCCAGGTCCCCACCGAGAGGTCCTGCTGCACTGAGAGCGCCTCCTACGGGACCGGCGGCAACCAGGAATTTTACATCACCTGCAGCGTTGCAGGCCGTCCAGGCTCCCCGACACCCTCAAGGCCCTAGCGTAGCATCCCGCCCAGGCGCCACAAGTCCGACGGTTCCACCTGCAGGTCCCCGAGGATATGTACCTCCCAGAGGAGGCGCAGGTTTCCCGGGTCGCGGCGGTGGCAGAGGCAGCTGGTCATCCGGTCCTGGCCGACACATTCCAAGCGGCGGTAGCCCTTCCGTCTCGCCGACCGTGCCTACCGCGGGACACGGCGGCGTCAACGGCGGCATCCCAATTCCAACCGGCCCAAGAGCCCAGAGCTCTTCCGCGACCGCAACGGCTTCACCGTCCTCAACAACCCCAGCGGGAGCAGCCGCTTCTCCTGCTGTCTTGTCAAAGCCGTTTAACCCTCCAACTGGCCCTTCCGGCGGTCTCGGCATGACCATCCCCCCGCAGCGTCCCAGCTTTGCCCAGGGCTTGTTGAACACAATGCCTCCCATCATCCCAGGCGGCAAGATTGACCCCTCGGCTTTGGCCCCCCATGAGTCGGATCCGCACAACAGGAAGCTCAGGGAGGAGGAGGAGCGCCTTCGCGAGGAGCTCAAGATCAAGCAGGACAGGCTCAGGAAGAGTTTGATAATCTGGGATCGCCTCGAGAGGGAGGCCAAAGCTTTTGAGCTCAAGAGTGACTTGAGCGAGCGCAGCTTGAAGAACATTGCTGGCGAGGGCGTTGGGGGTGCTGCTTTCTGATACCATTCTCTGCTTGTTTTATTCCTTCCCTGTTCCTCTTTTCTGCCCTTCTTTTCTCTCTGATTCTTTCATGAAAAACTAAAAGGGAGAGAAATAACCGTGTAAGGCCATTGTTGGGTGGTGTTGGGATCAGAGTGTTGGGTAGCCGGGTGATAGAATGGGTCCCGGAAAAGAAGAGGCGAGGAGACAGAGCCTGCAAAGGCCACTATTTCGGTTTTCGATCATCGGGTTTCACATGAATTCGGCACTCGAGGAGGCGGAGCCTGCAAAGGCCACTGTTTTCGGCTCTCGATCACCGGGTCTCACATGAATTCGACACGCCACAATACGGTGTGTTGCGTTGCGCTGTTGTTTAGTCTTTTCTCATCTTCCATTGCCTGGTGTGGCAGCATGGCGAGGCATGGCGAAGCATGGCATGGCAGGGCGATATTGCATTGACCCTAAGGGGCACGGCCAAGGGTAGCCGTCATCTGGCTGATCTTGTATGGAAACAAAATTCATTGTATGGATTCAAGAGAGAAGGATGTCGTGCGATGCAGGCACGAATGAATATGGGCATCACTGCGGGTGTTGGGGGCATATGGACCAAGGGGCATATATATATATAGACCGTTACCTGGACGGAACTGGCGCCTGGAAGGATCTTGACTTTTCCCCCCTTCCACGGTCTCAAACGGGGGAGGGGATGTGAGTCGGTCAGACGGGGAGTTTGAGTCGGTACGGTGCATGCTCTACAACGGCCAGCAGTTCTCGAATACAGAAGTCTAATACAACTAAACTCGTTCATTGTGCCTCACTTTGTTGGGATTTTCGGTGATACCCGTAGAAGAGGTTGGTTTACGAGCCCCGAACTCGTACCGAGACAGAATCGTGTACGCCGGGGACGGCGCGAGGGACGTGACGCAACAGCATGATGTGAAGCTTCAGTCGCTCAGAGACAGGGCAGTCAGACTTATGATCCTGAACAAGCCCATTACCGACAAACAGGCATGGCTGGCATATGCACTCATTTTACGATGTCATCCGATGTTCCCTGAGACATGGCATCTCGAATCCTGCTGTTGTCCTCAGACTGCGAGTGAAACGAGGAGCACAATGGTAGAGGAACCCGGGATGGCGTAAATAAGTTATAGCAGGGTTCTAGCCTAGCGTGCAGCAGCTGTCACAATGACAGCATTCGCACAGGCAATATTCACTTAAGAAGTGAAAAGAGCTCCCGGATTTGCCCGAGTTACTAGCAGGAGCGACAAGTTACCAACAGTATCAGATGGGAGTTATGAGCTTGCTTGCCCCCTTCCATCACGCCTCCCAGTGCTGGCTGCAGACATATGGGATAGCAGCATCCAGCATTAGATATTGGGCACTTGCTAGGGAACGCTACTGTCCATTGAATTGAGTGGTTTTGCCATTGCTGCTATTTGGGCTACCTAACAGACTTGTCGTCACCGAGCCCAGGGCGGATTTTTATGTATCACGCAAATAGCGCCATTAACCTCCCATTACAGTCGCGCAGTGCGACCGATCTATTTGCTGGCATCAACCTTGGCAACATAGGCCAGGAGGTCGAGGACGCGGCGGCTGTAGCCCCACTCGTTGTCGTACCAGCTGACAAGCTTGACGAAGTTCTTGTTCAGCGAGATGCCGGCCTTAGCATCGAAGATAGACGAGGCAGGGTTGCCGTTGAGGTCGCTCGAGACAATCTCGTCCTCGGTGTAGGCGAGAATGCCTGCTCGTTGTTAGCGCATACTACTTACTGAACACAAGCTATGGCGCAACTTACCCTTGAGAGGACCCTCAGCAGCCTCCTTGATGGCGGCCTTGATCTCCTCGTAGGTGGCCTCCTTCTGAATACGGCAGGTCAAGTCGACGACGGAGACGTTAGAGGTGGGCACGCGGAAAGACATGCCCGTAAGCTTGCCGTTAAGCTCTGGGATAACCTTGCCGACGGCCTTGGCAGCGCCGGTGCTGCTGGGGATGATGTTCTGGGCAGCACCACGGCCGCCGCGCCAGTCCTTTGCGGAGGGACCATCGACGGTCTTCTGAGTAGCAGTGTACGAGTGGATAGTGCTCATCAGACCCTCGATGATGCCAAACTTGTCATGAACAACCTTGGCAAGGGGAGCGAGGCAGTTGGTCGTGCACGAGGCGTTGGAGATGACCTCGGCACTGCCGTCGTAAGCCTTCTCGTTGACGCCCATCACGTACATCGGGGCATCGGCAGAGGGGGCAGAGATGATGACACGCTTGGCACCGCCCTTCAGGTGGGCCTTGGCCTTCTCAGTAGTGGTGAACACACCGGTCGACTCCACGATGTACTCGGCACCGGTGTCCTTCCAGGGGATGGCGGCGGGATCCCGCTCAGTGTAGAACTTGACCCTCTTGTCGTTGACGATCAGGTCGTTGCCATCGACGGAGACGGTACCCTTGAAGGGACCGTGGGTCGAGTCATACTTCAGCATGTACTCCTGCAAGCCGATCATGGTTAGTTCTGAGACAGGCGTGCAGAGCGCCACTAGGGCGGAGCCGACTACTCACAGCGTACTTGGTCTCAATGAAAGGATCGTTGACAGCAACGATCTGAACCTCCGGGTGCTCAACGGCATTGCGGAAGACGATACGGCCAATGCGGCCGAAGCCGTTGATGCCGACCTTGATGACCATTTTGTCTGATATCAGAAACGTAAGTGAGCGAGCTTTGGAGTCGATAGGTTCTCAACGAAGAGGGGAAGTCAAGGTGATGGTTCGTGAAGTAGGAGAACTAATATGGACGAAGCTGCAGGAAAAGAAAGGAATTTTCTAAAAGCCTCAGATGCAATGTCCGGGACCGGGCAGCAATTGGTTGAGATTGCTGTTCGCGCTTTGCGCGCAGTAGGTCCGATACAGGCGGGGTGATGGAGGTGCGGGGTTGGTGGGGGAGGTGTTCAATTGCTTACCAGAGTATCTGAAGGCAGCTGTTGTTCACGGAAAGATGGCTTGACGATGAAGAGCAGATATAAACGTCTGAATAGATTTCTACAATTTCGTGGAGTGGCTGGATAATGAGAGAAAGGGAGGAGGAGCGTTGGTGGCATGAGCGAGGTAAAAAGTGTTGAGCAGCTCCAGAAGGTGGGGTGTTATTGCTCATTGCTCTTGCATCACAGATTTGCGTTTGAGGTGGGGCAACGCCGCAGAGCTCCCCTCCTTGTTGCTAGTGCAGGACCTCTGTCGCCGCTCTCGTTCCCTAGGAGGTGGCTTACAATGCGTGCAAAAATGATACAACAAGCTTCTGGCCTGCATCCTTGGAAGTAGTTCCATAAGAAAGCAGCATTTGTTCTTCGCTGCTTCCCGACCATGAGCAATCTTGCTCGGCGGGCGATGTCTTGCTTGTTCGTACCATACTAAGCGACGATCGGCCCAGCGCAGTAGAAGTCCGTCCGATTACTCGCACAGCGAATTTGAAATCACGCATTATCGTCAACCTGACTTGCGGTTACCGTAGTTATTTCCAGGCATGGAGGTCCGGTAGGGTATGGCCGAAATGTCACGGAAATCTCGGTCTAGGCTTTGGCTTCTCGCCGACTCCCGCCATCAAGGTGTGAATACCACAATGCTTGGCAGAGGCAAGCGGAAGCAAGCCGGGGGTCATCCAACACACAGCTGTCATCAGATCCGTCCAAACGATTCGGGCCGCAGCAGAGCTTGACCGTCACGCCACTCATCCAATATCAGTCATCTCGAATCCAGTATGGCCTTCTAGGCACGTGTTAACGGGAAGACCGATTGGTTTTTATCAGTTTTTCTCTCGAACACGAGTTCAAATAGCTTTGTTGGTGAGCCTTCAGGCACGATGTATGTACGTACGGGGCAAGCCCATGAAATAGCCGTCTGTATCTGTATGTATTGTACCTTACAGTACATACAATACTGTAGAGGCTTGCCGCCCATTGCGAGGCTTCCTCCAGAGGGCGCAGTGGCTGCAGATGAACCGTGTGTGATATTATCGCCACATGCAGCCCATTTCCTCAGATACCATCGCAAGCTTTACTTACCTGCTATCTCGGCCTTGGGGATACTGTGATGAAAGGGTGGTGAAGCCCATCAGCTACGAAGTACCGACCGACGTCATTCATGGGTTTCGACCCTGTCTGTCCCCAGCAAGGGGGTCGTGGTGGGCAATCTGGCCCTGAGCTCGTCGCTGCCGGCAACGTCGCAGTAATATGGAGAACGATATATTTTTCATACTCCGCTACCGGGGCGGACCCGTGATGCCCGGTTCGTTTGTAGGTATGGAACTGACGGCGCCTTTTCCCCTAGCAATGTCAGCTAATAATAGCGCAAGCACCTTAAAAAAGGTTGATTCAGGCATTGCTCTGGTTCCATCTTTGCAGATGTGCAGATTGACTGAGCGGTGCTCACAAGTTCACAACCCTTCCTCGGGAAGCACGGCTACTTGGGTGACTCACTACCTCGCTCTGCCTCAAACGCTTGTCAAGACGCCACGCCATTCAATGCCCCCCAGAAAAGACGACGACCCTCGCTCAGCGGGTTAATTGCACGCCTTCAAAGAACGTGGAAATCGGCTGCGGCTCTCATGCTGGTCAGGTGCATGCCAGTGGGCGAGATTGCGAGGCAGGGCGGCGTCCGGATACCCTTGTTCGGCATAGATTGTCCGTGACGCTGCCGGTGATGTGAAGTCCGTCGTTGCCACCGGTCCGTAGGTGGGCGAGAGCGTTGGAGCGAGAGGCCAAGAAGACTGTTTGCTGGATAGGCCAACGGTGTGAGCCCGCCGATGTGATTTCGATCGGGGTGGCCTAGTGAACAAACGTGAAGGGAGGATGCCCGTAGCCGTCTGCGTTCCAGCTCCCGTCGACAGTGGTGTTGGTTCCCTATCCCTCGTTTGGTGAGATACTCTGCCTTTACTTTACCACCCCTTTTTATGATGCTTTCAAAAGATGTTTCCTACAATGTGAAGTGTTTATACCGTCCATCGTTGCTTCAGCGACTCAGACCTTTGCTCGTTCTGGGCTCTTTGCGTACGGTGCGGGTCATGTCCTGTCCGACCAGAATCGGGTGGTGTGCCAATGGGACACCTGGGGTCTCTAATCTGGGGGCAAGATTGAGCATCACTTTGACGCTCCAGCCCGATGGTAAAGAGAATAATTAACTTTTGCAGTGAACACAGCGCTACGAGGCACCAGGCTTGAGGGACGGGAACCCGCCTGTGTCCGATCAGGAACGCTTCCAAGGGGAAAGAAGCACAGCGACAATCCCGTATACAAAAACATCTCCGGCGCTGTTGTGAACATCAAAGATTGGTGCAAGGAGGGCGAAACATGGGCAGAGTGCCAGCAAAATACCAGGAAAATCCCGTGGATTCCAGGATTCGCAGTCCTTTGCGGTATATCGCCATGACTGAGGACATAACGAAAGCGACCAAGGAACACACGGCAGCAACGGAGCCCAACTATCTGTTCGACGGATCGGAAGTCCCTGACGTCTGGAAGACGCGAACCCAAATAGTGCGACCTGGAGGGAAAAGAAGGCTATCGAAGACAAGGGCAACAAGGTCAAGACCGAAGCCAAGGACAACCTGAACAGCAAATTCGAAAAGAAACTTCTCGATCTCATGCAGACAGTCTTCGAGAGCAGGAAGAAGATCAAGTTCCTTGATGACTTGGGCACCTGGAATGGAAGGGTCCTTTCCCACTGACGCGGTACAAGCCTGAGTCCAGCGATTCCGAAGTTACTGGTACCGGTACCTCTTACAGTGTGATGCAGTTCCGGTCGCACCATCCGCTTGCTGCAGTGGCAGGAGGGACGGCCCTGCCCTACCCCAACCCCGACCAATGGCCACAAAGAATCACATATTGTCACCAGTGAACTTGTTGAAAACATCAAACGTCCCATATAACTCTATTTAACTTTACTTGAGAAGCAAAGAAGAAACGAAAAGAATCAAAAGAAACCCAACCACCAACTCCCCCAGACAACCCCAGACACCCGCCTCCCTCACCGAACACCACCACCACCACCACCGCCAACACCACCACCACCATCACCACCCCCATCACCACCACCACCAACACCACCAACACACCACCACCACCACAATCTCCTCCTCCTCCCCCTACTCCTCCTCCCCCTCCCCCTCCTCATCCTCCTCCTCCTCGTCCTCCTCCCACTCCAACCCCGCCGCCAGCGCCGCCTCCTTCGCCAGCTTCTTCAGCAACCGCCGGAGGGCGGCCATGTTCTGTTCGTGTCCTAGCCTAGCTAGGTACACGAACCCGGAGGGGATCTGCTCCTCCTCCATGGCCAGCTCCTCCAGAACGGCCGCCTTGAAGCGGGCGATGGTCGCCTCCATCCTGGCTGTTGCGCCGGGGAGACGGACGAGGCCGCCCGACTCCTTCTCCAGGCCGTGCAGCCTGGTCCCGAAGGTGTACGTCCACGACGGGCGGACCTTCTCGACCGTGGACACCTTGGGCTCGTCGTCGGCCTTGTTCTTCTTGGCCCTCTTCCTCGGCGCGGCCTGGCCGGAGGCGCCCTGGTTGGCGCGGCGCTTGCGCAGCTTCTTCTCCTTGACCGGGACGTCGTCAAAGGCGGGCAGGAGAGCGGGGTCGGTGGGCGGCATCCTCAGGGCAAAGATGGTCGCGTCGAACGACTCCGGCGCCGGCGCCTCCGGGGTCGGGGATGGGGTCGCCATCTGCTGCGACGATGGGACCGAGGGGGGAAAGATGGGCACGAAGCCCTCGGGCAAAACCAGCGGGCGCAAAGGGCTGTCGCCGTCGCCATTGCTGTTGTCGCTGCCGGTGCTGGTGCCGGGGATTGGGGTCGGGCCGAAGACCGTGAAGTCCTGGTTGAAGACACCCTGAGTCGCCTCAGGGGTCTGGGCAGCAGCAGCAGTCGAGACCGCACGCGGGCCGTTCTGGTTGTGAACGCCGGTGGGGGAAGCCTCGGGGCTCCAGGTAGCCGGATTGACGACGGCACCAACAACGTTCTGGTTTGAGCCGCTGGCCCGCGAGGGCCAAGCGGGCGGGACGGGAGCAAGGTTGCTGGACGGGCGGACTGGCACACCATTGACATTCTGTGCCGGCTGTGCTCCGGGAAGCGGCGTGTACGAGACCATGATGTCCCTGTACATGCGCGACATGCGCCGTCTGGCTTCGAGGAGCTCTTGGCCGGAAATGGCGCCTTGCAGAAGTGTCTCGCCAAAGACTTGACCCAGCTCTTCAGCCTCTCTGAGGATTTCCTGAAGAGCTTTGAATGCTCCGTTATTGAAGGCTCTCTGGTCGCTCTCGATATTCATGGCATTGACCTCGTTAATGAGTCTCATGATGGTTTGTTCAATGCGGGCCTGGGCCTGGGGAGAATGGAAGTCGGCAAGAGGACCGTCCATCAGCAGTTGAGCGAATGCAGTGCCGGTCTCATTGATCTCCTTCAAAACGAGTTGAACCGCGGCATTGACTCCAGCCTTGATTGAGGACGTGATTGAGGACGGGACCAAGAAAGTGGTTGAGGAGGTGATTGAGGTCTGGCGACGCTTGTTCGGAGACTCGTCGTTATCGTCAGATTCGGTCCCTTTGCGCTTGTTGTCGGATGAAGGGTTATCCGAATTGACAGACGAGACAGAGTTCGGCTGAGAAGGACCGGCGACAGATGCGACCGAGCGAGCGAATTGATTAACACCGCGGAAATTCTGCCTGACGGCAACGACAGGCTGGTTACCAGTGCGGTGGCCTTGGTTGGGATAAAGACCCTCCTGCTCAGCGACAGGAATGGAAGTGGCAGGCATGGCTTCCGAAGCCGGCGAGACATGGTTCTGGCCGCCGGACATGGAGTTGTGTTGACCATTGGCACTGGAGAATGGGTCAGCCCTAGTCACTCGAGGAAGTCTAAGTTGGAATTACTTACTTGTTCCGCTGCTGAAGGACAAGGGTCGATGACATGACTTGCGAGACCGACGGGACTTGCTCCCCGGCGCCGATCATGAGGTTGTGCTGGCCATTAGCACTGGCAAATGGGTCAGCTCGGTCACTGAGGCGTCCAAGTCAAGATCACTTACTTGTTCTGCTGCGCAGTGACGGGAGTAGACGGCATGACTTCAGTAACCGACTCAATCTGCTCTCCGGCGCCGAACAGGAAATGGTCTTGGCCATTGGCACTGACAAGCCGGTCAGTTTCTGGAGGAGATGGAAGAGAAGTCGAGATTACTTACCTATTCTGCTGCTCAATGACGGAAGTCAACGGCAGAACATCAGAACCCGACTGAATTTGAGTGGCGACGCCGACCAGGGCATTGTCATGACCATTGGCATTGACACTGGCAAGCTGGTCAGCCTGGTGACCCGAAGGAGTCAAGTCAGGATACTTACTCGTTCTGCTGCTCTCCGGCGGCGGGGTGGATCGCATCGAAATTGAACTTCTGCAATTCCATGTCGGGGTTGAAGTTCTCAAAGATCGAGTCGAAATCGAGCGACTGATCGTGGGCGGCAAGCCAGCCCTCTGGGTATGCCTCTTGGAGTTGCGGATCAAAGGTTTCCAAGGCCTTCTAGAACTGGTAATCTTGATCTGCGCCAAGGTTGAGGTTCTCCTGCAAGTCACCGACTTGCTGGTTCATGGTTTGCTCCGAGGTTTGGCCCTGGGGCGCGACATTGTTCTCGGCGGCGCTCATGATGGCCGCAAAGTTAAATTCAAACTCACTGTTCTCTTTGTTGATATCAGGGGCAGTTCCAGACTGCTGGTCAGTAGAATTATCGTCAGCAATTGGGTTGGAGACGAAGGACATTGTGGTCGAGGAACTGCAGTTTTGGTGTGAAGAAGAAGAGAAGGAAGGGGAAAAGGTGGAAGAGGGCGAGGATTTATGGGAAGAAGAGGGGTTGTTGCCGGGGAAGAGGAGTGAGAAGAATCTTCTCAAATTGTGGGAAATTATGGCAAGAATGGGCTGCGGGAAACGTGCCTCTTCACCTTTGGCGGGAATCACTGCTAATTTGTGCTCGCAGGCTGCGAACTTGGAGTGAGGCGATTTCTGGTGTCGTGGGCGGGCGAAAAGAAAAAAAGACCGGCGCAGCCCCTGAGTGGTTTTGCACTCGCAGGCCGCCGTGAGGATTTCGAACTACCCAGTCTGCCACCTGACCTTTTTTTTCACATCTACTCATGTCTACAGCAGTGGCTTTCTTTGCCCGTGGTGAAACAACGAAGACGGGAGTGATACTGCAGACCTCCTAGGATTACTACCACAGGTTCCATCCCAAGGGCTTCACACAACCAAGGCGAGTATAGTCTCAAAGCGCATATATGTGTATTCGGACTAGTCAAGCGCAACTGAGAGAGAATATATAATGGTCTTAAGACACATTCACCGTAAAGTGAAGACTTCGAGTACCTCCTGATGCCATTGGACTCGTATTCTGCTTCCATCTCATGGTTTCGATGTAGTTTCGCGCTTCACATATCTGCCCAAACGCTGGGGTATAACTACAGTTATCATATTCTGGCTGTAAACCAGGCTAAGCCAGGTCGTAGAATCAAATGCATAATCAAATTTCAAGATACTTCCTCAACCATCTTACCCCCTGCAAGTCCACGACCACCACCACTGCCGCCAGCACCGCCAACAAACAGTCGCCCGGCCGGCCCCGTAAGAAGTTCCTCCGGCATGGCGAGACGGCTGCCCTCCTTGGTGTTGACCCAACGGATAAACATGGGGTCAGGCCGCTGACCCTCGACCTCAGGGGTCTCATCGCCGGCCAAGAGGGCGGCGCGCTTGGTAGTTTTGGGTGCTTGTTTCTTGAGTAGCTTGTTGATTGTTTCCATCTGCAGTTGTGGTAGGATATTAGCATCCATGAGGAGTAACATTAAACGTAATAACGAAAGAAAAGAAGAGGAAAGGGGAAGAAGAAATAGAGGAGGTAAAAGAGAAAAGTCGTTTTTGCAGATAAAAAATAAAATGAGGGATAGAACCAGATATAAAGAGAGAGCATACCTTGACCTCCTCATTCCGTTTCTCGCTGAGGTTACGCCTACGGCGGGCCATTTCCGCCCGCCTCATAGAGAGCTCCTCAGCCGTGAAGTGCTTCTTTGCTTGGACCTCTGTTCCAGTGTTAGGCTCTGCGGGTCTGCAGAATTAGGGGCAGGAAAAGTTCTCACCATCAGAAAGCTTCATATACTCGTGCGAGACATCCCCGAGCTTGGCTCGCTGGCGGGCAGTCAGCTTGGACAAGTCCGGTGTGCCAGTGCCCTCGTCATCGCTCTCGATTTCGTCGTCCTCCTCGCCCTCGGCATCCTCATCGGCAACCTCAATCTCTTCACCCTCAGCATCGACGTCCGCGACCTCGTCGTCCTCGCCTTCGGCATCCTCTTCGCCGTTGGCAACTTCAACTGCCTCGTTGACGTCGTCTTGCTCGCTTTCCAACTCGCTCAGCTCCTCGTCGTCTTGCGCATCGTCTTCCTCATCAGCCCTAGCGGCGCCCTTTGCTGTGGTGACGTTTGAGCCATGCTTCGCAGATGTGCTTTTGCCTTTATTAGTAGCTATGGCTGTGTCTTTGGAGGGTTTGGAGATTTTGATGGTGGGGGGGGCGGGAGCTGGCGTTATATCCATGTCGATATCGCCATCGGCGTCAGCATCGTCGTCGTCTTCTCCTTCGGCATCAACATCCATTTCATCCCCGTCATCATCACCCTCCGCATCCTCGTCACCGGGTCCCGCCATCTGGTCGTCCTCTTCCTCCTCTTCCTCTTCATCCTCAACAGCGGCTATACCCGCTCGAGCGCCGACCTCAATCTCGTCCTCCTCTTCCTCCTCGTCGTCTTCTTCCTCTTCTTCTTCCTCTTCCTCCTCCTCTTCCTCTTCGTCTACCTTCTCGTCCTCCTCCTCGCTGCTCTCAATCACGTAGCTCTTCTTGCCGGCTCTATTAGTTCGCTTGGCAGAAGACCCGGTGCTACGGCTGGCTGCTGCAGGCGCGCTGCCAGATGAGATGCGTTTGGCACTACTGCTGCTACTGGTAGCCTGCCGCAGCTTGCTCGAAGGCAGTTTGACTGTAAGATGAATATGCTGATTCGAGTCGGAGGGGTTGCTTCCTGGCGATGAGGGCGGACCCCGTGAGAGGGAGGCGATACCACCCCCCGAACGGCGCGAGCGCGACGACATGATGCGCTCGCTGGGCTCTCGGTCTCTGTCGGCCAAGTCAGTGATTGCCATGGTGGCGCGCTGAGCCGCCGAGCGGCGGGGCCGGGTAGACATGATGGATGCTGGTGTTGCTATGAGAAGGGAGGGCTGCTGTGGCGTGGTGAGATGAGGGAGGCCACTGTGCGGTGAGTTGGGCTGGTGAGCGATGCAGTCCTCTGGTGACCCGGAATGCGAGGTGTGGTGCAAGAGATGGCTTTTTATCGCGTTGTGCCTTTGCCGATGCCCCGGACGTGCGGGGGGCGTATTCTTAGAGCCAGCTCTGGGCGCCAGCCATGTAGTTCAAAATAAGCTTGCTTGTGTAAGAAAAGCCCATTCGAAGCCGGCGTGCCAATCGAGAAGCCACAGGCACAGACAAGCCTTTGACCGCACGAACCAGAGCCCGCACGTTGCTGCCTCAATCCGTCATTCGCCGCCCGCTGCTGCTGCGACTGTTGGAACCGAGACGGGCACGAGTTTGACTTTGCCGTTGGCGGCGCCCACGTCCTTATTTGTGTGTCCGAATGTGTGTGCTTTGTTTCAATTTAAGGTTGCTGAGGCTCACACCACAACGACAGTGTCGGCATTGAACGAGGTGTCACAAGGAAGCGGGCATGGCTTGATATATGGAGCTTGCCGGCCCCGGTGTCCGATGCCTTGCATCTCCTGGGTGGCCGTCTGTTTCCCGTCTGATCTTGCACCAACCTTGAGGATGCAATCACGACTCCCAACACGCGGGCACAGCAGCAGCAGCCCCCAGCTCATCTCATCATGATCCAGGGCACTCTTTCCCAAATGCTGTTGGGCTTACTCACACTCTGGATGCTTAGGTGCGCTTGTGGCTGCAGAACCAAACAGACGCCGTGTCTGTCTCCGTCTCGGCTCGAATGCGTCTAGCAGTCCCAAATTCAATGAATAAAGCTGCTTCCCGATGGCTGTCTTGCGGGGCCATCCCACGTCATTTGATCAGCGAATTGGTGAGCATCATCCAAACCTCCAAACTCACAACGAGATTGCGCTGATCGGTAGCTGCTAGCTCTTCCGAAAGTAGTGGACCGCGCCGGCAGGTCAGGTCGATGATGAGACAAGCTCGGAGACAGCGATGAGCATGCAACTGCGCTGTTCCCTCAACAGGCGGCTGAACCAGGAGAATCAATTACAATAGATGGGTCGAGAATGATAATTAAAGCTCTGAAATTTGCAAAATGACCTCAGATCATTCCGCGGTACTATATCGTGACCTGACGCAACGTGAGAATACTGCTAACCTTCCTTTAAGATTCATTTTACGCTGTTTCGGCTTCAAGATGCTTTGCAAGGCCGGCGCCACTTCCCTGTCAAGCCTGCCCTGTCTGGTCTTGGCAGAACCGTGGCTGGTGGGGCAGGCTGATTGGAGATGGGTCCGGCAGGCGCTTGGAACTTGTGACGCTCAGACCAGGCGACCCAGGCTGTCGGCCACTGTGGATGGCGAGCCTCGGCATTGAATCATCACAAGTCCCAAGCTGCTTCTTGCATTTCCCTATCTCGCGCTGCTCCCTTCCAAGAAAAAATAACCTGGCTAGACCCTAGATTAGGGACTCATCATCTAAGCTGTTCTCACTAAAATATAACCCGAAAAATGGGCGACGAGGAGTGTAAAACCCAGGCACAAGCGACGCCTGCTCAAGCAGCCCAGACCGCGCCGCCAGAAGCAAGGCTCGAACAGGCCAGGAAGTTTCTCCGAGATGCTCAAGTACAGAACGAGATTCCAGAGCGAAAAGCACAGTTCCTCAGGAGTAAGGGATTCTCAGATAGCGACATTGAGGGGCTTTTAAAAGAGGTGCTGCAAGATAGCGGGCAGGAATCACAAGTCTCGGTATGTTTAGCCTCCAACTCGGCAGTTACAAATACAGACTCACAATTCCACGAGATGCAGGCCAAGGAGGAAACAATAGAAGTCCCTACCACCAAAAAAGAAGACCGACCGCCCATTGTCACATACCCCGAGTTCCTTACCAAGCCTGCGCGGCCACCACCACTGGTAACAGTCAACGGCTTCTTGAACACGCTCTACGCCTTCGCTGGTCTCGCGACAGCCGTCTACGGCACCAGCAGATACATTGCACAACCAATGGCCGACTCGCTCACCGAAGCGCGAGTCTCACTACACGAAACTGCCAAACAGGATCTCGCAAAGCTGGTCTCCAAGCTGGAGAGCACTGTCTCGGATATCCCAACCCCAAAATTAAAGGACACTAAGCCACCAGCCGCCGAAGACAACGACGCCGCGAGCAGCTACGACGACCCGACAGAGCTCTTCCATCGCGACATTGGCGTCCAGACCTCGCGGCCGCCGAGCCCATTCAACAGCACCGCGATCCCGACCGCGACATCCTTTTTCGGCCTCTCATCGCAGTCCCAGAGTAGTAATAGGCAACCACAGGAAAGCCCGACGGCGCTGCAAACCCGCCAGCTGTCGTCGCTCACCGCGTCATTGAAAATGCTCGGCGACGGCCTGGTTTCCCAGACCGAGTCCCTCGGCGAGGTCCAGACGGTGCTGGACCTGCTTAAGGAGGACCTGGACACGCTCAGCGCGACGCAGACGACCGACTTTGTCGGTGGCTACTCGCTGTACGGAGCGGCCAGTAGGAACGAGCCAGACGATGAGATCAGGCAGGCCAAGGAGAATATTAGGAGGGTGAAGGGAGTTCTGCTGAGCACGAGGAGTTTTCCGGCGACGACGAGGTAGTTCTTGGATTCAAAACCTATACTTCCTTCTTTGGACTACCTGTAGAGGGAGGTGTAAGTGTTGGCGGCAGTCGCTGGGGCGATTTGTGTTGAGCGACCAGCGGCCTGCAGCACAGGCTTGTCAGTGTAGCTTGCATGCATGTCTGACCAAAAGGGGCAAGGTGCATCTTGCTGTCTGTCTTGCATGGAGAGGAACCACTCCAATACACCGTATGTATGCTGGTTCAGCAGGAGGTTGGAGAGGCCCTTGAGCTGATTCACCCCTTACCGGGAGGTACAACAACCTACTTGTCATGTATCCTACACCGATGTAGTTTGTGATGCGGATGACATGACTTTCTCCGGGGAAATTCCAGGTACAGAGACAAGTCCCTACCAACCTAAGGTAGCGAATCGGGGAACCGCTTTGACTTCCTCCAGGCGAGCCCCATCGACATAACGCGATGCTTTCATCACTACCTTCACCGCCCTGTTGCTGCTAGGGGAAGTGGAGAACAAGCCTCTGATGACTGACCTGTGCATCCCATCCAGAGATTCCAGACCCGGCAAGTGTGACGGTGCTCGGGTTTCATTGCATGATTGCACTCGGGAACACGTACATGAGGGGCGTCCTAATGTAATTGCAGTAGTAGTGTGTAGGCTCTGCAGTGAGCTAACATGCGACGACTTCAGGGCGGCTGGACACCGCCGTTAGCAGCCGGCCTCTTTCCGAGCAAGGCGATGGGAAACATTGCGGGCTATCAAATCCCAGGTCACACGATCGAGAAATCTGCTCTTCTCCCGAAGTACTTCGCATATACAATACCTAGGTACCGGTACATCGGCATTGCGAGTCTCCACCATCAACTCCAGCCCGGCATCGGCCACTTCCGTCTTACGTTAGTTACATTACCCCAAACCTGTCAATTTTGACCACCCAGCACCAAGCCTCGGCTGCTTAACAACTGCGCTCTTTTGTTTGGTTTGAGCCACGGGATGGGAAGGAAGCCAAGACGAGCAACGAGCACAAGAGAAGAGGAGTCGTCGCAGAAGCGGGGAACAGGACCAGTCTTTCACATTTGGATTGACAAGGGTTTTGCAGCAGGAGACGGACAAGGTGGCGTTAGCTTCCTCCCCAGATTCGGACAGTGCCAATCCGGGGTTGTTGCGCAGAGTCGCAGACCGGTGAATGGGCTGGAAAATGCCCGGCGACGGCACGCCTATCTCTCAGCAGGCTTTGCCCATCCCTGACCGTTTGCTGGACGGCCACAATGTTGGCGAGGAGGTTGGCTCACAGGCTTCGCGGATAGTGGCGGTTAGTGGCGAACCTGTTCAGCAGGATGAATCTGCATCATTCAAATTTGTCCCACGCCAAGTTGCAGCAAGCCGAGAGCTAGACAGCGAACGTGCACTAGAAGCTCATAGCTCAGGTGAGTTCATACACATGATCTCCGTTTCCCTTTGCACCAGTTAGCCCTTGATCATTGTTCAATGATCTGCAATACCACAGTATGCTTTCGCTGCCTCCATTCTCTTTCCGTTCCCGTTAATTCCCGTCGTGTCCCTCCTGTGCCGTTTTGATGCTACATGACCATATGCGCTCTGCAATACATTTATAGCAAGACAGCACCATCATCGCATGAGCTAGGTGAGGATTGAACAGTTTGCCGTGGCGTCTACAAGGTGAAAGTCGGCGATCCTTCTGAACCCGCGCGTGAGGCTGCACGCGTCCTTGTCAAATTTGCTTGGCTTCTGAAGCTTTGCGCAGATCGCTAACGTCGAGGCTTGCCTAGACCAACCAGGCCTGCTTGACCAGGACATCATAACACCACTAGGGTTGGCCACCCCGCATAACCACCTTCAAGGCCCCGCGTCTGGAGCCTATATAAACGCGCCGCCCTCGCCAGTGGCACGCGAGGTTAGTGGTGGCGATCACGATTTGACTGCCGGTCCTCTCGACCGGACATCTTCAACAATGATTTTCTCCGACTTGTACAAGTCGCCGAGGTCTCCCCTCACCAAACTTCGGAATTCGCTCCCGCATGCTGTACCTCCTCCAACGGATTTCGATGCCGATCTTGTGAGCAAGGATAAGGGCAAGCAGAAGGAAGCTGTGAGGAGACACCTCGCTGCGAAGGTTCGAAACGACTGGGAGTTTGTGTGGCCAGTGGCGGTTCGCTCACAGCCTGCACGCACGAAGGTGTCGGAGCGCAATGCTTCGCCTTCAAGCGCGCCTGCAGTCCCTGTTCAAGATGGAATGGGACAAAGAAGCGCAGATGTAGCCGCTGCAACGGAATTTGCAGACGGTGAGGCGACCAGAGATCCCGGAGAGGAAGCAGATTCCGAATCAGAGGCCGAGTCCGTCTACAGCACTATATCTGAAGACCCTGCTCGCTTCCGGCCACGGGCTGAATGGACTTCAGACCTCTCTGACGACGAGGAAGACCAAGATCCAGTATCCCCTTATCGAACCGCCACCCAAGGATCCGTCGGGAATGCTGTCCGCACTTCTCTCGAGACCAAGCGCACACGCAGGCGTAGAGCCGTGCGGGAAGAGGCGGCATGGAACGAGGGTTTGGCATGTTTTGAAGCGCGCCGCAACGCCTGGACGGGTGCCAGGACCGTCCGTGTAAAACCGAAGCCGCCCACTCCGGCATCCCCGTCTTCAACTCGCAGACTATTCTGGCGGCATCATCGAACTGAGTCTTCTAGTTCCCACGACCCAAGCACTGTCTCAGGCTCACCGCCGGCCGCTACCTCGCCCCTACAGGCCACAACCACTCGCACCTCCCAGCAGACGGACACATTATCAGAACCCGACTCAGCCAAGAGCGCGACAGCCGTACAGAGGACGAGCTCCCGAGATTCAACAGGCCAACCGGTGCTCTACCCGGTCAAGACCCTCATCCCCATCCCGCCTCCGCTCCTACCGCCTCAAAACCCAATGCGCGCCTCGGTCACACCCTCCATGTACGGCTCACTCTACGACAAGGTCGTCGTGCAGAGCCTGCAGCCCTCCTGTCCCGTGAACCTGGCCGACATGCTCCGGGCCTGTGTCGTCGGCTGGAAGCGCGACGGCGAGTGGCCGCCCAAATCCAGCTACCCCGCCACGATACACATATCTTCACCCGCCGAGGTACTGGCCTCGCGCCAGCGCAAAGCCCAGCAGCAACAACAAGCGAACGCCGCGCGGAAGCAGCCACAACAACAACAACAAAGTAGCAATCCCGTGGCGACGGCAACAACATCAAAGAGGATGAGTCTAGTGGGGTTACTGAGCGGGGTGGGAGGTGGAGCAGGGGGGAGTAAACCCGCTTCACAGCCCAAGGAGGACGCCGAGCAGGGGAGGGGGAATACCACCCAGCACGGCCTGTCCCACACGCGTTCTCATTCTCATTCTCACTCGGACGAGGCCGGCGGCGGTGTCGGCTCCTCGAGCAAGACCTCGTTCAGACGGAGCCTGCACAAGGTGTTCTCGTTGGGTCACCAGCACAGCAACAGCAGCCATCATCACAATGCTGGAGCGCCGCTGTCGCCGAGTGCTGCAGCTCCTCCTCCTTCTACCAAGGGATGTTAGTGCTTCTAAGTAGAGGGGGGGAGTTGATTCTGTTGTTGGATTGATGGATGAGTCTTTGAGCTGTACTCTACTCTATTCTACAGCAGGGGAAGGGGAAAGAGCGTACTCCCGCATAGCGGTGCATTCTTATTCCTAGGAATGGGGCGGGTTAAGGAGCGGGCTGGGCCTCTCACCATTCAACACCTTTGCAGCGTCTTGGTTTATGTTCTGTATTGTATTTATGGCTCTGAATTGCCATACGTCGGTGGTAAAGGGATACCATACCGCTTGATACCCCAATCGTTTTTTGGTAGGAAGGATGAAGCGAAGCTTTACATACATCTAATGGAGGTTGATGTGGGCAAATGAGACCTGAATTTCTCCATCTTGAAACATTGTCGGTTGACCGTCTTGGGAAGGAAGGCTTGAAGCTTGCAGCCGCATATTATACAGAAGATAGGGCGGCCTGTCATGAGAAGAGTTGGCCTTATCCCCATCAATTACCTAACCGTGGTATATATCTCAGCAGTCTCGCTGCGTTTGACACCCGGCATCCCAACGTCTTGACTTGCTCCATGCCTGTATAAATGAAAACCCAGCGCACCATACGCTCTCTGCAAAATACCGTCTCAGGCTCTAAACAAAACTGCTCTCGCAATCCATTGCAAATATATAGTGTAGCTGTATCCTTGATCCAGTTCTTTCCCACTCTCACATAATAAGCCGCCGTCTTGATCAGTATTACATACCCGTCACCCTCATGGCGGCATACCCAACCGTGACAACAACCACAAGAGTGAGCAAGCTGCTCGGCACTCCCCGGCTGATGAAGTGCTTGACCTTGAGGTATCTCTGGCCGGCGGGATCTTCCTTCATGATAGCGGCTAGTTTGAACACACATCAGTCACCATCTTTCACAGAATCATTACAGTCATAGAGTTTAAAAAAGAAAGGGGACGTTTGTGGCGGGTAACTCACTCATATTCGGAAAGCCACTGGTAGGCAGGGCCATGGCGGCACTGCACATCAACACCCCGGCCATGACCAGCAGGTTCGGGTGCGGCTCCTCCAGGCCCTTGCCCACGTCATAGACCAGTGGCAGGATGATCATGGCGGCGACCGTGTGGCTGATGAAGGTGGCAATGACGAGGATCAGGGTCGAAAACACCACCAGGATGCCGTACAGACTAAGCTCGCGCACCCGCTCCGTGATGGCCTCGGTGACGGCGTGTAGCAGGCCCGACGAGTTGACCGCCTTGCCGAGGGACAGGCCGCCGGCGGCAAGGATGATGATGGTCCATGGAAAATTGTTGAAGTCCTCCTTGGTCAGGATGCCGAGGCCAAAGAAGAGCACGATGGGGATGATGGCGATGACGCCCATGTTGCCAAAGACGCTCTCGAGGGCGTGGGACGCACACCACAGGCCGATGGTCACCACGGTCACGATGGAGACGAACCATTGGACGCCGGTGAAGGGGTCGCGGACGGGGCGGATGGGCACAATGACGGTGCCCTTGCCGGGCTGGAAGGATACGACCAGCAAAAGCCAGATGAGGAAGATGGAGATGACGCCAACGGGGATGACGATGAAGAACCACTGGCCCCATGTCGGCTCGGGCTCCATGATGCCGATGGCGACCACGTTTTGCGGGGACGCGATAGGCGAGAGCATGCCGCCAATGTTAGAGGCAAGAGCGATGCCGATGATGATGGCTTTGGACATGTTGGAACCGGCCGGGAGGTTGCGGAGCATAGGCTGTGAATGTCTTAGACCCGGGTCAATGGCGTTCTGATCTTGCAGGGGCTTACCTCAATGATACCAAAGCAGAGGACCGGAGCGGCAACATTGCTGATCAGCATGCTTGCCACGGCAGCCACGGCCATGTTTGCGATGAGGACTGTCTTTGGCTCTGTCCCGGCTTTGCTCAGGACGAAGGTGGCGATCCTCTTGTCAATGTTGCATTTCGAAAGCGCCGCCGCCAGCGTGAAGCCACCCAGGAGCAGCATGATGACAGGCGTCCACATGGCGGCGAAGACGGCGTCCGTAGCCTCCTTGGCGCCTAGCCTCTTGTAGGGCTCCTCCTTGTCGCGGAAGACCTGCAATACGACACACAGGAAGGGAATAGTGAGCGAGGTCACGAAAAGGGGAATTGCCTCGGTGGCCCAAAGCAAGCTGGTAAAGACCAGCAGAGCCAGGCAATTTTGCTGCTCAGGCTTCTCCATTATCGGAACCACGAGGAGCGCGGCAAACAGCGCAAGAATGACGACAAGCGAGAAGGTGGCAGAGTTGAAAAGCCAGGTCGGGCAAGCAAAGCGGCCCAGTGGCGTCGAGATCACCTTGCTCGGCAGAGCAACTGTACTGTCTCCTTGGAGCAATGTCTTTTGGGGATCGCTGTCTAGCCCAAGGAGCGTGTGGCCCAAGCTGGCAGCCTCAGCTCTGCGTTCCATGCCAATCAATTCTCTCCAAACGGTATTCCGCTCCCATACGACGTGCTCTCTCAAGTGCGATCTCAAGTCCCGGACTGCTGAATCGGCATCGCCCTGTGTGACGATTTCCGTATAAACGGCCACTATCTTGGAGATCTTCTCTTCCAGTCCTTTAGTGGTCTCGGAGCGGAAGGGATGGGCCGTGTCGACGAAAGTGTTCATATACTTGGGACGCAGTTGGCGGTCGATGATCTTGTCAAACTTCTTAAGGACCTTGCTGAAGCCAGTCCGGTTCAGTTGAATGTACGATTTGAGCTCACAGAGTTGGACATAGATATTGATCATTCGCTTCTTAAGCATGATGCCCGATGAAAACAGCACGGCTTGCTCGGCGTAGTCGTCGTAGGTCGTGCTATACCTCCGCAGAGACCGGGTGAGGTCAGTCGATGCCGTCATGTCGGTGGACGCCATCATGGCGTTCGGAATCGTTCTACGCCTTCCAAAGCTGGACCTCCGCCTCTTGGTTGTGAGGCCGGTTTCCTCGTCGCCTTCATCATCGCTGTCCTCGTCCTGGCCGTCCTCAGTAGAAAGCCTGCTGCGTGCGCTCTGGCTCCTGAGTCGCTCAGAGTGGGCTCTTTCGCTGGACCGCGTAGGCGGACGGAGTTGCTCAGCGCCTCCCGACTCTTCCTCGAAACTAGCCACGTCGTTCAGTAGCAAATCCACCTCATCGAACAACTCTTTTTCTTTGAGAACGTAGAAGGACGTTATCTTCTCCAACTCCACATCAAGGGCGCGGCTGAAGATGGTTTCAGGGTCGTCATTCTGGATCAGCGGGCGAGACTCTGCGTCGCCAGGAGGCAGATGAATGGCCTTCTCGAGCTGGTAGATGCTGCGAAACCCATTCCGTCAGCACGGTTATCTTCTAGAGGATCCGACAGGGGCAAAAACGCAAGGGTGCCTACAGCTTCTTGAGATTGCTGTACGCAATGTAGTGGTTGCTCCAGTCCGGAACGGCGTTGAACTGGATGCTATGGGAGAACTTCATGTCGTCCTGCTCCTCGAGCCACCTGCGCTTCTCAGCCCGCTTGATGTCGTACCTGCGCTGGCGCTCTTGTGCAGCGTCTGTGTGTCGCTGCTCGGCAGTAGGGTAGTTTACGAGCTCGAATTCCTCTGTACGTGTTGTGACTGTGGTCGGAGACTGGGCGGGGTGTGCTCCCTCCCCTGTCATGAAGATCTGAGGCTGGCTTGACGGGGCGATGCGGCAGTCGCGACTGGTGGACTAGCAGACCTGCTGATCGGCTAGAGGAGGGGTTCAGCGCACGTCTGACGGTGTTGTTCTGGATGTGCTAGCCGCGAGGGCGCCAGAGTCATCATGTGGAACGTTGCAGCGTCCAGGAAGCACGATAAATCCACTATCAATGGGTCTCTTGTCTCGCTGTGTGCGACGTGCGCGTACGGAGGATGTACCTGCCCGGCTTACCCACTTCATTCGATGAAACCGGGATCCTCTTGCGTTATGTCGGCAAGCCAAGACGTGGCACTGGCAGCCTCCACTCAGCCTGCCCCCACGTCCCCTGGACCCGTGACTCGGCCCGAGGGGAAACGGGACATGCGGATGTCATCAGATCGGGGTTGCATAATGCCATTCAATGGACAGGTACGAATACAGTGCAGTACACCGAATCCGATGAATCATCCTAAGTCTTTCATTTCTTTATTGTTTCGTGCCCCAATCAAACCATCAGGCGTAAGAAGAAGAGTTTGTTTCGTTTTAGGCAGCATTTGGAAGTGACGGTCAAGGGGCAAGTGCAAACAAGGCGACCTAACCGTTTTGGGATTTCGGTGAGGTATCTCGGTCTAGTTCTTCGATACGATCCTAAGGTACTCATACATAGACCGACCTCTAAGTTCATTATAGCAAATAGCAGGCCTCGAAGGGCCTAACTCAGCTGGTTAGGTCTTGAGCATGTCTCAACATCAACACCAAACCGAGAAACTTCCGGATTGATCAGAGGGAGAGTTAACTCCGCTTAGTGCTCGGCACGGCGAACAACCATCGGGCCAAACTCCCACTATCCGCTCTCCGGTAGCATCTCCATAATGCGGTGAAAGAGCCAGTGGTATTTCTAGCTTCACACACTTGAATGCCCATACCTCGTGAGGGTCGCATCACAAGCCTCAATGTAGAAGTGGGTACGCTCGGCTACTTTGGTCCAACGAATGCGCATCCACACTAGCTTTCCGAGACGGTTGTCTCCTGGAGCCTTGATTAGGCTTTCGGCCATGGCTAGCTGTCGCAAGGAGCATCACCAGGATGATTGCCGGCGGAATCATTACTAGCGGTCGTCGAGAGCCCGTCCGCAACGGTCGAGGCCGGAGAGCCCGAACACCCGTCATCCAGTACTGGTCCTTTCCCGATCAACTCGCGCGCTCTCTCCGTCATCTCAAGAAACCCTTCGGCAAATAGCTGGATGCGGCCGATGGGAGCGTGGTCTCGCGCCTCAAGGGCCGCATAGCGGTCCTAGTTGTTAGCGAAGACCTTGCCGACGACGCCGTGGTACGCTGTAATCTTCCGAATGATCCTGACAAATGCTTGGCTTTCGTTCCCTCTCATTCGGATCTAGTTCCTTGTTGAGGTGCTTTCAGTCATCGATATGTTCCAGTTTTGCGAGACGTTGCAGTTTGGCCCTATGTTCCAGCTCGGCTATATGTTCGAGCTCGGCCATATGTTCTAGTTTGGCGATATGTTTTAGCTTCCAGCTATGTTTCAACTTGGCGATATGTTCCAGCTCGGCGATATGTTGGAGCTCGGCCACAAGTTCCAGCTCAGCCATATGTTTCAGCTCGGAAATATGTTTTAGTTCGGCGATATGTTCCAGCTCGGCATCAGCGCTGTTGACAGGCTGAGGCGGCATTGTCTCGGACGTGACTTTTGTCGCAACCGGATCCGTTGTCGTCTCCTCGAAATTAGGGGGTTCGAGATGTGTTTGGTTCTCTTCCAGCTCGGCGTCAGCGCAGTGTATAGGCTGAGGCGGCATTGTTACGGAGTCGACTCTGGTCGCAATCAGATCGGGTGTCGTCTCCTCGAATTTAGGGTTTTCGAGCTGTGTTTGGTTGATATGTTCCAGCTCGGCGTCTCCGCAGTCGACAGGTTGAGGCGGCATTGTCGCGGACTTGACTTCCGTCGCAATCTGATCAGTAGTTGTGTTCCCGAAAGTGGAGTTGTTGACTTGACTCTGCTGAGGGAAAGGGACAGGGCTTGCGGGAACTTGTGATCTGGGAATCAGCGGTTCTGAGTCGATCGCAAGCCCTAGAGAAGGGTCTGCGACATTGATACGCGTTGAGGGAGGTTTCCAGTTCGGTTGGTAAAAGAGAATTCTCAAGGGAAGGTCGGCAGGGTTTTCGGCCCTTATACGACGTCTGTGGTAACACATGCGCTTTTGTTCTCGCTTGCATTCCTTGCGCTCCTCTTCGGTCAACTGGAGTCTGGGCCGACCCATCCGAGCCATCGTACATGATTGACGTTAATGTACACGAAGACTTACATGGAGTTCAACAAGCGAGTTCGACGATCTGATACAACGTGCAAATGACCAACATAGACCCTAACCCTTATCTACGTCCAACAATGCCGTCATCTGGAGCCACGGCCGACAAGGCTTCCACTCAGTCTGGCAAAGCACACCTCTGAACTTGGTGACTTGGTCTATAAACGCGACCACACTGCCAGGTTTCTTCTCCTTTCCGCTCATTCTCTGCGGCCAGGCTCTCGAGACGCTCCTGATGTACCAATAAGCGCGTCAAGCGCACGTCAAGCAGCGAGCTGGCGGCCGCCATGCTCTCCGCATTCACGGCTCGACCCATCATCGAGCTTAAACAGCGGGACAAGTCGAAGATCGAGTCCATTCTTGCTTTCGGTGCGCTTCCTGATCCAGGCAACACTGCATGAACTGTCTCTAAAAGAAATGTTTATTCAGGCGACCGTGTTCTCGTCGGCCTCAACACTGGTTCGTTGCGAGTCTACCGAGTCAACGAAACCCCAACTCTTCCCGACAGCAAGCCCGTGAACGGTACTTCAACCCACCCCGACGCCGACCCCTCGCGCCCAGCAGCGCCAGCCTTGCCCGATGGACTGGTAGCGCCCAAGCCGCAGGGGACCAAGCCAACGGATCTACTTCGGGAGATTGAGAAGTTCTCAACACGCGCCATCGAGCAACTCGCCATCATCAAGGAAGCGAACACGCTTGTTTCGCTCTCCAACTATGCCGTTTCTCTGCACGATCTCCACACTTTTGAGCCAATCCAGGCGCCTCTTCCAAATACCAAGAATGCCTCCACATTTGCGGTGACAAGCAATATTGTCAAGGATCCCGCGACGGGGATCCCCGAGATCATTTCCCGGCTGGCAGTCTCGGTGAAGCGTCGCCTCTTGTTGTGGTCGTGGCACGAGAGCGAGCTGTCACAAGATGTTACCGAGATTGCGCTCGCTGAGGCGATCCGATCCATCACCTGGGCCAACGCAACAAAGGTGGTCTGCGGCATGAACAGCGGCTACGTCATTGTCGACGTCGACACGGCCACTTTCGAGGAAATTGTCGGTCCAGGGGCTATTGGGGGCGCGGCTGGCGGACAGGGGCGCTTTGGCGCCGTCAGCGCCGCTGGGATGGGATATATGGGCCTGGGAGGCTACATGCCGAAACCCTTGTCTGCTAAACTTGCCGATGGGGAGCTTTTGCTTGCCAAGGACATCAACACGCTGTTCATAAACGAGTCGGGAAAGGCCCTGGAGAAACGTCAAATCCCGTGGCAAGCTGCACCGGATGCAATTGGATATAGCTACCCGTACATTCTGGCCCTGCAACCGCCGGCCAAAGGGAGCTTGGAGGTCCGAAACCCGGATACTCTCAATCTATTACAGACTATTAGCCTTCCCGGAGCCGCCTCCCTTCACTTCCCTCCACCCACCGTCAGTTTGGCCCACGCGGGAAAGGGCTTCCATGTATCCAGTGATCGAGTGGTATGGAAGATGGACGCCACAGACTATGACTCCCAAGTCGACGAGCTTGTCAAGAGCGGAAAGCTCGATGAAGCGATCAGCATCCTGGGCATGCTTGAGGATGCCTTGGTGAATGACAAGATAGGGACGATGCGTGAAATCAAGATGCAAAAGGCCGAGCTATTATTCAGCCAGAAGAAGTATCGTGAGGCAATGGACCTTTTTAGTGAGGAACAAGTCCATGCCCCGCCTGAGAGGGTGTTGAGGTTGTTCCCAAAAATCATTGCTGGGGAACTCTCTGGGGTTGAGGAGGAACGGCACGATGAATCTGACCAGGAGAGCTCTAATGAGAATGCAAGCAGCGAGGATGAAACGAAGCCCCAGGGTAAGCCTGAAGCGGCTGCGACCACCGTTGAAGCAGGATCGCTTGCCAGGGCCGGAGGGTTTGCCAAATACCTCATGGGCACTCGAAAAGCCAATCCTGAGACTGCATCCATTGTCTCATCCAAGAAGGGCTCGGATGACGAGGCCGCGAGCACCAAGGGCAAGTCAGGGGATGAGCAATCACAAAAGGATAAGGACTTGATGGCTGCAGTCTTGGAGCTAAACAGCTATCTCGCCGGAGCCAGAGCAAGGCTTCAACGAGTCATCGACCCAGCAACGGGCAAACTGAAGCCAAGGAAATCACACAGCGGTTCGACTGAGGAGGCTTTCAAGAGCCTGCTTCTTTCTCCAATTGACGAGAACGACGAAACGCTCGAGAAGGAGCTTCAAAACACGTTCAAGCTCGTCGACACAACTCTTTTCCGAGCCTTTATGTACTCTCGCCCGACACTAGCCAGCTCTCTGTTCCGCATCCCCAACTTCTGCGACCCTGATGTGGTCAACGAGCGGCTCGTGGAGCAGAACCGATTCAACGAGCTGGTCGACTTCTTCTACGGCAAAAAGCTGCATCGCCAGGCCCTCAGCCTTCTACGCAAGTTTGGCTCTCCAGACGAACCCGACGAGGCGGCTCCCACACTACACGGTCCCCGGAGGACGGTCATGTACCTACAGGGCCTTCCACCTGAAATGATCGACGTCATCCTCGAGTTCTCCGAATGGACTTTGAAGAAAGATCCAGAGCTCGGCATGGAGGTCTTCCTTGCGGATTCGGAGAATGCAGAGACTTTGCCGAGAGAGAGGGTCATGGAGTTTCTTGGTGGGATCGACATCGGGCTTGAAATACAGTATCTGGAACACATCATCAACGAGCTGAACGATTTGACTCCTCACTTCCACGATCGGCTAGTGGAACTGTTTATCAAGCAACTGCTGGAGATTGAGGAGGGAGAAAAATGGGATCTTTTGATGGAGCGCTTGGTGCGCTTCCTGAAAGACAGCAAGCAGTATAGGGCAGGCAAGGCGCGGAATCTGATACCAAAGGATGGTGAGTTCACCTGCATCTGCTACCCAGTCTCGCTTTCACCTAACCATCGTCCCTATGCCAGACCCGCGATTCTACGAAGCGCAAGCCGTTGTGTTCAGCAACATGGGTCAACACCGACAGGCGCTGGTGATTTATGTGTTCAAGATGAAAGACTATGCCAAGGCCGAAGAGTAAGCCGCGCTTCCCCATTCTCCTACCCTACTCTCAATATATACTAACACCATCGACCTAGATACTGCAACCACATCCACAAAACCCAAGACTTCCTTCCACCAGGTCAAGGCGCCACTCCCACCACGGCAGAAACCGCCGAAGCAGAAGCCACCCCTTCCATCTACCACACCCTCCTGTCACTGTACCTGTCCCCTCCACCGGGAGAGTCTCCGAACCTCGAACCGGCGCTGGACCTCCTCTCCAAACACGGCTCCCGCCTGCCGGCCACGTCGACCCTCTCCCTGGTGCCGGACTCGCTCCCTGTGGCGCAGCTCGAGTCGTACTTTCGCGGGCGGATGCGCAGCGCCAACACGGCCGTCAACGAGACGGCCGTGGTGGCCGGGCTGCGGAAGACGGCGCTGTTTGCGAGCCAGGCGCTCCTCTTCCTTGGCGACGGCTTGCCAGCCCGCGGGGGCGGCGGCGGCCGGAACAGGAGGGTTGTCATCGGCGAGGAGGCCGTTTGCGGAGTCTGCCACAAGCGCCTGGGCGGTAGCGTCGTCGCGGTCCTTCCCGATAATGCGGTGGTGCATTACGGGTGTTTGAACAGAGCTGGTGCTGGTGTTGGTGGTGGGAGTGGAGGTGTGAGTGGTGGGTTGGCTGGGTCAAGGCCTATGTCTGCTGCTTCGAACTCTGTTTCTAGCATGCCGATGGGTGCCGGTCTGGCGTCGCAGGTTGGTTGGGTTGGTAATTCTGTGTCGGGTAGGTAGGATGGAGAAGGGGACGGGTGTTAATATTAGTATATTGTTCGGGGTGGCATTTGGCATAGTCGGGGCGTCGTAAGATATATAGAGCCCCTGGCTGTTTAGCCGATTGCTCCGCTTTTCCCGCGTGTCGGTTCTGGTTTAACGTGCGATGACGGCGTTGACGGCGGCAGTAGTCGTACTTGCTGGCTGGCTAAAAACAGAGAAATACCCAACCATGTTCGATCCGGACGCGAAGCGAGTCTTCAGTTTTCTTTTCAAATCAATCCTCTTCCTCTACTACCTCCTCCCCGTAGTTTTCCTCCTCCTTCTCATCGTCCACAAGGCTGGCCCCGGGGTCTGTTGTTGCGCTCGTGTCTCGCGTCTTGTCTTCCTCCATTCGTGCGGTAAGTTCCCGGTTGACTTGCTCTTGGAGCGAAATGGCCGACTGGCGGAGCTCGGCCAGATACTTGGTCTTGTTCTCGGTGGTGGTGCTGTTGGGAGGCGTCGTGAGGGGCAAGGAGATGGTGAAGGGAGCGTTGCTCGTGGAGGTGTAGTTTGCGGAGAGCGAGGGCTGCGACGCCATTTTGACTCGAAGGTGCAATCGTACGGGAGTGATTGTGCTCTGTGTATTCTAGGAAAATCGCGCTGTTGATACTTGATCAAATCGATAGAGGCGGGAGTTTGTGATGTGGATGTGGATGTCCCGTCGGTACCTGAATTTCCACCACCCCGCATGTCAGTGGAGGCTGCGGGGTTGCTCCCCTAACGTCATTGGGATTCTGGGGGGTCGAACTGGCCAATCGCAGGGGCAATCAGCAAATGTTTCAGTTGGCGTTGACCCCAAAACCTGGGTCTCAGCCTCAAAAGACACGCCTCGGCCATCTATCGTCAGTGGGTCTACAGAGGTCTACCGAGAACCCCGAAGCAACCTACCAGGTATCCGACATCCACATCGCTGCCCACCATTCAGGTGCAGTTCAAGAATATTTGCCTGCGTCCAAGCCCAGCAGGTCACAGACGTCGAGTCTTGACAGCCAAGATGTGACAGTCTCCTCTATCAATCACACAACTTGCAATCCACAAACCACATGCAACCATCACGACCGCCGCCGAGGGCTCCCGGGAGCTTTTCGCCCCTTCCCGCCAGCAATTCAGCGAGCACGACGGATCTATCACGTCCGAGACCGCAGCGACAAGACTCGCTGTCCGGTGAGGACCCAACGCCTTTAAGCGTCCTCAAGACCCGGGCCCAACAGGGAGCGGCCGCGCCGTCGCCCACGCCCATCTACACTAGCTTCACCTCGCACAACAGCGCCAGCGCCACCAATCTGCAGAACTTCTCCCGTCCTACCTTGTCGACCGCCATATCAGCCGCGCGCTCCGTTGCGGGGGCGCACTCTCCGAGCGATGTCCTTCCGCGGAATGGCCCTTCGCCCTTGACTCTTCCACCAACAGCCTCCCCTTCCACCCCCACGTTCACCAGCCGGTCTGGCCACTTGCGCAAGCATTCACAAACTGCGGGCTTGTTCGAACCCACGTTGCCGTCGACGAGCACGTCCAACCTCTCACAGATTGGCCTAGAGCACTCATCACCGAAGATCGACACGGCGTCGCACCGAGAGATGTCGGCTAGCCAGATCGCCGCACAAGCAGCTGTAACACAATATCAGAACCAGCAGCAGCAGCAACAACAACAGCAGCAGCAGCAAAGTCAAGCCTCCCGCCAGCGTTCGCAGACGGCACCTGTTCAGGGCGCCGAACACGAGCAACCGCCCAAGCGTGGAAGTGGTGGGCCGCTGAATCCGCCGATGCTGAGTCTGACAGAAGCTAGCGTGCCTCGAGACAGCGCGTTGGGAGATCAATCCTACCACAACGGCCTCGTTGGCAACCACACTCTTGCTGCCACGACAGCAGCTAACATTGTCTTTCCACGGTCAGGGCAGACGTCACCTGGTTTGCCGACGCAACAATCCTTTTCCCCTCAGGCAATGCCACCGCCCCCTCCCAATTCCGAGAAACCCGCCAAGCCGGAGAAGTCGAAAGTGAAGCTTTTCTCGCGGCCAGGGAAGATTGTTGGTAAAAGCGACTCCAAGGATAAACCATTGCCGAGCCCTGGCAAAGTCGTTGGGCATGCTTTCGCCAATTTGCAGCGAGCCAACTTCAGCACCACCAGCCTTGACTCTACTGCCCAGGGATTCTATAGTCTGCCGAACTCGTCTTCGGCGACGATACGACCGGCCGATATGTTCACTGAAAAGGAGGGCAAGGAAAAGGAAAAGAAGCATCACTTTTTGTCACGCCAGAAGCACAAGTTAAAGGATGAATACCATCTTCCACTCTCCTCGGCCAATAGCAACTCTAGGCCAACCGATCCGAACGCGCCGAGCAGTCTCTATAGCTTTAACCTGCCGCAGAGTCCAGCGCCCAGCAGTACCGGGTTCAAGTCCGGCCTTGACTTGCGTCACGGTGGCCGCGCTTTGCGAGAGAAGAAAAAAGAGGAGAAAGTGTTTGACGAAGCAACGAGCTCAGGACTGGGGAGCGAATGGCCGGCTGGAAGCAGTTTGGCCTCGGGATCAGGCTCGCTTGGTCCCTCCCTCTATATGAACGAGCCTTTCGATAGCCACAGGTACGGCCTGAACAACATGACGCATGACGATGCTTGGCCGTTTTTAAAGGCCAAGTTGCTTGTTGTCTTTGAGGCCGAGGACCTCCGTATTCCAGTGGAAGATCTCAACCGCGTCGTCACGATGCATATTCAGTACTGCATATCGCGCCGCAGCCCAAATATCATTGTGGATGATTTGAGGGAGCTCTTGGCGACAGGATTTTCCAGCCTCGACCAGACCCTCCGCAAGACCGCAGAGGACAAGTTGATCCCATCTCTTGTCGAACTATGGATTTTTACTTTTACGAATATCCTGCCGTACATGCAAGCCGTCTTCCTTCCCTTGGACCTGGAGTTCTCGGGCCACGGACCGCTGATGTCTCCGGAGCAAGCCCGGGATTTCTGGGGCGGCATCCCCGCTAAAACCGCAACCACCGACTCTTCCTCTACCCAGCGCTCCGGCGGCAGCCAGACTATCAGTGTCTCCCCAGCCTCCTCTGTCCTAGAAGTCCGACGCTTTGTCCTCCTTACTTTCCGTGATATTGTCATTCTCCCCCGCTACGAGACCCTCAAGGCCATGTTTTCACGCCTCTCCCTCGAATTTCTCCCTCAGTCCCTAGCCTCCATGGCGTTGGCGTCGCCACCCCTGCCCATTCCGTCACCAGGCTTCCACAATCAAGGCATGAGCCTGAACCAGCAAATGCTTTCTGCCTCACCATCAGACCCCTATACCTCAACCAGTCTCCCAACCGCCTTTGCCCCACGTCCGCCTACCGCCGCATCTCTAGACCCGTCCAACGCCAGCTACAACAGCACGAGCACAACCCTCCTGGGCGAAACGAGCAGCGCAAGCGGCAACCGCAGCCGCGCCATCAGCAACGTCAGCTTTGGCAGCGACGGCGCCGCCCACCTCGCTCGCCCCTTCACCCCCAGCAGTTTGCAAGCCCTGTCAGGCGCCGGCAGCATGCCCGGCCTGACACACACCATCAGCAACAGCACCTATCCCGGCGCGGGGGGCGCTCCCTCGACAGCCATGTCCTCACTCCGCGACCAAAACGTTGAGGACTCGAAGCAGGTCACTGAGATGGTCGGGCGCATGCTGCAGTGCATGAGCGTGCTTGCGTCTGTCGGCGTGGCGCCGGGTACTACTAGTGGTGGTGGTGGTGCCACCACCAATGACGAGGAGGAAGGCAACAGGATGGTCGAGGAACTGAACAAGCTGCTCAAGCTCAACTGGCTCGGCCGTGGCAGGACCGGCCGGAACAGGAGGGGCATGGTCGGCGGACGCGTCAAGAGGGCAGCCGGCGGCGCCAACAATAACAATAACAATCCGCCGCAGCCGGCCGCCTCCCCATCCTCGTCGCCTTCTCCGCCTGCGGGATGGGGCGGACTAGGAGCCGGGATTGGCAGTGTTAGGGAGGCAGGGGTCGTGGCTTGATTTCTTCTTTGATTTTTCGCTGCGTCTCATTTTTATCTTCCTTGGATGGGCAATGAATGTCTCGGAGGATCGGCTGGGCTGGTGGATGTATGTTGCTACTTATACGGCCTTCTGGTTTGGTTCGGTGCGCAGGAATGGGCGGGATTGGGGAGATGGATGCATGGTAGGGCCTTGTTGGAAACCCATTGAGGCAGAGCTGAAGGCCACAGGAAGCTTTGCCTGGGCCAGAGTGTCTTCATATTTGTGATGATTGATGACAAGATTTGTACTCTACATTAGCTGATACCTTGAGGGGTTAGGAAGAGGATTACGGCAGTACTGACTCCTAAGTCGATCGATCTGTTACATTTCAGAGCAGTTGACTGGGCAGAGTGGCTGTCATCACAGGCGGAGAGGCAATATAATACAAGCAAGGAACAGAGGGTCTTCAGAGACGGAAAGGCAGCCAGTAAGTGTACCCTCATTTGTTCTAGACTACGTAAATAATTATCTGGGTGAGACTGAACTCTCAAGGTGACACCTAAACCAGCGAATGTTAGCCACTGGCTTCCACAATCAACGGCTAGGTAGAGTGTGTGGTGATTTCTGCGATCAGACATCCAAGGAAGGTATTCGCCCTCATCTGTCCCGAGAAAGGCTCTGGTGGGACTCGAGTGGAAACTGCGAATGTTGGGAAATTTTTCATCATGCAGAATGGTGACAAAAAGGAAGACAGAGTGACGAACCTTGTATGAACAATCCAGAGTGCTTCACTGCGAGGTTAGCAACCATGGAGAACGAAGCCTCCCGCTTCCCAGGGCCATATGGCCGTCCTTAAGTACTCAGATATGAGATCCTGCGGTTGCCTGGTCAGCGACTCAAAGTCCAAGAAATTTGCAACCCGGTGGAGACAAAATAAAACAGCGAGCTCCACCGAGAGAACATTCGATGGATATCTCTCTGCCGTGTCAGACAAAAATACTGGCAAGTAACAGGCCGGCGGCTCCCGAAGGAGACGGCCCGAGACAGACTGACTTTCGTTCATGGTCGATTCAGTTGGGAAAAGAAGACATAAGTTCAGGTTGTCATCATCCAACGGCAGGAGAACGTGAATAGAGAAGGAATAGCGATCATTGGCTTACCTGCTTTGCTTTGCTCTATGCAATTCTGCTTCCGCTACGCGGACGGGGCCCAACCTTCGCAAGCCAAATCCAGTCTTTGACTCGCCCGCAGCCACGAGAAGACGAAGCGATGCGCGGCAAGAAGTATCATTGCCGAAACCCCTCTCGTGGCTGGCCACACTTGCGACAAGACGGGCGAGTCCAGATGCTGGAATTGTTGGAGGTGTAGGTGAGGAATGAGTGAAAGAAGAGAGGATGAGGTTGGAAATCGAGGTAAAGAAATACTCTGCAAACTGATTAGCGATAAGAGAAAAAAAAAACTGGGTCACTATGCACGTGATCCTAGAATCTTCCATCTGCTTTTGGCGCTCCGACATAAAAATAGCGGCAAGCAAGTGGCGCCATTATGATTACGGATACTGTACATTCCTATATCGATATCCGTCTTCCCACTACGGATACGGAGACACAAATCGAGACGGCTTCTCAGTCAGGGGTTTTGTTTGTAAAGTATGCTGAGAACTATGGAGATCAGCTGCGGGTGCTCGACAACAACAGCTTGATGCATCCAAGGGGCTCTTCATTATGAGCGTCAAATTGTTCCGTGCGATGGCTGGTTGCATTTGAAGGGCCCTGATGGGTCACTGGGTCCCCCAGGTTCTGGCTTCAATCGAGGTTTCGGTACGGATCAAGTATTAAACGATCATCTAAAATGCATAGACCCTTCGATATATGCATATCGAAGCTCACGGTATGTACGAAGCGCAAGTTGGCTTATCGGAAATCTAGAACCGGGATATACAGCCTCCCCGGTCGTTCCCTTCCTCAAAGCCCCGATCACCCAAAACGCAGAGCCAAGCCAACTCTGCGACTCTTCGACGCCTCTGCTCCTATCTGCAACACTCCTGATTTTCTCAAAGCTTGTGCACGAGACGCTCTGAATATTCCTGGCTCGCGCGATCCTTATTGATTAACCTGTCCTTTGAAAATAAGAAGGAAAGGCAAAAACCGAAGAAATCGCGACGGTCTGTCCTCATCGACATATTCTTTAACTTACCCGCTACTGAGGTGCTGGTTGCACAGGGTCCAATCCGCAGGCTCCTGACATGGCCCCCCGGACCGGCAAAAAGATTTGACGTGCCGTAACCAATTTTCAATCGGGCAATCCGCCAACCCAGTCAGTGGTTCTGGCACTCTGGGTCTGGTTGCCAATCCCAACCCCCCGTCCCGTTGCAAACTCCACAATCCACCTCCGACCACGACACGTCGATGCCGCCGCAGCCATCGATCTCGCCCTAACCACGCCCAAGCGACCGCCCAACACTCGTTTCATGCTGCAGGGAAGCAGAGCACTATTGCGCATTTACTCTTCTTTCGTAATTTCTGTCGGGAAGTGGGTTTTTGCTTGACCCGTCATTCCGCAGCATTTTCTTGAGATCGTCGCACCGTTCGCGACCGGTTCGATCGACACCTTGTCCCGCAATACATACCAGCGCATTCACGTGGTTGTCGCAATCGCCCTTCTAGCTTTGTCCTTAGGATACAACAATTGGCCGTCGACGGCCACGCGACCGTCCCTCAGGACACGCGAGTCCGCGCCTTTGAAGTTGGCCATCACCCGTGCCACTTGCCGCAGATTCGACCCCGAACCAATATTCGCATGCGATAACGTAGACAAGGCAAGGTTGATATCCACGCTGTGGATAATCGACAGTATCGGAAATGATGGCGAGTATGGGACCGGCTTTTACTCCGCACCCTGGCGGGATGCAACCGCATCCGGGTGCGCCTCCGGGGCATCCTATGGCTCCGGGCATGGCCCACAACCCTAGCCAGCCGGGCGCAACCCCCGGAGGAATGCCGCATCAGCTCGTTGGACACATGGGGGTATCGGGGCCCGGTCCACAGATCAACCCTGCTGCGCTCATGGGCGGGATGCCCCCCGGCGCCAACCCGAATGCCCATGCGATGCAGCACTTAAACCCGGCACAAGCTCAATTGTATCATCAGCAACAACAGATGAACCAGATGTGTATGTACTTGCGTCAGCTTCCTAGCTGCCTGAGCAATCCCTGATGTTCTAACATCATATCCAGATGCAAATAACCCCGCTCTCCACCAACACATGCAACAACAAAGACTCCAGCAGCTGCAGCAACAGCAGCAAGCGAGACAGGCCTTGATGGCCCAGCACGCGGCGTACCAGAACATGGGTGGGGTGCCCATGGGTATTCCGATGCCCGGTCAGCTCAACCCCGCTTCCCGGGCCGCTCAGATGGCGGCGCTCAGGGCGGGGATGCCGGTAGCCCTTCAACAGGCGCAGTTAGCTCAGCAGCAGCCTGGCCAACCCATGAACGTAAGATAGCCCAATTACCATTGCAGTGTTGCCATTTACGGCGGCTCGCGTAGGTATCGCTCGAGGGCTCTATGCTAACAGGACGCCAGCCCGCCTTGGTCGCACAACAGATTGCTCTTCAGCAACAGCAACAAATAAGTCAGATGGGCCAGCCGGGAGGCAACCCAAACCAACATCAGATTAACCAGCAGCATATGAACATCCAGCACATCGCCGCGATTCAAGCCCAACAACAGGCTCAGCAACAGGCAGCACAAGCAGCACAAGCAGCTCAAGCCCAACAAGGGCCGGGGCAGCCTCAGCAACCTCAACCCCAGCAACCCCAGCAACAGCCGCCGGGCCAACCGCAGCAGCCTCCGCAGCCAGGTCAAACCGGCCAGGGAGCGAACGGACCGACGTTAACTCCGGGGCCTACGCAGGGTCATACACCGCAGCCTAACCCTCAACAGCAGCCTCAAGCACCACCTCAAACTCCGCAGACAACCCAAGCACAGCAGGCCCAGCTAGTAGCCCAAGCGCATCATGCTCAGGCTCAGGCACAGGCACAGGCGCAGGCACATGCTCACGCTCAGGCTCAGGCGCAAGCGCAGGCGCAGGCTCATGCTCATGCTCAGGCTCAGGCGCAAGCGCAAGCGCAAGCACAGGCTGCTCATGCTCATGCTCAGGCCCAAGCCCAGGCGCAAGCACAGGCGCAACAGTCAGCTGGTATAGCAAACATGTTACAACTAAGACGCGACGTGATGCACTTGAGGGGAGCACATGTGCTCAAGCTCGTGCAATTCAATGAGCACTTGAGCGGATTTCCGGTATGTGTGGGATGAGGCACGCATGGCTTGCACCCGACTGACTCCGCTATCTACAGGGACACAAAGGAAAGGACGGCCTGGACTATTGGAATCAATTTGTCCAGCGATTCTTCTCCCAAAGGGGAATCTTTCGGTACACAATCCTCATGCGAGAGGGCGAGGACCAGAGCCAGGAGAAGCAATATGAAATTGCCTTCCCCGCCCTTGCTCGATACTTCAACACACATTTCGAGTCTGGCGTCAAAATGATGCAGTTAATAATGAGCAAGGGGATACAGGACCGGCCGTTGCCCAATGAGTGCCATATAATAGAAAACAGCAAGGCGAGCCTGGGCACCTGGTTCGAGGGCGGCACACATGTAGGTCATGCTCCCGCAGAGCTGCTAGACGGATGTGCTAACGGTCCGAATAGGTTATAGCAAACGGTACCCTTCGCGTCCAGTTTGACAGTGAGCAAAAGTTTGACCTTTTTGAGTTTCACACCACGAGCCACGAGGAGTACATTTCTAGACGAGTGGTGATTCAAGCCGCTCGTCCAGCGCACAATTGGGTCAAGGAATGGCATCTTCTCAACCAGCAGGATGGAAAGCAGTCTCCCGAAATGAGCAAAAAGGGCAAAGCGAGACCAGTCAAGGCCCCGCAAGGCCCGCCGCCCGATCTTGAACTCCCTGATCCCGTTGTCAAGAGCGGCATGGGCATCACGGAAGCTGTCTATCAGTTTTTGGAGGTAAGTGCGTCTTGGTGCTGAGGGTTTTGCTGTGCCGGTTTGGTGCTGACCTCTCATCTTTCAGATTGTTGAGATTATGGGCCAAATGAATGATCTGTTCCGGTTCTTTCACACAAACCCCGACTTGACACCTTACCAGGCCCTTGATCAGTACGTCAACAACCAGATCAATGCCGGTGCACACGCTATGAACGGCCAGCCAATACCTCAGGGCGGTCCAAGGACACCCGGTTTTGGCCAGTTCCCGATGGGCGCCAGTCCTGCAATGGCCAATTCGATGTTACCAGGGTCTCCCCATATTTCTGGAAGCCCGGTTCCAGGCCAAATCGCGGCGCCGGTCATGCAACTTCAGGCGAGCCAACAGGGGACCAGCTCCAGCGGGCCGAGCGCAAACACGTCGCCTGCCCAGAATAACAAGAGGCGGAGGCCTTCCACGGTGAAGGCTGAGGAGGATACGCCAACGTCGGCCCCGACGCCTAACGCTGTTGGGACCCCGCACATGAACGGTGTCCAGGTCAAGGTCAAGCAACCCCCCACGCCGAGGATGCCGAAGCGACAAAAGACCAATACTGCAGCATAACTTCTCTTGTTATGTCGTCCCTCGCGATCTGAGCGAAAAATTCTCCCTGAAGCCGTGGTTGCATGTGCGGTTTGGCTCTTTGGCGTATTACTGATTATTCTTTGGGCAATCGTGCGGCGTTTGGATCCGGAGGTTCTAATAACTTGTGCTATTATGCTTGTTTGGGGCTTGCTTTTCTGGAGTGGTATGATACTGAAAGGAATGACAAGTGCATTTGTGGTTATTTGAAAGATCGGCCAGCTGTGTTGTTTATATGGTTTCCGCTGTTACTACGGTTTCCTCTCCTGTTTTTACGGTTTAAGGAGAGCCTGGCGAAGCATTTTGGAATTGGACCCTGCATATACCCCATCCATCCATCTCTCCCAATATTCCGTATCCAAACAAATCCTTTTCAAACCTCAACCGTGCGTTCTCGCTCGGAGGTGGGATGCTGCGAGAGACGGTAGTCTCTACCTGTGAATCTGGGCCGGTTGACTGTTTACTTTCGTTCCGATCAGCAGGCTTTACACGACCAAGCACAGCTTAGGAGCCGACTATTTCCCAGTTGGACAGCGACATGCCTTCCGTTGCTTCTCTCTCGCAGAAATGCCGCTGTTGTAGATTTGTGGCGAAACAGATCGCGACCCCTTTTGTTGGCTGGCATCCAGCTATGAAGCCCGCTCTGTTCACTTATTTGCCATGCTGGGATTGTTTCTGTGTTCTACGACGACGACAGCAGTAGCAACCGCGACAGTTTGTCAGATATAGACGAGGATGCTGAAAGATACGGCGAAATGCGTGGAATCGGAGGAAAATTTGGGTTGGGGGAAGGACATTTGGACGGGCCGAGGATGAGTGATCACTGCTTTTTGCGAGCGAGCCAAGCGAGCCAGGACGATGGTCTGCACCACTGAGGATGGTGGAGAGCGTCAGGGCGAGTGTTGATTCTAATAGAACACCCCGTGATTCTGGGGAGCGAGAAGGGAAGAGGCCGAGGCGCGAGGGGGGAGGGGGTAGGGAGTGGGTGGACTGCGTACTTGTTCCCTGCCGTCGTTATTGGTACAAGACAGGAGGCTATTAAGGGCGCGGGCGTATAGCTGTGTAAAACAAGCTTGATTTCCTCCCAGAATCTTTTGTTTCTGGTGGTTTTGGGCTGCGAATGCTCTGGTTTCTTATGGCTGTGTCTTGCATTGGGTGTCGCCTTTGGACATCAGCACCGCTAGGTTCCCCCTCATCCCATGCCCCCCGTAGCTAGTAGCTCGGATAAGAGCGAAGCATCATCATTGTCTTGGTTCCCAAGTCCGGACGACTGTTGAAGCCAAGCGAAGGTCGATGGTATTTCAATTCCGATATACTCGTCGCACGGTCAGGTCAAACAGCCAGCAGTGTTTGAAAGTTCCGCTACTCAAGTCATTATAAGTGTCGATGTCCTATGAAGTCAAGAGCCATCGTGCCTCATATTAAGTGACCACCCAGAGGAGGTAAGTCAGAGAACACTCTACATATGACAGTATTCATCACTTTGGAGGGTTAGGAGAGCAAGAATAAGAGTGCTGTATTCTTGACTAGAGCTTCCTGCTTTAGAACCCAGCGGTGACCGCTCAATATTGCTAGCACATTGTGTCCGCTTAGCTGGCTACACGAGATCTAGAATGCCTCAGCAACAGGCTTACCAACAGCCGGTTCCGGGAGGAATCCTGGACGAAGAACGCATTTGCGAGGGGAATCTTGATTCGTGCTGCTAGGAAGTTATGATGAAGATGCTCTCTAAGAAGCCAACAATCTAACAAAACAAAGCCTGGGTCAAACGTCGTTCTCGGCTCTGCTCCGTGATTGCCTAGGCTTTTACAGCCGCTCCTCCTCCCGGATCCCCCAGTTTGTCAGGTGCTCCCAAACCAAAACGTAACCCCCCAGAGGAAACCAGCAAGCGGAAATGCAGCGCGTGATACACATCCAGTCCCCTTCGTCCCAGTGATCAGCCACCTTCCAAAGTCATTCCGAAATCAATGTCCGAAAACGCCGTAAACGGTCTAGGAAAAAGGAAACGGGCGTCGTCCTTTCCACAAAGCATGAAGTCAAGCAAGGAGTCTTCAGGACGGTTTAGGCAGTCTCAAAATTGCCGAAAGTGTTCTCGCCCGAGTAGGTAATGTAGAGGAACCTGATACGGCAGGTGTTAGCACGATGTTCTAAAGCCGGCAGGGGTCGTGTGAACAAACCCATCCTCATCCTTGTGTTCCTCATAGATGCTGCTCATGAGCGCGGCGGTGGGAGGGAGAACCTCGTCGACGAAGATAAAGATGGCCTTTTCCGGAGAGAGCTTGATGCGCTTGCGAATCACGTACACGAACTGGCCGACAGTGAGATCGGCCGGTACTAGATACTTCTTCTTGTCGATCGTAGCGATATCGCTACGCTCGACCTTTTCACAAATGACCTAGACGGGCGAGCGGATTAGTGATACGAACGGGGTTTCCGGTTGCGCAAGCGGTCGGCGAGGCAAGCCCGGCAATGGTTCCAACAGGCAACGGTTTCACCGCCGGACCGCAACCGCAAGGGTTATCAGCGACTTACCGGGATGCGGTCAGTGTACTTCTGCCGGATGCGCTCGGCCTCAGCCTTGCGCTTCTCGAAGGGGTGTTCGTCCTTGAATTTGCTCCGCATTTTGAAGGTGCGAGGACGGATAGTTGGATGGTCTAGGTCGATGCTAGTGCAAGTGCGCGGTCTCCCAGCGGGCGATGTCTACAAGCGGCGAGGAAGGTCAACGATGTTTCCTTTGGTACAAAGAACGGCGAGCTAGGACTCGTCTTATTTTTGATGAAAGATATCTCAACTTACTTTGGTTGGGAGCTGGATGATGGATGTTGGAGGAAGAAGGTTGGCTTGCGGGGGAGGAGTTGCGTAGGTTGCCGCCTTGTTAAACGCTGGCGTACGCTTGGCCCAGCCCTGGGCTATGGCGGAGGCGGGGCTGACCATGGAGATGACTAACACTGCAGGCAATAGCGATACGTACCCCGGCAGCCGTTTTGGCTCAAGCTCCAAGCTCTCATCGGTGAATCAGACGGCCTGTTCACATGGCACTTTGCTGTGGCCAGGTGCTCGCTTTGCTTGCTCAGCTGCGTGATACAATATCTGGTACCGGTACGGTACCGGTACTCGACCGGCTGGTACGGAACTGCGGTTGTATTTCACATTGATGTTCCCCCAGGTTACTAATTGCCCAAGCTGTCGGTGACTTTCCATCAGCATCGACTCATCAACATAGGCTTAAATCTGGTACATCACAGGATAGGCCCAGAGTTGGAATCGGACGGCGCTGTCAGCCTTGTGTTCTACGAAAGGACATCCCGATCCTGGCAACCTGACTTTGTAGATGACATCTGTGATGTGAGCCTGGAATCGCATTAGCCTGAGACCGGGGTCCGGCTTCGATGTTTATCACAGTAACTTGCCCCACCTAGGGGTCAGGTACCTGAACTTATGTATCTATGTACCTCCGTACGTCTGTAAGACATTGCAGCAGCAAAGCCGCGGTTGTCAGTTAGGATCGCGTTCCAAAGCTTCGGAATCTCATACAACATCCGATTTCCACAAAGAGATCAGGTGAGATGGGGGTCGGATCCATCGGCTCTCTACCAATGTACCGTGCATAATCGGAAGCTCACCTTCAACCCAGAGTTCACTCGGTGTGTTCCGGCATGCTCTTACTGGAAACGGAAAGTGGCCTCATCTTCAGATCTCGAATCGTCTGATTCTCAAAACCCTCGCTGGGTCGCCGACGCCACCCAACCGTCTGTACAATACATAAGGCTTCGTTGCGATGGCTTCTCGACGGTCGACCCTCCGTCTCTTCTGCCAGTGCAAGGCACGCGGCCAATTGAGTCCCCGGAACCGGAGACCGCTGTCGACGTTCCCGGAGTTGGAATCTTCACCACGTAGCCAACGTCTTGCACCGTCGAGGAGTTACTTGGGGTGGGCGGCGTTTGGTTTTCTGGTCGTTGCGCCTTTAACATACTACAAGATGGTACGGTCCGGCTGCGTACACAGACGATGGACTTCTTGGCTTGCTCGGCCTCGCTGACAACAACACCCGACTCAACAGGCAGTCGGCGAGCCCCTTCTACTGGACTCTCTCGCACAGCGCGACGAGCAGCTCAAGCGCGAGGAAGGGGTGACGGAGCTCTCACCAATGCGCCTGCGCATGGAAAAGTTTACCAAGGAGCAGCAGAGGGAGATTGTGCAGGCGCTGGAGAAGCTTGACGGCAAAAAGTTCCGGATCGATGAGTGGCAGCGCAAGGAGGGCGGCGGCGGCATCACGTGCGTGCTACAAGACGGCAATGTCTTCGAAAAGGCCGGTGTCGGCGTGAGCGTCGTTTATGGCACCCTTCCCAAACCGGCCATCCTAAAGATGCGCGCCAATCACAAGAACATCGCCGACGAGGACAATATCCCCGACAGCCTCGAGTTCTTCGCCGCCGGGCTTAGCCTGGTCGTGCATCCCAAGAATCCCATGGCGCCGACGGTGCACTTGAACTACAGGTACTTTGAGACAACCAAACCCGACGGATCCCCGGGCGCATGGTGGTTTGGCGGCGGCAGCGACTTGACGCCTAGTTATCTCTTTGACGAGGACGCCATACAGTTCCACAAAACGCTGAAGGAAGTCTGTGACAAGCACGACAAGGAGTACTACCCGAGGTTCAAGAAGTGGTGCGACGAGTATTTTTACAACAAGCACCGCGGCGAAGCCAGGGGCATCGGCGGCATCTTCTTCGACGACCTTGATGAGACCGTGTCGGACAAGGAGAACACATTTGCCTTCATATCGGACGCGCTCAAGTCATTCATCCCGACTTACATCCCAATCGTTAGCAAGCGCAAGGATATGCCCTTCACGGAAAAGGAGAAGGAGTGGCAGCAGATCCGGCGGGGGAAGTACGTCGAGTTCAATCTGGTGCATGACCGAGGGACGGCGTTTGGGTTGAACACTCCCGGCGCGAGGGTAGAGAGTATTTTGATGAGCCTGCCCCTGACGGCGAGTTGGAAGTATATGTATGAGCCGGAGCCGAACAGCAGGGAGGCTAGGCTGGTTGAAGTGTTGAGGAACCCCAAAGAGTGGGTATAGTGTGGGGAGGCATATTGATGAGCTTCCATGTATCATATTTGTGATCTTGTAAAATAATTATGAATGTACAGGATTCGATTTCCTGTTGCCCCTACTTAGCATCCGTCCAAGTAAGAAGCGAGGGGTACGGAGTACTTGCGCTCTAACTTTCCCTTTGCCCGCAATCACGAATCACCATTCAACAAACTTCAAACGGAACAACAACCCCATACCATCCTAATATGTCAAGAGATAGAGACGCAAAGCACCATCTTCCGACCCCACGGACCCTCCTCACGAACCTCATAAACGCTATTTCCAACATCCCTCTCACCCCTCAACAACCATCCGACTCTAAACCAGACCAATCCAGAAGACGTCTCATTCACGACCCCAGCCCACCAGGAAACCCGCTTCGCCATGTGTCCCCATCCCATCGACATCTAATCATCACCCTGCACGCGCTTTTCCCGGGTATGGTCCTCCCGGCCCTGGACTTGCTGGAGCGCGGGTGCGTCAGCCGGGTGGTCCTCAAGGATCGCCCTCATCATCATGCCGGGGGCCGTGCAACTTATGATGATCACGATGAAAACAATGATGATGGGGATGATGAGCATGACACCCCAGACGCTCAAAACGACGGAGTGCGTGCGACCGAGCAGACCCAGGTTGGTACACAAGGGAGGAAGGGGAGGATAAAACGAAAAAGTCCCAGCTTCTACCTCGTCACATCATCATCCTCATCATCAGCATCAACTACGACGCTGTCATCACCAGCGGGCGACTCAGTTACACATCACCTGAACCGCGGATCCCGGCGACTGAAAAAGCTCGCCGGTGAGTACCACCACCACCACCACCACGAGGGCGCCACAGCAGGAACGGGAACCGCAACAGGCACGGGGCTGAGGAGATACCTCGTCCGACTGGGCGCGTGGAACTGCACCTGCGCGGCGTTCGCCTTTGCCGCGGTGCAAGGGGGTACTCCGCTCGGGGAAGGGGAAGGCGGAGCCGATGCTGGTATGGGCGGCGGGACAGAGACAGAGATGGACTGGTCATTCGGTGGAATGGCCATGGATGGGTTGGGCGTCGAGGGTGGCACAGCTGCTGCTGCTGCTCCTGGAGGGGGAGTACCGCTCTGCAAACACCTGCTTGCGTGCATGCTGGCTGAGAGATGGAGCGCTGCTTTGGGCCGGTATGTGGTTACAAGGAGGGTTGCAAGGGAGGAGATGGCGGGTATTGTTGCGGATGTGTGAGGGAATGGGGAGGGGGGTTGAGTTTAGGGGGGGGGATGTTGTGTGTGATTCAGGGTCACATCATAGTTGGAAGCCTGGCAATATACTATGTAGACCATCACGAGCGGGCCATTCTTCCAGCAGTCGCTCAGAATGCTCCCAGTAACCGATGCAATAGCCGTTGCATTAACACAGCCCAAGGAGTTTCTCTCGAGACATCTACGAGACCCTCGTATAATCATTCCTACTCCGCTCGCGCCTAGCTCATTTCTTCTTTTCCTTGGTCCCCTCTTTTTCCTTGTCTCCGCTCCCCTCCTTGGACTCGCCGTTGACGGCTGGGCTGCCTTCCTTCTTATCTCCTTCCTTGGCACCGTTCTCGCCCTCCTTTTTGGCCGCGTCCTTCTCCTCCTGCTGTTGTCGGTTCTGGATCTTGTTCTCGATGAGATCGTGGAACGCCGTAATCGCGCGGATAAGACTGCTGAGGTAGATTGCCATGAGCTGGTCGTTGGTCTTGACGCTCATGGCATAGTTGAGCTCGCTGTCTGCCTTGACACCGTTGGCACCCGGCCCAGACTTGGGCGTCGACAGGTTCGGTAGAAGGTTGAAAACGTCTTGGAGATTGCCAAGGATTGCGTGGTTGACGGGGAGCTGACCGTCGAGAACCTTTTGCAGGTACGCTTGAATGTCTCGGAGGCGGAGGTGGAGGCCTTGCAAGGACTGTAGCTGGTTGGTGATCCGGGTGGAGAGCGTGCCTGCGGCTACGTCGCGGATGTCGCGTAGGAGATGCTCGACGCCAATTTCTTCGGCTTCTTCAGCCTCAATGATCGAAGGTGTATGGACAAAGGTCTTGGATGTCGTGGTTCCGTCCTACCAAACATGTCAGCACCTCTAGCCATTCGAGGCCAGGCGACTGGTAAGGTGAAACCGTACATCCTTGATTTCTTCCACAGCAAAATATGCATCTGTAGGGACGCCTGCCTCCTTCGGCTGGACATCAATAATAACTAGCAATGGGTTGGGTGTGTAGCGCTTGAATAGCTCGTTGATCTCGAGATCAGAGGCCCGCAGCTTAGGGCCCGAGTGGTACCACCCTATTAACTTCTCCCGAGCATTGACTTTTTTGAACATGTCGTTCATCGACTCGACGTAGTTGTGATCGAGAAACCAGACGGACGGATCCCTCTCGTCCTCCTCGAAGGGAACTTCACGGCCTAGTCAGACATTGCGCGATCCTCAACGGGTCCTAGGGAAGCGACATGATGCTTACCTGCAAAGCTGTTCGACACGCGTACGTTCTTGCCATCATTCTGCCCTAATAACACACCAACCACCCGCTTCGTCTTGCTCTTGTAGGCTTCGGTTCGGTTGTAGTGGTCCACAACCGATAGCAGAACGAGGGGCGCAACCGAGACGTTGCGTGTCACCAGCGACAGCGTCTCGGCGGTTGTGGTTGGCATGACGAAGGCTGGAAATGGACAAGCTGTGGGAAGGGCTGGCTAGACCGGATATCCAGTTTATTGCTGCGGCTGGTCGTGGGCAGGAAAATTCACACGTTCGGGAGAATGCGTTTTCGAATCGCCGATTGCTTGTTGTCGTCGTCACAGTTTCGCTGCCTCACCAGTTTGAAGGTCAGTGCCTATTGAGGTTAGTTCAGCTGAGTAGCTCTTGTCCTTACCGTATGTTACATGCTGAAGTATCATTATTACGACAAGGCTGTTAGACGCTTAGACCAGAACCACCTTCTGAAAATGGCGGCTTACATAATCGCCGTCCAGTGGATCAAAGGAGCTGCCCCTCTGAGCGCTGGGCGCCTGCACGTCACTGCCCATATCTAAAACAGGTGACCTCCTGAATGCCATCCTACACTCACCTTTGCCACACTTCTACCGTGAACTCGTGAACGCAACGCAAGCACATACTCTGTTCTCACTAGAAGCGAGCATATACACCGACTCGCATCTCGTCTCGTTCAAGTACTCGTTAAACACCAAAAAGCGAAGAGTACAGCCATGCGTCCATTCGCGTTCCTACTTGCGTCGCTGACCCTGCTGTCCGGGGTTATCGCCGTCGACATCCAAAAGTCGGTCCTCATCACCTATCCTGCCGAGACGCCCGACTCCATCGTGGACCAGGCTAAGAAGGCTATTGTCGAGGCCGGAGGAGTCATTACGCACGAATACACTCTGATCAAGTAGGCACCCAGCACTCAGGGTCGGAACCCCTGTGTAAGCCGGGCATTATGCTGACGGTAATCCAGGGGCTTTGCTGCCAAGGTCGGCGAGAAGGTTCTCGATACGGTTTCCGCATGGGGTCAGGAGTATCAAGTACTTGTTGAGGAAGACCAAGACGTCCATCATATGAGCGGCCTTTGAAGAACAATGCAGTGCTAAGGGGCGGGCTATCTTCTCATGAACCCAGGGCTCCGGCCCGGTGTATGATGATGAGAGGCAAGATGCGAGAGTCCCTTATATCGGCGGAAGAGGGGTAAGGTTTGCTTTTTGGAATGAAGGGATACCTCAGCTCGGCGTTAAGGGACAGAAAGGCGTCAATCTCCTGGGAAGCGACTGGGAGCAACAGTACATACATAAGAGACCCCATGATTACTAGGTTTGCTGTTCGAAACAGCTCTACATAGCGCATGCCGTATATTTTGTCACTGCGTTCTAGCAAGGTGCGATGCCGATTGAAAGTTCTCTCCCTTACTTGTGATATTGGGCAGGCAGATAGTACACCTGTACTCCGTAGCTATGTCACACTCCGGCTTGCCATGATCAGACAGAGGCGTGGGTAAGCTTCCTGTTGTTGCGGATCCGACTCGACTGGTTCGCAGAGATGGCACTGACAAGCAGGGAGACAGGTCGATGGACAATCTTCCACTCCCTTCAAAGGGCCGGTGTTCTCTACGCTCCCTGTTGTCTCGTTGCCCAAGTTGGTGTACAAGTACAGTAGTTACACCACATGGACAATGATAAGAATATTGGGCATAGATACATCCCCAGTTTCACTATTGTAGTATCGCAACAAGCAAGGGCGTCCTGTTGTCCCTTCATCTCGTCTGCGGGGAGAATATTCGCTAGGGCGAACATATCCCTGGATGGTGAAACAGATTGTTGTCTCCACAGGAGCAGATGCTTATTGCACCAGAACGTTACGGATACAGTTGGATCTGTATGTACATTGGTAGGTAGTCTGTAGTTTTCCTCCATGTATTTTCTATGCGCATGTAGGGCTCTATATGAGCCTGATTTTACAATCAAGCCGCGAAGAGCCTCTGACTTGATGCATGATTAATACTTGCATCTTCAAGTTGGATTTCAGGCCGCAGCTTGGCTCCCTTGTGGTCTGCCATGCAAGCCAATCCCTTTAACCGTGGAATTGGCCTATTTCTTGGCGCCCCATAAAAACTTAGTGAGACTTACCACGGAACGCGTTTCTGCGTGTCTGCGCAGAGGAAGCCAATTAAACTTACTGTAACGATGTAGCGCCTTGTACAGATTTGCATCCTGGCGGCCGGAACAAAGTTCAATTGGTCAGATTCGTGTTTTGCCAAGAAATAGGCCAATTCCACGGTTAAAGGGGTGAGACGACCACTGTAACCACCCCTAGCTACAGACGCTAGTCGTTACCACGGCTAGGGCGGAGCTCCCTGCAAGGGATCCCGAGACCCCACGCGGATGCCGTGTGGGGCAGCCCCTAATCAAGATCCTAGCGAACAGCGGGAGCTGCCCGTGTCTGTCAAGAACAATGCCTTTCTCGAGAACAGATGCGACCTGCACAATGATGAAACGCGATAACCCCGACTGATATAACCTGGCTATTTTGCACCTCACCTGGCTGTTCATAAACAATGCGCCGTAAGGATTTCCCATTAAAACATCTGTGACTCTAATCTTCTACCCCGTCGTTCGGAACCGCTACCTTGGACCGACGACCTGGGGAGGACAAGACATACAAGCCAAAGCCACTCGAATACGGAACTAAGTTAGACTTTTTACAATGACGCCGTATACACATCTGACCCAAGCGGCCCTTCTGAAATGGGTCAACACATTCGATACGCGGCGCAAGGCCAGCACGCTGCAGGACCTAAGGGACGGTATCGTCCTCGGCCAGGTTCTCGAGCAGATGCTTGCGCCGGAATTCCACTCCTCTAGCCTTATACAAAACCCTGCGACCGACGAGGAGAGCAAGCAGAACCTCGAGACCGTCTACCGCGGCTTGGCCAGGTTTCTTCGTACCGACAACCCCCTTCTCGCCCCCTCGCCCTCAGAATTCCGTGCCATAGCCGAGAACCCCGATGACAATGCCATTTGCGAGTTTCTTTCGGCATTTCTGACGGCTGCCTGCTTGGGCTCCCTCTCGAGGACCTACGTCCCCAAGGTCATGGCTCTCGACAAGCCCACACAAAGCGAAATCGCCAAGATTATCAACCAAAAGAGCCAGTTGAAGTTCGACAGGGAGCAGAGGGCGCAACAGGACCCTGAGGCAGGAGAGGAGGACCTTGACCTCCGCGCTGTTAGAGATCCGGCCTTGATGGCAGAAGAGCTTGACCAGATGAAGGATAAGGTGGATGTGCTCAAGAAGCAAAATGCCGACTTGCAATCCCGCCTCGACAAGCTGCTTGACTCAAGGGAGGCCATGCTCCACGACCTCAGGCAAGCTCAAGATGAACTCACCACCTTGAAGCGGGCCAGGGGCTCTGATGCAACAGCCGCTATCAGAGACCTACGGAACGACATCAAGGAGAAGATGGCAGAGATCGACAGGTTGGAAGACCTGTTGGAGAAGGAAACATTCCGGTCGACAAGGCTTGAGAAAGAGAATGAATCACTCAGGGCAAAAGCCGAGCGGTTAAAAGACCTTGAAGACAAGGTCACTGAGCTTGAGCACGAGACAAAACAGCAGCAACAGCTGATCAAGGGGCTTGAGAACTACAAAAAGAAAGCCCAAGACTTGACAGCCATCCAGCAACGAAACAGAGTTCTGGATGAACAGATTGCGCAGCTTGAGCAAGATCTAAGACACTATGATGAGATCAAGGCGCAGAATGCAAGGCTGCAGAAGGAGATTGAGGAGAAGGTCAAGGTCTTGACGAGCAACGAGCAAGAGATAATTTACACTCTCCAGTCCAAGAATGCCTTGCAGGATGTCAACGAGGACTTGAAGAGGAGAGTCGAGTATCTCGAGTCGAAGCGTCAGCTCGACGAGAGCACAATTCGTGAGCTCCAGGATCAACTCCAATTAGGCGACATCCCGCAACGGGTTTCCGACAGTCCAGACGCCACCACCGCCAACCTCAGCCTCGAGCAGGAATTGGAGACCACCGCTGACCCAGCTGTCGCCCTGCGCCTGGAGGTCCAGCGGCTCAAAGCCGAAAATGGCCTGCTGCGGAACAACATGGCTGTGGCTTCTGAAAACGAGAGACTGCGCAGCGAGCTTGACTCGGCCAACCAGAAGGTCGAGCATTACCGTCTTCAGTGCAACGAAGCCATGGAGAAGCATGCCGTGTCGCAGGAGCAGATCAACGCCTTGGTCAACAAAGCAACAGGAGAAGGGTTGGTGCATGCTATTGACGCTGCCTTGGCGGTGAGCGACCTCAAGTTGCTAATGCCGGGCTACTTTAGGGAGTCGGCCTTCATCCACATGCGCCGCAACTTGCTCGACGCAACACGAGAGCTCGAAGCGCTCCGAAAGCGCAACCAAGAACTGGAGCGGAAAGCCGCGGATCTTGAGCGGGAGCTGCTCCAGGCCAAGACCGAGTGTATGTGGCAATATTACCTTTGGCAGAATCTCCTACAACGCGACAGGCGTGCTAACACTGGGCTCACAGTGACCGTCATCGATCAAGAGCAAGCAATTGCCCTTGCGGCGCTCAAGTCGTCTGACGAGCTGATCTCAGGCTCGCTGCGGACCGAACTCGAAGCGACCCGCAAGCAGCTCTCGCACAAGACGTTTGAGTTCGAGCAGATGAAGGAGCAGCTAATGAGCGCCTTGGTGTCCAAAGACAAGATCCAAAAGAAGCTCGACGAGGCCCTAACCGGTGCCCTATCCGGGCGCAACGGCCAGCCTGGCGAGGCACCCAAGGGCAAGAAGGAGGATGCCGAGAAAATGGAGAAGCTAAAGGCTGCGCTCAGGCAGAAGATGGAGGTGAGTCATGACCCCGATCCACGTCTTGATTCCCCATATATGCAGTCCTTTCTCAGCTATGATCCTGGTGGGAAGCTGCGGTCTGGGCTTTCTAGCACTCAGGGGTCTGAGACGAAGCGGAATGAGCGGAGACGCTTCGTGGCGAAGGGTTGGCTGGCGTCGCTCTTAAACCGCAAGTCTCTGAACTAGCCGCGGTCGCCCTTATCACTACTTTGCTGCTGCTTTCTCTCACCACTCGCTGACTTTTCTTTTCTCGCCTCGCAGCAACTGGAGAAATCGGAACAGGAAAGATACGACTTGCAACGACGACTCAAGCTTGCCGAAAATGGTGGTGCATACGCTGCTCAGAAGGTACGTCCCATCCCCCCTAGATCGAAACATTATAGTTTTCCTATACATGGTATACACGTGCGTGTAATGTGTTATAGCTCTCCCAAAAGTAGTCTTATCTTCATCCCTAATTATCCACCTGACTTGCTTGCCCCTTGTCATTGCATCTTGGTAGCCCCTGAATCAAACTAACTTGAGCCCTCTCAGGCCGCGAGCGACCAAATCATTCGCAACCTGCAGCGCGAGAACGCCATGATCAGCACGGCATGGTACGACCTCACAAGTCGCTTGCAAAGTAACCACGTCGTTCTCCAAAGGCGCCATGATGCGCCCAAGAGTTGGTTGAATAAGCAGAGACAGCTGGTCAACGGTGAGTCCACATCATATAGGCACTACTCTCAACCCTCCCAAACCCCGCTGACACGGTCTGTCCGTTGTGCTTAGCCACGCCTCGGAAATAGAAGAGTTCCTCTGGAGTTTGTCGTTAATGGAAATGTGGGGATGATGTTTGGCTATATCAGCCATTAAAGAAACGGTATAGTACGATGTTGATCAGGCATTGAGCAGGGGCAGCATAGCGCGGGTTCTCTTTGGCGCCTCATCATGAATCATCTTATGTCCATTTTTGCATACTATATAGCGTCTTCGTACGCTGGGCTTGCGGTACAAGTACCTGGTTGGATACGGTGCATAATACCCCAAACGAAGCTCTGGTAGCGGCTTAATACGGACTGAATTGCTAAAGGGGTCACTCAACGTTAGGACAATGATCCACTGGTGCAGTTGTTTGCATCAAATGGTTCGACTTTTTCTACATTGTGAAGTACAATACAGCGCGCTATCCCATCGCACCGGTCCAGCCATCTCAACGGATCCCGCATTGGGATTCGTTACCGTTAGCCATGTAAGCCGGATTTTCCTGACCCTACCAATTACACCCTGACCGTCCATTGATGATGGTAAGACACTGTTGGTTGACAGACAGGTATGGTTAGGTTTCTCTTTTGTTTCCTGACCACCAGAAACTCGACCACTGCTTCGACAAGCGTAGCCATTGAAAAAGCGGCATGTCGGTCCCCTGTCCTTTTTTGAGAACCTTGGGCCCGTCCTCCCTAACCTATCCCATACACAGCCGAATCCGTAACGGCGCCACCCATCTACGACCTGCTCGTGAGTCGGCTCATGAGATCGCTCTTAGCCTTGTTGCCGTCAAAGATGGCCAGCAAACTCTTCCAGACCTGGCCGGGCTCCTGGCTGGCGTCGACCGCCTTCCAGATCCCCGTCTTCTTGTAGTAGTCAACAACCGGGGCCGTCTGCTTGTGGTAGGTGGCCAGGCGCTTCTGGAGGGCCTCGGCATTGTCGTCGCTGCGCTGGATCAGCGGCTCGCCGGTGATGTCGTCGGTCATGGGGACCTTGGGCGGGTTGAAGGTGGTGTGGTAGCTGCGGCCGCTCGCGGGGTGGATCAGGCGGCCCGTGATACGCGACACCAGCAGCGCGTCGTCGATCTGCAGCTCAACCGCGTGCTGCAGCGACTGGTTGCGCTCGCGGAGCATCTTGTCGAGACCCTCGGCTTGCGGGACCGTGCGCGGGAAGCCGTCAAGGATGAAGCTGACAGCGAGCAGGGTAATGTTAGTACACTTGCCGTTCCTCTCTTGGATGGTTGGTGGTTATGCGCCGGGCATGGAACCTTACCCGCCCTTGCACTCCTTGTTGTTGTCCAGCTCCTCCTTGATCATGCCAATGACAATGTCATCGCTGACTAGACCGCCCGCATCCATGATCTTCTTGGCTTCCCGGCCCAGAGGAGTCTTCTTGGCGACCTGGGACCGCAGCATGTCTCCGGTTGCCTGTGGTTGGCGAGTGCACACATTAGCTATCTTGAACCTACGATACCATAAGCCACCCTCGTAATTGACTCACCAGATGACAGCAGTTGAACTTCTCCTTGATCTTGGGCGCTTGTGTTCCCTTGCCTGTGCTGTGTGAGCGCGAACGATTATAGCGCGGCCGCCGCATGACAGCAGTGTCAAAGGGATCTTTGGCGTACCTGCGCCGGGAGGTCCGATGAGGATCATACGGATCTCCTCCACCGTCTTCTTTTGGCCGCCGCCCAATTGCCTGTTCTCCAGAGCTTTCACCCGGCTCTCGATGTCGGAGATAATGCCCTGCAGGCGCTTCACTTCGTCGTCGAGGTAACCCATCTTGTCCGGTTTCGGCTTCGGTTTTCAAAGGAGAAAAGGGTATACCGGGCGAAGGCCAGGCTTATGATGGGTGGAGGAGGGAGAAAGGAGAACAGCAAAGAGGAATTGACCTCAGGTCTGTTGGGAAACGGTGGCAGAAAGAATCAAGAGAATCGCTCCCGGAATTTTTGATGAGGAATCTGTACTTGGCTGCGACAGGCGAGTATACCTCCGTATTTTTCGCCGAAATGCCGCGGGTTTAGCGTGGCAGGCAAGCAAAGTTCAGTGCAAGGGTTGGTTGCGACATCCCGCATGGCCATGGAAGCTCCCCTGCTCATGCTGCCCCGAACCCCAGACCTTGCATCCGATTCACGCGTTGAATGACGCCCACGCTCTTTCCCTTCCTTCTTCCTTCAAAGGCTATTAAACCGCTTCTAGTATTGTAGTATAATCCCGTCCTTCTTGTCTCCTTAAGACCCTTTATGCATACCTGCCATGTTTGACCAAGTCGTACGTATCCATTGTTGCCACATAGGTGCATAACTCTCACACCTCGACTTACAGCTCCCGTCACCGAGGCACGTAACCTCAAGACGAGCTTCTTCCATTCGTGCCGCCAATCATGAAGCTCCAATGCCAGCCGACCGGCAAAGCGGATGAATGGCCCTTGAGCGGGGACTAGCGCAGCTCCGAGGAGCCCACCCCCTACCCACACTCCCACAGCATCCATATCGGGACTTACGTTTGCCGTCTCTTTGAAGCTCGGTGCTTGTTTCACGATCCAACGAATCGAAGAAACCGTGTTCAGCCCATATAGACAGAGCGTTCACCTGCCAACTGCTTCCTAGTCTGTTTAGTATGGAGCCCGATTGTCCGCCGATGATAATGATTCGGCGGAACCAAGCTCCCCACGACAGGCTAACATTAGACCTGGGACTGCTGTGCTACCTTGGTCTATCATGCAAGTTGACGACGAGGACCGATGCCCGCCCGGAATTATGGACTGTAGGGAGCTTTACTCGACATGAACCGTTGTCTTCGCAATGAGCTGCTTATCACGATTCTTCACTCGTCCTGTTAGATGTTCTAGCCGATACACTGCTAGGTTATAGTAGCAGAACCGTGCTGAAAATTTGCAAGACCACTACCGTAATCCATTACAAGGCTATATGTAGCAGGCTGCTTGACTCTCTTCGAATTCCTATAAAACGCCATGAAACACCATAGCAATGCTGAGGCTAGGACCACCCGAAGTGGTTGCCCGCTATGTCGAAACTCGAAACCATCCAACGCCGGAAATACCAGTTATCTCGGTCCTAGTAACCTATACAATAACCTCCCTAAGTCCGTTTCTTGGGCCTACGGCTTCGCGCTCCCCGGAGCACTTTCATTCTCATCCGCCCAGAGCTCCTTGCTCTCCTGCTCAACAGCCCGCATAGCAGTAGCGACCTCCTCCAACTTGGCCACCACATCCAGCACCCCCTGACTCACCCTCTGAAAATACCGATCATTCGCCTCCCTGCGCTTTCTTGCGAGCAGGATATCCACCTCGGTTTCCTCCTCCAGCCTAGCCCCCAGATTCTCCTGTCCAGCTCCACTGCTACTCCCAGGCCTAGCATTCCCCGCCGCCGTAGCCGCCGCCGCCGCACTCCCCGTGCCGACCGTCGTAGCCTTGGCACTCCTTGTCCCCGCCTCCGTACCAACCCCACCACCACCAGTAACACCGGCACCACCGTCACTCTTGCCAACCCCTGTCCCGACCGACACAGCACCACCAGCACCACCACCGGCAGCCTCTCCCGCCCCGCCGCCGCCAACAGTCTCAATGGCCTCGTCTGCCTCACTCCTCGCCCACGCCTGCGCGAGCGCAATCTGTGCCGCGCGCAGCTCGTCCAGCTTGCTCTCGTGCTCGGGGCTGAAGATGCGTGGGTTGTGGCCGCCGCCGCCGCCGTTGGCGGTGGCGTTGGAGCTGTTGTCGCCGCCGGCTGACAGCTCGACCGCCTCCAGCGTGGCCTGCATCTCGGCCCACAGCGCGTCCGTCCTATCGGTCGCGCGCGTGGACGACTCGCGGCGGAGGGTCAACGGGGGTAGGACAAGTGGCGGTTGGGGTTGTTGGCCTTGTTGCTGTTGATCTTGGAAGGGAGGAGAAGACAGGCTGGAGATGCCGAGTCCGTGGCTGGGGATGGTGGTGGAGCTGATGGGGATGGGGATGGTGGTGGACTTGGTGGTGGTGGTGATGCCGCGGCGAGGGTTGGTGGTGGTTGTAGGCGGGGAGATCAGGGACGGCATGGAGATTGATGAGGATGAAAGGGGCTTCTCGGGCGGGTTGGCCGCCGAAGAGGAGGAGGTGGGTTGAGGTGGACCCTCGCCCCGGGCTCCGGGCCCCGAAAGGCCCGGGAGGGGTGCATGGAATGCCGAGAGTGAGGGTTCCAGGAAGCGGGTTCTGGATTTGTCTTGGGTCATGTGTGTTTCTTTGCTTGTTTGTGGCATGGATACATTTTCTTATCCATTCATAATCAGCGGATCGTGTGAGGTGAGACCTGCAGCTCTCAATGTGTTGGAGGTTGAACCGTCGCGAGACGAATCGCGATAGTTACAATGCGGATTGTTGCTCTTCTTAATTGATTGATAGCATTTAAACGAGTATGCATCTTTCGAGATCTTGGCGATTTCATGCAAAGGTGGGACAGCACACGGACCGCGCTTTGCCCCAGCTGTGGGGCCTAGCGCCCTGTGCGGACCAATCATCAGGCTAGGGTTTTCTCGCCCTACTGCGAAACTCGGCTACGGTCAGAAAAATCGGTCATTGCGAGCGAACTTTCCGGATCACGAACTGCAACCAGAGTACGCGATCATCATCAAATCGGTATGTATCACCGCCAGCTTCAATTCCTGACTTATTCCTGGGAAGGTCCTGAGTTGGAAATCCCTCCGTACTAACATTGCATTTTTACAGCCAAAATGTCTGGTGGAAAGCCCCGTGGTCTGAACGCGGCCCGCAAGCTGCGCAACAACCGCCGCGAGCAGCGGTGGGCCGATCTTCAGTACAAGAAGCGTGCCCTCGGCACTGCCTACAAATCCAGGTGCGCAATGGCTACGGGATGAATCGAGTGGATGACGGGCCCAGGGACTAACGACCGTGGTAGCCCGTTCGGTGGTTCTTCTCACGCCAAGGGAATTGTCCTTGAGAAGGTCGGCGTCGAAGCCAAGCAGCCCAACTCCGTATGTCGACCCTTCCCTATGAACTCCTTCTTCGATTATGCGACCCATCGGAAGCTAATTCGTGGTGGCACAGGCTATTCGGAAGTGCGTGAGGGTTCAGCTCATCAAGAACGGCAAGAAGGTCACTGCTTTCGGTACGACGATCCCTCTTCATAGGAGAATCTCCGGGCGGCTTCAAAGGGTGCGGAACTGACAAATGGTTGCGGTTGTAGTTCCCAACGATGGTTGCCTGAACTTCGTCGACGAGAACGACGAGGTCCTGCTCGCCGGTTTCGGTCGCAAGGGCAAGGCGAAGGGTGATATCCCCGGTGTGCGGTTCAAGGGTTTGTCCATCTCCTGTTGTCCAGCAACTGGTCTTCGCTGACGCCCCTCTAGTTGTCAAGGTCTCCGGTGTCGGTCTGCTCGCTCTCTGGAAGGAGAAGAAGGAGAAGCCCAGATCATGAATGCGGAGCGATATGGAAAATGGCACGGTTCGGCATTGGGATTCTGCGGGGCTTTTTTACAACGGCATTCCATTACCAGGTTGGGGAATCTGGACACTCACGGTAGACATGGTCTGAGAAATACGAGATCATTATGCCGGTACGAAAGGCCATGCATGGTTTGGGAACGGCGTCATGTAGTGGTGTTTGCTCGCTGAGCTCTGAGCCTTTGGGCCGGTGCTACGCTAAAGAGTTTATATTACATGCGATATATCACAAGCGCCCAATAAATCATGCCGAGCTCTCCCCATCTTCCTGAGTGTATCTTACAAGATAATCAACACCCAACCCAAGGCTGATGGCTCCCCCTGTGATCCAGCAACCGTTAACGAACCACCACCAACAATTCTTGACGCTTTTAAGATTGACCCTCCTGATCATGATGCCCAGAGTGACCAGGGCGCCACCGCAGCTGCCAATGAAGAAGGCAGGTCCAGCGCCCGTAGCAATGCCCGCCCCAGCAAGGAGTGCCACCTGAGTCAGAGCCAGCCCAGTGAGGACCTGCTTGGTTTCCTTGTCATGCTTGAGCGCGATGCTCTTGATGCCCGCCTTGGCATCATCCTTGATATCCATATGCGCGTAGATCATGTCATACAGCACCGTCCAGGCAATATTCGAAGCGTACAGAAGTGCCGCGCCCGCCTGCGCGGCCCCGTTGGCGAGCAAATCCACCCCCAGCGCTGGGAACCCCATGACAGCCCCCCATGAGAAGGTCAACCCCAGGACGAACTGCGGATAGTACGTCACGCGCTTGGCGAGGGGGTACAAGGCGACGAACAGGAGACTGGGCGTCGCGTAGAAGAAGCAGGAGGTGGGAAACTGCAGCAAGATGGCCAACCCCGCGAATAGCTGTGCACCCGTAAAGACGAGAGCGTTAAAGGGAGTGACGGCACCGCGTGCAATGGGCCGGAGACGCGTGCGGGCCACGTGCGGGTCTAGATTGCGGTCCCAAAGGTCGTTAATGGTGCACCCAGCTCCGCGCATGATGACTGCTCCGGCGAAGAAGAGGAGAGACGTGCCTATGACAGTCGCCGGCGGTGCAACCGGGGCAGCTAGAGGCGCTGCGAGGAGTGTTGAGAAGAGGCAAGGGAAAAAGAGGTAGTAGGAGCCGGTTGGCTTGTCGAGGCGGATGAGTTCCGCATAGGGGACCCATGAGGAAGGGAGTGTGGCAAGGAGCCCAGTTTTGGGAGGAGAGTATGGCTCGACAGCTGGTTTCGTGTGGATATCGGTTGTCGTAGCTAGGAGTTTGGTTGTTGTATGATAGGCGATGAGGGAACGTTGAGGCCGGACATTGTAAGTCTCAAGGGCGTGTCCTCGAGGGGATGGGACGCATCGAAATCCTCGACTCGGCATCCATGAATTACCGATTTTGGCTGCAGATAAAAGGCCACGCCGCGGCGGTGGCCTGGCTAGTAGTCGACAGCCAAACATCGTGTTTGATGAGGATGCTCTTTCCGCTACCTTCAAAGTCTTTTATCTCAACAACAATGTCCACGCCAGCATGTGACAGCAGCGCACCGATATCGATCCTTCCACTCACCAACTTATCCCTCTTCCCCGTCTATTTCTCCCCAGTTTGTGCTCGACTCATAGTAATTAGAAACCTATCACTACTCATCTTGTGTTGTTTACTTGGGTTCACTGTAGCATTAATCTTCAGCCGAAAATTGAACCGTGAACGCCACTCACGAAGCTCAGGGAGCTCCAGCCATTTCGATGCGCCATTGGTCAGCCGAGTGGCAGCCACCCCACTTGTCCATCTTCCTCGTCTCAATCGCCCGTCTCCATTCGACGAATTTCATCCAAAACGCGCTCCCCGTTGACAGATCGCGTCCTGCGACACAGTGATGCGCATCGCCGGCCATCTCAGCACGACTTTGCGCAAACATCCTAGTGCTATGTAGCCCGTTTCGACTAGTGGCCGCAGCTGTTCGCCATATCTTTGATAATTACTGAACAGTCCGTATCCAGAACGCTGCGCCATCTACGCAGAAGACTGACGCAGCTATTACGATGCCGACGGCACAGCATCCCCAGGCAAAATTCGACCCTATTCCTCCCGATCTCGATCTGCATGCGCTCGTCGAGAGAACACCCAATTTTCATTGGGTTTTGCGGATCTCGGCCGCTCAGATCCGCAATATCGGGGCCCAGGAGTTCGAAAGGCTCGTTTTTCTCCACGTCATTCATGGCGGGAAGCCTCTTGTGATTGAGAAATGGAACGACCGGTTGCCCAAGTCGCTGTTCAGCGCACAGTGGCTAGAGGCTACATACAACAAGAAACGTAAGCTTCTAGTGAAGGCTTTACCAACGTTCGGGAGCTAACAACCTGACAGAGGAGAACATTCGAGACATTGTCGCGCAAACCGACATACCCATGACGATGGGCCACTATCTACGGTCGATGAAGCAGTTGGCTAACCAGTGGACCCCAACCAATTACCGCGATGAGCGGCGGCAAAGATTGTACATGAAGGACATCGACTGCCCGCCCGAGTGGCATGCCCATCTCCAGAAGGTGATCCCACCGAATCTCTTCTACATGAATGAGAATGTGGAGGAGCGTGGAGGGGGAAGGCGCAACGGCGATGTGGATCTCTTTCAGGATGGCCGGACACCCGCGCCCGCGGGAGATCTGATGAGCAGCTTGCCCGAAGAGATGCGCGCCCAGAATCTCATGTGCTACGTCGGCCACGAAGGTACCTACACACCGGCCCATCGAGAAATGTGTGCCAGCCTGGGTCAGAACATTATGGTGGACACATCTGGCGACGAAAACGGGGAAAAATCTGGGAGCTCGATCTGGTTCATGACCGAGTCTAAAGATCGCGAGGTGGTCAGGGAATACTTCTTATCCATGCTCGGCCACGACATCGAAATTGAAAAGCATTTTGCCCAAATCAACGCTTGGAAAAAGGCTACGTTCCCCGTCTACATCGTGGAGCAGAAGTTCGGGGACTTCGTTCTTGTTCCACCGCTCGCCCCTCACCAGGTATGGAACCGGGGCACTAGGACAATCAAGGTTGCGTGGAACAGGACGACACCCGAGACCCTGCAGTTGGCGCTGCACGAAGCACTTCCCAAGGCTCGGCTCGTCTGCCGTGACGAGCAGTACAAGAACAAAGCTATCATTTTCTACACCCTCGAAAAATACTACAAGGAAATGATGGATGCCGAGAAGACTGCTGACATTGGTTTGCTTGGGTTTGGCCAAGATTTGATTAAGAATTCAGCAAGGATGAAGCAGATGGCGGCCGACTTCAAAACGCTTTTCCGGCTGTTCACTGAAGTTCTCGTGGACGAAATGTTCGCCACTAAAGAGAAAGACGTCGATTACATCGAATTCGACTCCAACATTACCTGCTCTTACTGTCGAGCCAACATCTTCAACCGCTTTCTGACTTGCAAGAACTGCGTGCGCCACTTGGTAAATGGAGACGAGGACACATACGATATCTGCATGGAGTGCTATGTCATGGGCCGCTCATGCTTTTGCGTCTCCAATCTCAGTTGGTGTGAGCAGTGGCGTTGGTCAGATCTTGTTGAGCGCTACGAGATGTGGCGTGCGCTGATCATCAAGAACGACGGCTACATTAGCTTTGACGACTCACCGCTGCCTTTGGAGCTGGCGAGGAAGCGGTTCGGCAAGAAGTCTGTTGCGCAGATCTGCCAGGAGCAACTTCGGGCACGACCCTGGAAGGACATCAGCCAAGTGAAGGAACCATCAGAACCTGAGATATCGGACCTCGAGATGGATGAAAACGGGCGGCCAGCGAAGAAGAGGAGAAAGAAGAAGGCAAAAAAGGGCGATGTGTACCGCTGTCATGTTTGCCAACACAAAGACTACACCTACAAGCTGGCCTTCTGCTCCAACCAGGGATGTACCGACGCATATTGCTATGGTGTTCTCTATAGGGCCTTTGACCTTATGCCCCAGGAGGTGATGCAGAATGAGAGATGGCAGTGTCCCAAGTGCCTTGGAATCTGCAACTGCGGAGCATGCCGTCGGATCGGCAACGGCAATCCCTACATCCCAAAAACCACCTTGCTCGGCCACGATACCCGACGGATTGCCGATGATCGCAGCGTTGAGTCCTTGGTTGATTTCCGGGTTCACAACCTGTCATGGCTGAAGAATGTTGGGGAGGAAAGTCGAAGCTTGTCAAGCAAACGGATGCAGCGGCTACTGCAAGCTGCCGATGCGGAAAAGGCGAAGCAGGCAGAGCTGGCTGGCGAGGTTCCGGTCATACCGGAGGGCGGACTGGCCGAAAGCGTTGATGCCACGACGCAGCAACCTATCGCCAACGGTCACGACCACCAAGGTGGAACACTGGGCCCTGGCGCAGCCGTGGGAGAGTACGGGGATCATCCGGACGGTCTTCATGGCTATCAACAGAATGGCGACCACGCAGGTCCTATTGAGGCCGTTGACATGTCCCTGAGCATGGTCCAGGATCAGTCTTCATATCCTGACCCCTCTATGCTTGGCCGGGAGCGGATGCTCGGCATGGGCTACTATGAGCAGGATGACAGTCCTGACAAGATCTTGTTTGACCCTTACCAGATGCCTTCCGCCGAAGCTGTTGCGCAGGCTGAGGCCGACGATGAACCCGAAATGTCCGAGTACCTGAAGAAGCAATTGCGACTGGCGAAGCGTAGGGCGCGCCAGGAAGAAGACAACGATCCAGACTTCCGAATCCCCCGCTCTCACCACAGGAAGAGACCCAAGCTCGACCACGATGCCCAGCGCGATGGCCAAGAGATTGCGTCGAGCAAAATGGACCCAGCCCTCTTTGGCGGTGATGTGACAGTGACTGAAGCTCCGGCTGGTGAAGAAGCCGCTCCAAAAAGCCCTGCGCCGCCAGAAACAGCCGAAGAAGCGACCGAAGAGGCGGCTGAGCCAGCCAAAGCCCCCGAAGATGAGCATGAGTCTCGAGCCTCTTCACCCCACCGCCCGGCTCTCCGACATGCACGGCCTAAGATGTCGTATCGTGAAGAGGGCGACGAAGAAGAATTTGACGAGATCCTGATCCCTCGGTCGCGCAGACCCCCTGAAGGTATTACCCAATTTAACTCGGAAAATGCCAACAAAGACCCTCTGGACCTAGCATCGGCTGCTATTTTTTCGACGAGCGGCGCGAACGGCCCAGCTCCCCAACAGGCAACCGCACAGACGGCGGTCGCGAAAAAGCGAGGTCGGCCGCGGAAGTCAGACGCAGCCCCAGCTGCGAAGGCAACCGCAACGCCGGAAGGGACAGGAAAACGGCGTGGACGCCCTCCGCGGGCGGGGTCGTCACTCGGCGCAGAGCAGACTGACAGACCGGACAATGAAGATAGCGCTTCAGCCACCGCGACTGACCTTGACGCTCAGCTTGCTCGACAACTCGAGGCCTTTGACGACGAAGGCGAGATGATCAGCAATACGGCTCCGGCGCCCGCACCTCAGGATACAGCTCCGGCGTCTGCGGGTCCTAGGAGACGCGGACGCCCACCACGTAATGCCCAGCCAAGAACGGAAGCAATAGTTGAGCTTCCTTCGCAACCGCTGCTGTCCATGGCTGAGAGGATGGAGCTTAAAGGGAAGAAATTCAAAATTGGTCAACGCAAGAGCGCCAGTGGGGCAAAGCCTAACGATACCCCATCGGCCAAGGAGAAAAGTACCGAGCCAGTCGCTGAGCCATCTACGTCTAAATCGGCTTCTAGTCCGGTTGCGGGTACAGATGTTGAAGAAACTAATAGAGCCATGGAAGACGGCGGGCCGGGTCGGGACGGTATAGGTGACGTGGTCGAAGATGAAGACTTTGACCCTGCCGCGGCTGAGGAAGCCGTTTCAGAGGGCGCGTCCAACCGGTCCCCTTCACCGCACCGGTCCGTGTCCGTGAGGGATGAGTCCTTTGCTTCTGCTGCCTCTCCCGGCCCAGCTTCCGCTACAGCTCCCGCATCATCGCCATCTCCTTCACCCTCCCCCGCTCCATCGTCAGCTGCCGCACCTGCTCGGCGGTCTCCGCCTCGGGGACCTTCCGGTGTGACCATTGTTAGGCTCATGGACACGGACGAAGAAGAGGATGGCGAGTACTACGGAAACTCTGCGAGCGAGAATGAGGATGAAAGCTCGCAGTCAGAAGGCAGCGAGATGAGTGTCGCGCATGAGCCGAGCGTTACGAATTCGGATTCGGACTCACACGACGAGGATATACCAAGGCGTACGGAAGACAGCCGCCCGCGTCGGGGAAGGCCACCGGCGACCACTACCAGGGGAAGAGGGGGAGGAAGGGGCAGGGGTAGGGGCAGAGGCAGGCCAAGGGGTAGCCGATAGGTCGTGGATATCCGGACAGATATGGTATGAGGTTCGCGTTGCTGGCAAGGGTCAGATATACCCCCTTATTATTTGCTTTCGTGGGTTGTATTTTCTGGGAATTTGTTTGTTGAGTGTAATGTCAGCATGGGGGGATGGGCAAATTGCCTTGCGTGATGGCATGTTGAGAATGGAAACTTCTTATTCCGATAACCAAAGGTCAGTCCCATTCAGACCATTGGCAGAATAACAGCACCGCTCGTGCCTCCATTTCATCAATCTATCTCCCCGTCTGCGCCAACCTCATGCAAGATCGAGATGCAACTTCCGCCCCTGAACCCCTGCCCCAGCACCACTTACGTATGTACAATCCCCTTCTCAGATCCCATCACAAGCGTAGTGTACATACTACAGTTCGGTAAATGCAAAATGCATGTAAAACTCAACCTAACCTTTTTGAACGCAAAAGAATCAGCAACCGCAATTCATAGCAACGTGTTTTTTTCAGATCAGAGCCCATCCCGCATACTCGTGCCGTGCTTGGCCGTCTCCTCGGCGCTCCCCTTGGTCTGGTCCTGCAGGCGCTTCATGGCCGCCTCGCCCGCCTCGTGCGGGCCCATGCGGTCTGCCTTGACCGTCTCCTCGCTGACCGACGCCAGCTCGGGCTTCCAGTGGCCCTGGCCCTTCTTTTGCTTGGCGAGCGAGTCCTGCTTGTGGTGCTCAAAGTCGGCAGGGTTGGGGTCGGCTAATGGTAAATTGTGGAAAGGGCAGGTTAGTGAGGGTGTTGAGATGAAGTGAGTGGTTTTGGTAGATGTGGTGGAAATGTGAAGCAAGCAAAGGAAGTGGGAGTTGAGGGGGGGGGGGGGAGAAGTAGGAGGAGAAAAGCGTACTGCTGGAGCTTTCTTTCAGGGGGTTCCGGGCCGTCTGGGTGAATGTTCGCAGGCTCGAGGTTAGGATTGACGGACTGCGGGATACCCTCGCGGTAGTAGTGATCCTGAGGAGAGCGCGGGCGGACATGGTGCGGAAGGGGCGAGGGATGAATCAAGTTGGTGCGTTTGGGAGAGTGAGAGCGTGATCAGCCCGGGCTGTTTGAGACTGTTATGGTGAATCGGGAATATGATTCAATTGATGGTTGGTTGAATGCAGAGGAAAAAGAGCAAATGTGATAGCTCGGGTAATTCAAAGTCGAGCTTCAAGCTCAGTCCCTTCTTGAGGCGGGAAAGCTGGTGGAGGATGATGGGCGGTCTTCGCTGGTTATGACGTCAGCACCATCATATGCGTATATGGATCTGTAATCTGTGACCCTGGCGTTGTTCTTTCCTTTGCAAAACTTCTCATTTTTACCAACTGCGCCCGTACTTGTAACACGTCATTGAATTAGCTGTCTAGGTGATTACATTATGTCTTTGCGAGCGGTTAGTCTCTTAGCAGGCCTTGCTCCTAAATATCAAAAAGTCACGGCTGCGCCAACGTACCTGAACATGGCCCCATGGGTCCAGAGCCTATGCGGAGTCCCAGAGGCGGGAAAGGGGGTTACTCGGAGGTTCAAGAACTCCCACCTCTCCATCATCTTCCCAGCACTCCATCCTGATTTATAGAGATCTCGCAGCCACTACCACGCACTTTGCGGCCTTGGAGAGGATACCCTGTCGATGTAATGAGAGGTTCCTCGAGCGCTTCAGCAGTCCTTGGGTCCTTGCAAGTGAGGCAAGGCCGCCTTGTAGCTTCTATTACCGGTGTTGGTGTTACATGACTAACTTAGTCAACCCACCGGCGTAGTAGTTAGACTTTACCGCGGCCTGCTAGGGGGTTGTTCACTGCGTCTTTTCGTTAAAAACCATGCGGTTCCAGACAGCTCACTTTACAGGACATTGAGGTGGATGGGCATCGCGAGTACCTTGAAAGTTAGGGGTACACAGATAAGTTGATACATAGATAACTGGTAGATAGCCGTCAAAACCCTCCAAAGGGGTGAAGTGGGAACAAAGCGGCTCGGAAGGACGGTCAGAATATCGAAGTCATCGAGACAACTCTGCCCCACATCTCCGCTCCGAACCCGTGCTTTGTCCTCCGGCCGAGTAAGTAAGCGTCTGCCGGACGGACGAGACCCGCTTAAGTAGGGGGTACTGTGAGTTGATGTGAGACTCCAATGGTGAACTACGTTGCTTGGACAAGGCATTTCAGTCTGCTTAGGGTTTCCGACCTGTTGCCCA